GGTGTTTTTCAGACACAAGTTTAGGCTGAAGGTGAATTAAAATTGCACTTTATGAGCAGCTTCTCTCTCTTTGTTACACACACACACACACACACACACACACACAAACACACAGGGTTAGGATAGCAGTGATGGATGCCCGGGGTTTCTTAAGTCGTACATCACAGAGGTCATTTAACCTGCCAACACATCTGCTGTCTCTGCCCTCAGAAAGAGAGGAAGAGGAGGGGAGAGAAGACAGATTTATAAAGGCGAGGGGGAGAATTATGCAGGGGGAGAGAGAATGAGACTGTGATTAGTAACTGGAGTGGATGAAAGGCTCTAATTCTCCCTCTCTCACACACACAACCACACACACACATGCACAGGCTCGTGCTGCAAAGTGCTGTCTTTTTAACAAGCTGAAGATGCTTGCGTTATGAGTTTCTCTGCTCCTTCACAAACTTTCATCCTATCTGTTAACTCCTCACAGTAAAGCAGCTGATTTATGCCGAGCAGCCATTCAGCACGCCAACATATTAATGAGATGCATCTAAGGGAGGAGTCCTCATTGATTTCTTTCAGTAATGTCAACGTTTGTGGGGCGGTTGTATCTCAGATGTGTGTGTAAGTGTGCGTGTGCTGATTGCAGATCAATAGCTTTTATCCAATCATGCTGCGCGCTGTTGACTCACATTAATTGCCTCTCTGATGGATCGTTATCTCCACTTGCATTGAATCTGAAATTGTCAGGAGGCTTCCCCTCAAATTAGAAATGTTTAGTATTTGTGGTTGTGACAGCCCTCTTTTTTTTTAAATCCTTTTTTTGTCTCAAATCATAGAAATGCTGGAATTTCCACACTCAAAGTCTGCCCTAAAGTGTTTTTTAAACCTCTTATTACTGTCATGTCTTTTTTTTTTTTTTTAATCAAAGTATTTTACAGGATGAGTGGTAAATGTGAAAAACATCACCGCTTTTACGATTACATTGATTCATCCTCCTTTTTCACCTACAGCCTGCTTATGTCTTTGTCTTGTTTTTGCATATCTGATCTCATGCTACATTCAGCTGCTCACATTAGATGGTCAGACAGGGGCTGTAGCCATGTGCAAGATCTTGGCAAGTTCATTTTTTGGGGGGTAACACACAACAGCCACCACAGCAGACACAGATATTAAGAACTTTTTACCAGGTCATCGCTCAGTCTTTGGGTACAAATCCGACAGACTGGTAAAAAGTCATGCAGAGAGATTTCTTAGACTGACAAACCTGGCACTTCTATGCACACCAGCGGCACTGGTGTTGTTGATTGCAACCCAGTCGCGCTCCTAAATAACTCCTGACCATAGGCATGCTTATTTCATAAAGAAGAACAAGTATGCAGAAAAGTGGACACTGCAAGTCTGAGTTTTTGTCTTTTCAGTTCTTTTTTTGTCAGCTAGTCCACATTTGGGCCTGTCACTACATGACCATATGCTTGCAGAGATTTTTTTTTAATTCAGTAATTGGTTATTAACCTTTCCAACGTTTCCAAAGATTAATAATAGAGAATACTGAGAATTTGGAATTTCTAGTCTTAAGCTTTTGTTATGAAAAGTAATGTGAGGACCTGTGGAACTTTTGAGATTTATTTTCCAAGCATCGTCTTTAGAGTAGACTTGCCATAAACTCAAACTGAAACACGTTTATTCAGCAACAGAGTCAAAAAATGAGGTCTCCTATTGTAAGCAAGTTTCTGCTATTTGGTTTTTCTCCACATTAGAAAGAAATGAAAACCAGTGACACATAGACTGCATAAAACATGGACAAACGTAGATTCTGTGACGTCATCCTATTCCTGGATACACGTCTTGGAGCCTGACTATGGTGGGAGCTTTCACCCACCAAACACTTACATGATGCTTTTCCCCTAATTATGCAAATCATGTATAACTCTTGGCTAAAGTATACTCAAATGGATGCATTAGGTAAAAAAAATAGACCCTCATGCAGTGTGTAAATGAGCTATGAACTCAAGGACCGTTTTTTTTTTAAACAAGGCTTAAATCACGTTAAATTTTGCCATTAATATGAGCATTTTCATAAACTTTTGTAGTTGGCCTCTGGTGGACACTTGCAGAGCTGCAGTTTTTTGGCACTGCAAGTTGACTCGAAGTAGGCTACGCACGTGCATTTTTATTCTTCTTGTGTCCTATTTTGCACTGTTGCCTTTTTATTTTTGTAACTTTTGAAAGGCGTTCATAGTGTGTTACTTTGAGGATCTATTAAATACCATTGAACAAAACTTAGCTAAACTAAACTTTGATGAAATGTGCCCACCTTTACTTCATGATGTTTTTTTCTATCCAGTATGAGGCCTCTTTCACCCCAGAACAGAGGAATGAGTTGTGCTTTTTTAATGTAACAAATGGTGACAATTTCAGGGGTTAATGTGATCAGGAAGCAGATGTGGCAGTAAAATAGTGTTATTATGCTGTTTGCTACAGCTAGCTCTGACACACCAATTGTTCACACAGACACACACATCTTCATTTCTAAATTACACACACTCCAGTTGCGCTGTGTTTCGCACACCAGGGAGGACAGCTGACGAGAGGGTAAGAGGATGATTTGGCGCTGGGGGTAAAAATATGTAAAGAGAAAGGGTGGTGAATCCACGCGTCAGACATGTTTTCATTTTTATAATCTCAATTTTTTATACTTCACTGACTCTGTAGATGTTCCTTCAGAGGAGCTCTCAGATACAGCACACACACTTGCGCACACTCACTCACACACACAAACTTGTTTTCACTCTTTCCTTGATTAAATCCTGCTCTGACCGTGATCTCTGTTCTCCTCTTCACCAATAACACTGTTCATCTCTCTTTCTGCTCTTCACTACACAAACATGCACACATAGCACGCAGACACACACTTTTCAGACAAGCAGATTAATTTACCCGTGTCCATTTTTCAACTTCTTGGTCTTCTCCATGTTTAATGTGTGGTTGAATGTGTATGTGTCAGCTGATTGATGCCCAGAAGCCCAGGAGCATAATCATACACTTCCAGACGTCATTTTTCACTTTCAGTCCTGATGGATGGACCCGATGCGTCTGATCAGTACTACCTCAATGTGGGGGGTCTAGGTCATCTTTGTGTGTGTGTGTGTGTGTGTGTGTGTGTGTGTGTGTGTGTGTGTGTGTGTGTGTGTGTGTGTGTGTGAGTGTGTGTGTGTGTGTGTCTGTGTCTCCTTGGCTAGTAGTCCATCTGTCCATCTGAGGTAAGTCGTGATTGAGTGGACTCTCCCTTCCTCATCAGAGGGTTTGTTAGTGGATTCTCTTCCTCCTTCTTTACTTACTATGGCCGCCAGCAAGATGAGTGTGTTTGTGTCTGTGTGTGACTTTAAAGGGAAATTCCAACTTTTTTGCTCTTGTACCAAGTACTTAAGGAAGGACTTACATTTGTCCAACAGCTGTGCATAAAAAGCACATCAAGGACCATCAATTGAATATCAGTTTCTACTTCACTAATCAATTACCTGAACGTTGGCTTGAGTTTTTGCTGCTGTGAAAATTCCAGATCATGAACAGGATCACTTAGGTTAGGTCTTAATTTGACCTTTGCATCACATCATAATGTATCATATCATGTTGGAGCAAATGATTTTCTATCTAATTCTGCTCTATTCTATGCTATCATACATTATACTAAAATTATCTTATTATAAAGTAACGTAACTTTACACAGCATAACTTAGCACAGTGTACCTTAGCAAAACTTAGCACAACTTAACGTAGTGTAACTTAATGCACTGTAATTCAGCGTAACTTGATGTTACATAGTGTAAATTAACATTTCAAAGTATCATGTTGTTTTGTGTCTTATTATATCTGATTCTATTGTACTGTATTTTATTGTGTCCAATCATATTACATGGTTATGTTTTATGTCATTCCATGCTTTATTGACTTGTACTTTGTCATATTATAACATATCCAAATGTAATAGTATTGCATTGCATAATATAATATAATATTGTATAGTATAGTATAGTATAGTATAGTATGACATAGAATTACATAGTATAGTGTAGTTGAGTATAGTAGTATATGGTATAGAATACAATAGTTTAATATTGCTTGATATAGTAAAGTATAACACAACGTACTATAGTAAAGCTAAGTTAAGCATAGTATACAGCATTTAACATCGTGTGGTATAGTATTACATTGTATAGTTGAAGATTTGAGCTACTCTTCAGAAGTAGTTAAACTGGCTAAGTTAATTTTCTTCTCCATTGATATGTTTTATTGTGTTTGTTTTATAAGCAATGATTATTTTAGTCTTTGAATCCTCAACAAATTCTTTAAAATTATCTGTTCAAGTATATAACTGTGTTTCCGAGGGATATATAACAACATGTCACCACCAAATAATTTCACTTGTAAAGGCTTTACTGTTTCCAGAATTTGAAAGGAAAAGGAAATCTCAAATAGTAAAGAATTTGGTTGTTTACAGAGTTTACAAAGTCTACATTAATTTCTACCTTTAGGCCATCATATCACCAACTCATTATGTGTGTTGTGTGACTGGGGTAACTACGACTTAATTTATTTAAGCCAAACTCCTTTCCTGGAACAAACTCATCGAGTAAAATCATTGCAAATACATATATGTGCAAAGAGGTACATACAACCACCCTTATACACAGACTCACACTATTCATGCTATGCTTCTGGTTAGCTGCTGCTCCTCCCACGCATTGCGCTTCACCTCGCCACAATGGCTGCCATAAAATCGGGGGACTGAGGGAGCACAGGAGGAAGGGGGAGGTTTAAGAAAAGCACTGAGAGATGGCTTGATGTTAAATTGACTGGAAAAAAGCTGCTCGCTTTTTCATGCTAATTACCATGCAACAAATTGTTAATTTATTCCACAAAGAGATGCAAAATAGCCCCAAATTCAACTGAAAATGTGTGCACTTTAAAAGCCACTTTGGATCTCTCATGTTGTTTTATATTTATACTTTATTATTACACACACACACATGCACGCACGCACGCACACACACATTAAAGCCTTTCTTTCCATGGTCCTCAGACCAGAGAGGGTGGATGGAGGCCAGAAACAGATCAGAGAAAAAAAACACAGGTCAATACACTCTCCTCCAGCCTCACACTTTCTCACACACACATTCTCGCACAATTTCTCGCACCAGGCTCAGGTGGTTTTGGGGCGATTTCATGGTTGCTGTTTTATTGATGGTTCCCGTCAAACATGAAACGCGTCTTTTTCCCAACCTAACCACACACACACATGCACCGCCTCTGGGCTGTCATTCAGGACATACACAGACAGCCAGAAACAAGCGGTTGGCGTCAGCTGCACCGGGTCTGCAAGTCAAGTCAGGTCCTGCTCTCAACTACACACACGTTAACGCACTTATCTGAGATCTTTACGGCGTGCTGCACCCTCCACTTAGCACCGCTGTAAAGGTCTTCCTGAAGTCATACAAGAGGAGCATCTTCAAAGAGACGCACACTCAAACACTGAAGAGTCACACAGACTTCTGAGCGGACTTAATCATTTCACATTTGGCTTCAAAGAGACTGTTTAAACACACGCTTGCTCACTGTCTGAAAGCACAGCATGGGTCCTGTCCGCCTTAATAGTCTCTCAATTCCGCTTAATCCGGCATCTTTGAGTACAGCTGGTGATAATTGGGAGCACATTTCCTTCCTGGTGCGTTTCTCGGTCATTTGTGTGCGCACACGCCCCTCGTAAACAAAGAGGGAAGGTATCAGTGTCCTGGACAATAAAAAAACTTTTTAGTCATACGATAACGAACAGAAGAATTTTGTTTTGCAGCATTCATTGTAATAATTTTAAAGCTCCTGTGAGAAACTTTTGGTTTGGGTCTAGTTTGGTGCCCCCTGTGGACAAAGTAGTCATAGCATATCTGGTTTTCGACATGCTTGAACAGCATCACCTGACCAGGGTTAATTTTGTTGGCGAAAATTATTATGACAAATGTTCATCAATGACTCTTTTTATGACAAAAATGATAGGATGGCAATCTAAAATACATCACTAGTGGCAAAAACTCAGATGAATTCAGGTTTTGCTTTTTGTTAATGAGTCAATGACAAGACATTTTTGGTCTGCGGATCTTGGTCTGCGTTTTAATCCTCTCTGCCTCTATGCATTTTTCTTGTTTTCATAAACTTTTCCTGCTTCATTGTAAGCTATTAGGGTGACACCAGTTTAATATTTGAGTTTTTTCCACTACTGATGTTTTCCCTGTTTAGAGAGCAAATTTAACAAGAATTTTCTTAGCAATAGTTGACAATAAAATCACGTGGCTGAGAGAGCAATAAACAGTCAACAGATTTGGTCCAAATTTAATCGCACTAAATCGAACCTCTCATGGTCAGAAGTACAGATCTGGATGATGAGGTTGAGGGTTCATTTTCTCTGTCAGGCACACAGCTCAGTCAAACTCAAACTGGCCTGAGCTTTAGCACATGCATTCGTTTTTTGACTGTCTTTAAATATATGAATACCGAGGTCACAGTTCAGCTCAGAGTTCAGCCCCAGTTCAAGGTTCTGCTCCCATCTCTCCCATAATGATGTTACATCTTTAGAGCATCTCATCTTCTGTCCTGAGGAGCTCTTTGCTGCGACCTTTAACCTTCTGGAAGGTGACCGCAGGTTGACTCTTCCCCTTCTCTTGGGGCTTGTGTATTGTCTCAAATGTCACCTGAACATGTGTGTATGTACAGAGAATGCTCAGCCTGCTGCATGAACACACAGATATGTAGAGTGTATAATGCATACAGCGGCACACATGAATGCAGATAATAAATACCTGTAGTTGTCGCCGGCGCACACATTCTGCACATTCTGGCCATACAGACTCTGGCTTTTAAGGCGCCTCCTGAGACACGAGTCTTATAATTATGCCGCTGGAACAAAGAGAGGTAAACACAGCAGCAAACAGTTTGTTAGAAGTTGAAGTCGTCTGAGGAGTGTTTGCATGTAGACCAGTGAAAAGACATCATCTGTTGGTAGAGAGTATTTCTCAGTGCTTTCAGAGCTCAGCCCATCCAAACACAGCAGATGAATGTCCACTAATGGCTCTGGTCATGTTCAAGGTTTCTGTCTGTTAAAAAAAAATCAATCCAGTTATTGGAGTTGGCTGTACTCTCAGTGCATTTACAAGTTGTTCAAATAAATCAATATATTGAGTTAGTTCTACTGAAACCAAACTTTTAAAACACATTTAAACAAGCTAGTCTGACAGAAATCGCACTGAATCACACTTCTCACAAACGAACTAACACGCCTAAAAAAAAACGCAGTTGATAGTTTTGGTGTGACAGCCCAGCAGTAATGATCTAAAGAGGGGGCATATTAACACCTCCTGCTATGGAGGTAGACACGCTTTTGTCAATAAACTGGTTGTCCTCTAGTGCCTCTAGACTTGGACAAGGACAGTAGCCTAGATTTATCACTTAATCAAGCTATGACTGTAGCTTAACTAAACTGTTCTTGTGAATCTGACTCTACCTAAGTTTTCTGCCTTTGGAAAGAAATTCTTCCTCACTACTTTGCTGACTCATAGCTGAATTACAGTTGGGTCTTTTTAAATAGTATTAATTAATAAAGAGTTTGGTCATGAACTGTTCTTTATGTCAAGTGTCGGAGGTTGGACGTTGGGGTAAGAACCTCCTTGTCTTTTAGTTTCACTTATACTGAATATGCAAAGGATTATTTTATAATTCTCACACTAAAAGATCAACAGCTCATACTAACATAGGTGCCAGACAAAGTGAGTAACAGCTCACTGTAGAAACAGACTTTGTTTACATTTTGCACTGCATAAATTTACATCTGACAACTGACAGCATGATAAGATTATTCAACTCTTAAACATCAATCTTCTGACCCTCCAGCTTTTATCTGATGATGGTCTGTGTCCAGGAGAAAGGTCTCACCTTTGAGATTTAGCTCTAACCACTGAGGAGGATGGATGACCTTTTTATGCTGCCATCACTGACTTAGAGAGAGAAGAGTTTGAAGTTGTTAAACATTTTCAGAGAGAGGATTTTAGCTGCAGTTGCAAACAGATGATATCCATTTAGAGATATTATGATGGCTTCATCTAACTTATGTGATTACTCATGGATTATATGAGCCTGGTGTTGCCAAAACTATCAGGACACGCACTTTTATTCTATCCTTTAGAAATCTTGACAAAGGTTTCCTGATATTCATTCATTTTTAAAAAGCTCTTTAAACTAAGCGACCAATTAAAATGGTTTACTTAAAATGACACCATTCGTGAAAGTCATCATTTCTAATTAAAAGCATCACCCCCTGCAGAGAGGCCTGATTCACTCATTACTTACCTCACAATGGGACATCTCATCTGAATACAGTTTACACAGAGCACAGTTCACAGTGGCAGACTACGAACACACAAGGCTCCAGACTGACCGACCTTGGATTTCATCAGAGGGTTGGATCTGCAGAGGATTCAAATCAAAGATGAAGTTTTAAAACTAATGTGAATGACAGGAGTAATCCGTCAAAAATGAATCTTATTTGGACAAATGTTTTGGCACTGATAGCATCTGATTTGTATCCTGTTAACACTCCTCTTTACACACACACACACACACACACACACACACACACACACACACACACACACACACACACACACACACACACACACACACACACACACACACACACACAGACACTCAGTGACACTAGCTCACTGAAAGCTCTGCTGTTTACTTTGAAAGGCTCACACCTGCTGTCAGCCTCATGATTGAGCCTTAAAACTTTTGAGCACAGACAACCAGCCTGTCAATCCAGCCTGTTGTCAGGAGGACAGTAAATTACTTATCCTTCATGTCTGTGCTGAAAAACCTGGATAAACCAAAGGTCTCTTTCACTCTTTGGTTTTATAGTGTGAAGTTGATGAAAGGTTTGCCACTTTAAGACTAATGTTAGACAGTTATCTGCTGCTGCTGCTGCTGCTGTATTGGGTTTAGAGGGGGGATGGAGGGAGTTGCAGACATAGAGAGACAGACAGAGGTGAGACTGATACATGTAGTTGAAGCAGCAAGTCCAAAACAGCAAAAGGTCTGCAGCAGCGATCCAGAGGAACCAACGGGATGATGGAGCTCAGGGATTTTCAGAAAAGACTGTGTTTTAGTGACTTTAATAGGAAATGATGATTCAAAGTAAATGACAGACACAAAGAGGATGGGAAAGGTGCTCAAAAAAGACAATTTAAAGGACCAGTTTAAAATGTTCGTCTGGAATATTTGGCTACACGTCTCAACATGCTTTCTCAGGTTTATTGGCAAAATTTTGTTGGTCGTGATGAAGTTTGTGCACAGGAAAAAGAGGAAACGTTCAAAACAATCCCTTGAAAAATGATTCTTCAGATATCAAAATTTATTTGAGGAATGACAAACAACATAATTTCATGCTTCTATTGCATGAAACTTTACATTTTCCAAAATTCTTTCCCAGAAGTTGCTTTAATTTGTAAATTATTTAACATCTTATTATTATTCATACCTTTGCAAGTTACTCAATGGGTTTGAGGGGTTTGAAGAACTGATTCAGGTTTGTAACCCCCAGGCTACTTAAAGCCCAGAGTTATGAAGATAAAATTAAGTACTAGTCGACATTATTTTGGACGGGCTAGAACAGGTACTGTTATGCAACAATCTTATGGTCCGAGAAAACCAAGTACAGACAGAAGTGAAGGGCTTAAAAAACGCTGCTCAGGACTACCTTCAGTGCACTAGTGCCCCTGACCCTCAAACAGCTTGATTACGCCCCTGGAGTTAACTATAACAATAGTGGGAAAAAAGATTGATAAGAAATACTTTGGAAATAAGATGTGGGTGTTTTTTTTTTTTTATGTGGGTCAAGATGGAAACCAGAGAGTTCAAAGTCTTCAGCTGGCACGCCATGACAAATACAAGTAGCACAACCACAAACAAACAGAGACCAAAACATCCTGACTGACAAAGGGTGAATCTCATTGTAGGTTAGACTCAAGTCCTGCCCACACCCTGAACTGGCACAGTGCCCACTAAGACAAACCAGTTTTTTTCCACTTAATGAGACATGAGGAAGCATCAATCACTCAGCTATCATCAGAGGGAGACGCTGCCAACTGTGACAGAATTTAGGGATGATCTAGTCCAGTGCAAGTGACTTTGGGTTGTATGTTTGAGGATATTATACTGAGATATGTAAGGTTTAACAGTTCATCGGGGTTTTAAAGGGTTTAATTGTCCAGCATTCATTTAAATATGTGTATGTCACAGTTACAGGAAGTTAGGATTATTAGTGGTAGTAAAATGGTGACATCATCGATCTCATTCATATTTACGGGCACTGAGGAGTGAGCACTGGATGACTTTATATTGTCTCTCTCTAATCACAGCTTGTAGCTTGTAACAGGAAAGTTTTGTGAGACCCGTCTGTAATCACCTGTCAACAAGTTCCTCCTGTCTACACACACATACACACGCACACATACAGATGGTATGAGCGACAAAGGCATCTGCCAAAACATTAACTCATGGTAGAAGTCATAAATCTTTCCGTCTTTACAGCCTAACCTTTAGGAGAGGGAGACATCCTGACGCCAGGGCTGTGTGTGACAAATGCACACCTACGCATACGAGTGTATGTGTGTGCAAAGATATTCAGAATTTCACAAATACACAGTCTGACTCAGAGTACAAATGCACACTAACTGTGAGGTGGACAATACAGTGAAGATAACATCTGCAGTAAATATGTTAATTATGTCTGTAAAATTTCTCAAAAATTTTCCACTCTGTTTGGTCTGAGGAGAATGTTTTTAGGTGAATACACATCTGAAGATTTCTAGCTTTGATTAATTTTTATGTTTAAGTGTTAAAGCATGAAGAAAAACATACATTTTGAAACATGCTTTCATGTTTGCCTTCAGATATATTTTTACCTTACACTTCAGGACGATGCTATACTTTCTCAGTCGGATCCAAAGTCTTTGCTCTCAGCTGGAGGTTGCACGCAAGAGATATAAACTGCCAACCGCCAGTGCACAGCTCCAAAGATAACAAGTCAACTTAAGTCGAGCCACAAATTTTCCTCTCCTGAGCGTATAAATTTCTCACATATCTGTCTTAATGTCTTCCTGTTCTCCTTGACTTGTTTCAACACTTTTTATAATCCAGGCCTGAGGATTTGTTGCCACATAAAGTTGCATATTTTTTGTGTTTGCTCAATAAGTTTGTGACTCATAAGCTTCAAACCAAACAGGATGCAAAGGTGCAATGGACTTCTTTACAATTGTTGAGGCAATGCTGGGCTGATCAAAAGCCATACAGGTCATGTAGCTTGACTGTTTTCAATTAAAGAGGGTCAAACATTCCAGTCACATTTTTTATAAAGTCAGTACTTTAAATTCATAACCCCAGCAATGGGATTATTTTTATAACATGTTTCTTCATTTATATTGAAGTGGGGGGTATGTTTACCATTGTGTTGCACCACCTCCTTTTTCAACAAAACTCTGTAAACTTTTGAAAACCATAAGGACCAACTCCAGGAGTTTTCACCATAAAGTCTTCTCAGACTCCTTTACTGCAAAGCCATGCTGTTGTAATATGCACAAAATTCAGTTTGGTACCTTCTTGCTGGTTTATGTAAGGTTTTCCTGTAAGGCATTGTCTGGAAAGCAGCATATCTTGCTCTAAGACTTGCATTGTTCTGTATTAACAGTGCTTCACTGAATGTGTAAAATAGCCATGCAAGAGCACTTTGCCTTCCTGTAACATCAGGGATGCATATTTTTTGACTGTGCCCTGACAATAAGCTGGGTGGTCTCTGTCCTATTAAGTCCATGATTTCCAAAAAGAAGTAAAACTACAGGAGAGTTTTTGAATTCAAAAGCATTTCTGGATCACGTTTCTATATGGTTTCCTCCTCGCATGCTACAGATTTGACATACATCTGTGGATTCAGCAACAAACCATGTTTACAGACCATTTTTAGAAATGATTTTGAGCCTATGTAGTGACTTCCACTACAGACTCATACCTGTTTTAACTCAGTGCTGCCTCAAGGCAAAGATAATGGCTATCCAGTATCATATAATGCAGCCTTGCCTTTTGCACAGTGATTTCTCCAAATTCTCTGAGTCTTGAAATGAAATTATGCACTTGAGACAATTAAATATCTTCACAAGTCGTGCAAACATTTCTCTGTAATAACTAAACCACATCCTCAGTAAGTCTCTCATAGAATAGTTAACCTCTTTTCATCTTTGCTTTAGAATGACTTACCCACTCAGTAGTGCTCTGTTATAGGATTTAGGATTTATTTTATTTAATACAGGGATGATACATATTAACAAACCTATACATTTAAATATGCAAGATTATAGCCAAAGGCTAATCTCCATCTTTAGTCGCTTCAGCAGGTAGATGTCAGCAACAGAGATAATAAAATCAATAAAACAACAGTAACAACAAGTAGCTATTATGAGCAGGAGGAGTAATTACAGGGAGAGAAAATGTGTCCTTGAAAACACAGTAGTACAGAAAATAACAACAGAAAAGCAAGAACAATGAGAATGTAGTGGATCATGAAACATAGTAACAACTGCTAAAACTAGATGCCAAAGGGCTGTTTACAAATTTAGGTTGTGGCAACAGTGTTTTAGTTCCAATAGCCACGCTTTAAGATGTATACACAGCCCTGAACCTGTTGTAAATTAATGTAAATGGTTGGGAGTTATTCATCCAGATGTTTGTGTGCATTCAATTTTTTTGTCTCAACTGCTTTGAAACATGTGCTGCCATAAACTTTAAAACAACAGAATATTTTTCAACACGATTATTTTTACATTATTTTCAATTAAGTACAAGATTTAAGTGCTTTGCAAGCCATCAAATATTACTTTTATCAACATTTTAAGCAGCCTCCCAAACCCTATGTAACCAGGGTTGTAGCTTTTTATTTAAAAGTGTTAGAAAACCGTGTTTGCTTTAACTGCAGAACTGATTGTAAAAGAGTATTTCTTTTCATTCAATATCTTAACTTTTTCATAGATAGAGACCTGAATTTCCTACCATTAAAATTTGTGCACGTGGGCTCGCTTGATTAATATGGAGCCTCAGCTGGTAGATGGCGCCATCTAGTGGCAGCGACGAGCAAAAGCTTAAAAGGCAACCAGTTGACATCTATTTATTGAAGGAATCTTCTTCTACTGATTGTATCATCTGTAGGGTTAAAGTTGCTAAAGCCCCTCCTGTTTTTTCTGCTTCCAGTACATCATTAGTACATTTTAGCTATAGGCTATATTTTACTGAAGGTTTATGCTCTCATGAATGTGGATTATAAAGAATTATCGGCCTGAATATTTAAAAGCTTTCTGCTCGGTCTGTTTATCTAAAGATAGCTGTCTCTCTCCAACACCAACCACACATGCTTACCACAGACTGTATAACGCTTACACACAGAGAGACAACAACCCTTCTTCAGACCAGCCCCGTTGCCTAGCAACGCCCTGCTGAGTGGCCCAGGGGGCGGGAACAAGGCGCTTGGCTTCCGCACTAATTACAGTACGTGTGTATGTAGTATTTGTATGTTTCTGGGCCACCCCAGGTGTGTGTACGTGTGCTTGTGTGTACATGTGTTCATGTGTATGTGTGTGTGTTAGACTAATACATGTTTAGAGATGGGGGATTACTTTCAGTATCAGGACAGAAAAGACAGGAAACAGTGGGTGTTTGTGTTTGTGTTTGCAGCATTCACCAGTGAGTTGTATCACTTCTGCTGAGGAAAAGTTAGACTAGAAACTTTGTAAGTTCTGACAGGGAAATGATTTAGTCCCATGAAAGTAGCATATCATTGATGAACAACTTCCAGCACCATTTTTGCTTTCTTTGATACTCTGTTAGCAGGGGTGTTCTAAAGGGGGGGCCGAGGTGACATCAGTCCCAAGTACTTGGATTCTTCTTTGTCGTTTGTTTTGTGAGTTTATTTAGTATTTTAGGGCAGATATTTTCTGTATTAGTTCATAAAATTTAAGATGAAAAGCTTTGTAGGGTTGCATCTCTCTTAATGCTCAGCAATAAGTGTAGGAAAGCTTATGTTTCTTACATAATCCCCCACAGGGGATGTGAGAAGTAAATTTGTAAATGATAAAATTGTACAAAGACATTATTTCACACCTTCAAAATGGGAAAATAAGTGTTGGAGATGCAATAAAATTGTTGGTACAGTTCCCTGTACGAATGAACAGATCTAGTTATTGTCAAGAAATGTGTATACATGTCTGTAGGTGCATTTACTTTGCCTCTGCTTCTCAGTCTTAATACTTTTCCTCTGTGCGATGAGCACATCCTCAGTAAGCAGTCGGTTAATGATGTTTTGTTCTGTGTGTACCAAGGATGTGACTCCACCCAGCTGACGTCAACAGGCTTAGGAAGACTTTTTCTGATGGATGAGACAGCAACGGAGGAGGAGAGACCACAGCCTGAGACAGTACAGGCTTTCTGCATTAACATATAGCCCTGTTTGCTGAGATGAATGTAACACAAAACTGCTCCACAGGGAATTGAAAGAGATTTTGATGCATGAGAGTAAGGCATGACTGCTTTGTCAGACTGAAACAGTAACTTCTCCGTGAGATTAATGCTGCACTAACTAATGACCTTTCTCAGTTAACTTTTCTGCTGCTCATATACTGCTAGGCGATCATAACTAAATGCTTTGGCTTGAATGCTAAATAGAAGCAGAATCAAGTGTGATTCGCCATTATTAGCTAACTGAACTAAAAACCTAATGACAGTTTCATCAGCAAAAGTGACAGCAGAGAGGAGTCTGGCATGTTTCACCTCTGCCTGTGGACACTGTGGCAAAAACAGCTTCTAACAGCAACCTAAACCGAAGATCCTCATTTTATAAAGATTTTAATTTGCTTGACAACCCACTCACTGTACTTATGCCTTACATAAGACTTGAGCTGAAGACTACTACTCCAGTATTTATACTACATCCACAATAAAAAATAAGGCTGGATTACATGCATGGTGCCTAGTTAAATAGAATCATAGTCATTTATTATGGACAAAACCCAGCGACGTTGCAAAGACTAGTAAAATAGAGGTGTGTAGCATATGGGAATGATATCAGCTAACTCCTGTATGAGAGACATTTTTCTTAATCCTCAATTTTTGCGGCTATTTTATACATAACAGAATAAAAAGAGGATATTCTCTCCATGCTGCTCAGCCACAGACAGGCATCAGCCACACACTAACTGAATACTGCAAAAATGTGTGTTAGGGTTATTCTGTTAGTGATAAAGTTTGTTATAATTATTGATTAAGGCAAAATATATTAACACACATTGCTAAAAATGGCTGATTTCATAAAAGCCAAAGTGGTTAGGTGAATAGCCATTTAGGAGCCAAAAGGGTCAGCTCTTATTGCTGAGCTTAGATTATCTGGATCCTAGACCGTAAGGTCCCATCGCTGCACTGAAATCGTGCAACTAATTCAACTAATGCTAACATTTATTCTTGCTGTGCTGAGACAGTGGATTTATCAGGACTTTGGACTTACTTTGACATTGCTGAAATTGTTTCTCGATTTGATCTATCACTATGATACTAACACTAAAAAGCCTTATGCACTGTTAAAGTAGCTGAATTCTTGGCTCTTATCTCTTTAAAAACTGCAGTCAGGGTTTGGCATTAAAGCTCGATTATAAACTTGTTATGGTAAAAACCAAAAATTAAAAAAAACAGGATTCATGAATCTCATTTGTTTTCTGCTAATTTCTTTCCACATTTCTACTAAACGACTCCCCAGTTGTCCTCTTTTCCATTTTTTCTGCTTTTCCCTCCAGGACTGTCACCCTGTGACACCACAGTGCACACTGAGTGGAAACAAACACACACGCACGCACACACAAATACACACGCCTCCTTTTCCCGTTCGCCCAACCCCCCACAACACAGAAGTCACCGCCCTTCCCTCTCGCTCTCACACCAACATGACTACCAAACAGCTCCGCTTCAACCCGCCCGACGCAGCGAGGCATCATGGGAGATGTAGTCCGGGGCGCCCAATCCTGTTCGAGAAGGCGAGGCTTCACCAAAATACAACTCCCATCTCGACCCTCGCACGCCGAGCCCCGTCGTCCAATCTGAATATGTGGGAGGAGCGCGTCCGCCCACAAAAGCCACATCTATCTGCCAGTATCTCCACCATAAAAAAATCAATTGTGCACGAAAAAAAGAGGAATACGCGTGAAATACAATCTGTGGTGACTGTTTGTTTTCGGTGTACGACGGACGGCGACGAGGCGTCCCCGCGTCGTGTGGTGAGAGAAACGGCGGCGACAGGCAGGAGCAGCGAGAGGGTGTTGTCCTGATGCTTAAATGGAAGTGGGTGGGCCTCTACGGTCACACACTGCCAACTTCTCTTTGGATATCTTTCTGACAAGCGCAAATTTTCTCGTTTATGGACTGCTTATCAGCTAAGAGAGACGTACGACTGGGCTGCGAAGGGGCCGACGGGCCGGGGACGGTCGCTGGGTTGGCTGTAATTTCCGTTATTTGGGGCTGCTTGATTGTGCCTCCGCTTGGCACCGCCCTTCCTGGCCGGTGGGTGGTTTCGTCAAACGGGCAGATCCGCCACGGCCCAGCGCTGAACATATAGGCCGTCCTCCGACTCTGTACCCGGCCGGCCTTCTACCGTGAACTACACCCTCTCCCTCTTGGTATATTAATGCGTTATGAGTGGTAGGTACCCTCCCCCCTCTTCGTCTCCACCCCTCTCTCTCTGTCTGACAGATAGGAGGCTCCAAGCCTCTTTGATATTGATGATAAGGTTACTGCTTTCTCCTCTACCTTCATTGATCACCTTTGTTGTGCGATATCTGCATTTTGATCCGATTTTAGTCAGGCAGCTCAGTGCCTAAATATCCGTGCCTCATCCTGGAGCTGAGCACTACTGAGAAATACTCATGTGATCATGATATAACTGGAAATAATCTCACTCTTCACTCTCTTTTCATAGACTCCAAGAAGGAATCATCTGGAACTGAAGGAGGGAAAGCATCGAAAAAGGGGAAAAGTTCTGGATCACAGGTAAAAGAAATAAAGAGTTTATTAAAGTTCATTACTTTTGCTTTGCCTAGAGGCCAAAAATGTACTCCCTCCCCTCCCAGCCAGCCAGACACCTCTGGGGGCGTTTCTCTGGTGAATTTCACTTCCTGCTTCTGTGCAGTCCTGCTGAGCGCCAGCCCTGAGCTTCTTCAACAGGCTTTACATGGCTGTCACACTTGAGCCACTGTACTTTTGAATTGTCTCTTTGAATTAGGGTCACAATGGTTTAATTCTGCCTATGGATTTATATATAAAAAAAAAAAAACCTAGAGCGTTGGACTTTCACTCTCCAGAATTTCTATTTTTAGCAGCTTTTTAGAGGTTGTATTTATTTTGGAGATTAATTTCATCAGTGCATTTACTTCCAAACACATATTTTATCGTTAAACGTCCATGACAGGCGTTGTTGCTTGGTGATGCCACGCTATTGTCACAGCATCTTGGCTGTTTCCACTCAAGGTTTAGAGGTGTACAGCATTTAAAATTTGCCTGCGACCTAGTTCCTTTGAAAGGGAGGAGAGCAAGAGAAGGCGGCATTTTCTTCCAGTGTTCTGAGAAAAGAGAAATGTGGTTCTCACACGCCCACCCACTCGCTTCCTGTAATACCGCCCACTTCCACTGACAGCTCTCTCTCTTTCTCTCAGCTTTTTGTGTTTCTTCTCTGCTGCACTGTTTCTCTCCACCCCTGGCTCTTTTACTATTTCTCCTCTTTGTTTCAAATTGTTCATAGCGTGAGTCTGCATCAACATATCTGCTCTTCCTCCTGTCTTTTTTGCACTTATATCTCCTTGTTTTCTTATGCAAACGAGCTCTCTCCCTCTCTGTGTGTGTTTGTGTGTGTCTGTACACTAACTGGCTTCTCCTCCCTCCCTTGTCACTCCTATTTCCCTCCTCCCCTCTTTTCCTCTCATCCTCCCTGATCTCTTCCTCCATGTCTCCTCCAGGATTCCTCTCAGCCCTCTCCGTTAGCTCTGCTAGCGGCCACCTGCAGTAAGATCGGAGGGCAGGGGGGAGCTGAGGGGGCCCAGGCCCAGACAGGGGCCCAGCAGATCCAACTGCAGGCGGGTCAGATCCAGCTGCAGGCGGGTCAGCTCCAGGGTCAGATAGTTGTGGACACAGCTGGAGGCCAGGCCTTGGTGCCCCAGCAGCTGGAACTGGTCCCAGCTCAATTCACAGGGAACGGCTGGCAGATCATTACAGCAGCACCTGCCATGGCCAAGGAGAACACCAATCAGCCTGTTGCTGTCACCGTGGCTACCACCCTGGCCAATGACAGCTCACCTGGAGGACGGAAGGTTAAAGAGGTGTGTAAGCGGCAGGTTCATGCAAATATTTCTTCTTCACTGTGTGTCGGTGTTTGTTCTCTAAACTACATCACTGCTTCTTTCCTGTTGGCAGGTGAAGCCGGTGGGCGGGACCAACAGCATTGCAGCCAATCAGCAACAGCAGCAGTTCCAGATTATCCAGGTTCAGAACCTGCCCAATACTGGGGGCGGGGTCCAGTATCAGGTCATCCCTCACCTGCAGACTGCAGATGGACAGCAGATCCATATCAGTCAGGCTTCAGCAGCCTCCATCGGGGCTCTACCAGAGCAGGTCCAGCTCGTCCAGACCCCGAGTCCAAGCCAGCCCCAGGCTATCCTACAGCCAGCCAACCAGCAAGCCATCCTGACGAGTACAGCCAATCAGACAGTCCCGCTGCAGATCCGACCTGCACAGTCTTTCCCGCTGCAGCTGCAGACCCTGCAGACCCTGCAGGGCTCCCAGACTCCTGTTATGACCACCTTACCCATAAACCTTGGTGGCATGACGCTCGCTCTGCCCGTGATAAATAATGTCGGAGGGGGCGGGGCCGTGCAGCTCATCCAATCAGCAGATGGCACATTCTCAGTTGCCAATGGCAACCAGCTAGTGACAACAGCAGTAGCTGGCGCAGCTCCTGCTACAACATCAGCTGGCACGACATTGGCAATAGCTGAAGGTGACAGCGTATCTGACGGGACTCAAACAGTTTCTGCCTCATCAGAGGTTGGACCAGCTGACACTCAAGTACAGAGCAGTGAGGCAGACTCTCAGAGCCAGAACCAGTCCAACGGGCTGCAGAACCAGGCAGAGACAGCGGGAACCATCCAGCAGGTGATCGTTGGCCAGGTGGGGCACCAGCTTGTGCAGCAGATCCAGCTGCAGCCTCAGAGTCAGGGTCAGGCCCAGGGCCAGCAACAACCTCAGCACATTCAGACGCTCCAGCTGGCCCCAGGGCAAACCCTGCAGCCCATCCAGGCATTCCAGAACCCGGCCCAGGTCCTTATTCGTACCCCTACCCTTTCCCCCTCTGGGCAGATCACCTGGCAAACACTGCAGCTGCCTGGTGGAGTCTCCTTGCAGGGGGGCCTCGGGACTGCTGTGCCACAGCAGCTGACTCTGGCTCCAGTGACCAGTGGGACGACAGTGGGGGGTGGAGGGCTGGTTTCTCTGAGTGGAACCCCACTGACGCTCAGTGCAGCCCAAATCAACCCAGGGTCTGGTGTTCAGACGGTCAGCATTGCAGGGCTGGGCGCTGCTGGGGTTCAGGTGCAAGGTGTCCCCCTCACCATTACTGGTCTACAGGGTAAGTGTGCACCAAAGGTTGCTGAGTGAATGTTTAGATTCTGATCTCTTACTAATATATTTAAAAACATGAATAAAGATGTGGTGGCAGAGTAAATCTAACAGACACCAAGAGTCTCTTTTTAGTCTCTGCTCTAGTCTTTGGCGTTGCAACCGTTTTTGTCCCACATTTTGTTAAATTCATTCACCCCTTAGGTCAACCACAGGGTCAGGATGGGGTCAAAGTTCAATCTTCTCCTGTGACAGTCGCTGTCGGCAATGTGGCATCGGGCTCATCGATGAGTCCAGACCAGCTGGGCTCAGTACAGAGTTCTTCAGACCAGGAGGGACTGCCCAACAAGAGGCTACGCCGTGTCGCGTGCTCCTGTCCAAACTGCAGGGACGGAGAGGGAAGGTATAAACACATTTGTAAGATACCGATCTATACAGATATGTGACACAGCTCTGCTTCAGCTAGAACAAGTATTATGTATTTTATTCTCAAAGAAACTTGGTTTTGGACAAACTTCACAGTGAAGTTTGCTCTTTTTCCGCTCTGACTACAGCGCTCACCGACACCCTAAATTGGAAGATAAACAAACCTCATTGTTTTCCTTGTGTACGTCTCAGCACTTAAAAACATACCCTGAAATATTCAGATATGTCTATAGAAAATTACTTTTATATTTTTTACCCTGTTTTTACTTTAGTGTTTGGTATAAAGCACCAATAAGAGACCCATCTAGACCTCCTTGTAACTCAAGTGTGTGTTGCAGAAACAGTGGAGACCCCTCAAAGAAGAAACAGCACATCTGCCACATGGAGGGCTGCGGGAAGGTCTACGGCAAAACATCCCACCTGAGGGCTCATCTGCGCTGGCACACCGGCGAGAGGCCGTTCGTCTGTAACTGGATCTTCTGTGGCAAAAGGTTCACCAGGAGCGACGAGCTGCAGAGACACCGGAGAACGCACACAGGTGAGTGGAGGGTCCAGCTGGTCACACATGAAGGGTTGGGCTTCAGTAACAAATGTGAATCCAGTTTTAAATTTCAAAGTATTGATGCAGATAGGAGTTATTTTCTATCATTAGTTACTCTCAAAGCTGCTGTAAGGAGTTTTAAAATACAGTGAAATTCATTTTGATGCCTTGGAGAGTTTAAGGTGATTTTAAAAGGCTGTTACTGACTCAAAGATAGTTGGTTATCAAAGAAAAGCAAAAAAAAAAAAAGTATCTTTAACTTTGTGCATGTCTCCATCATATTTCATGTGTGAACCCCAGGGAACGCAGGAGCTACCTTGGCAGTGGCCGATGAAAAATCTGAATAAAAGAATAAGTCAACAGCTTGAATTAATTATCTGCATGTTTTCGTCTGCAGGAGAGAAGCGCTTCGAGTGTCCTGAATGCTCAAAGCGCTTCATGCGCAGCGACCACCTCTCCAAGCACATCAAGACTCACCAGAACAAGAAGGGCGGAGCTGCGGTCGCAATCATCACCACTGATGACATGGAGGAAGACACGCCTGAAGGCCTGGGCGCCATCCCTCAAATTGTTGCCGTGGCGACGCTTTCCCGTGACTCTGACCCGGCTACACCCACCACCTCTAATCACCTGGAGGAAGAAGAAGAGGAAGAGGAGGAGTTTGAATAAGCCACCGACTCCTGTCTCTTTGTTGAAGGCTGACTTCCTGTTTTTTGGGAGTCTCTGCAGGGACCGCGAGGGTGGCACCTTTTTTTCTTTTTCTTTTTTTTTTTTAACCTTTAATTTGACATCATTTCAAAAATGTTGTTGTTGTTGTTCTCTCACAAAGGGACTCAAATGAGACGGGATCATGCAATGAACAGAAACCGTAAAATATAAACGATTTTGTCTAAAAGAACTAACACATATAATAACAAAACTTAGTGGAATCTAAAGACAGATTAGTTTGGCATTTATAAAATAAATCTATCAGAAATCCATTCCTTGAGAGGGAGAGGAATTAAAGTGTGTCTAGATTAGCACAAGACAGGACAACCTGCTGAATCAAGAACCATTAAACATGCAGAGACATTTTCTTAATCGCAACAGAATCTAACTCTATGCACAAAGTTGTGTTCCTGGTTCAAACCTGTCGGACGGCGCTGAGGGTCAATCAGAGATCAGGGACTGTTGCAGAGCGGTGACAGAGCAGAGGCAGTCCTGGGACAGTGTACGTGTGAGTGTGTGCGGCGTCTGTGAGTGAGTGGATCGTGCTCCCATGTTGTCATGGAGAGTATCTACCTAATGTGAGGTTTATTTATGGTTCAGGTGAAGTCCTCGGATCAGATTCAGGTGTCGAACCCTTGGAGACCAGTCTACGGATAAACTGTTACTGAAGGAAAGGGGGGGGAATATTCTAGAAAAACAAAAAAGAATAGAAAAAAGCACATATGAGAAGATTTATAAATAATGCATTCCTATTGAGGCGCAGTGGCCATTAGAAAAAAAAGGTTTCTATAGAGAAAAAACAATCTAGCTTTCTACAACTTTGTTTGTGTAGTGAAGCAATACTTTAAAGACAATCTTAGTGAAACCATGTTTACATTGTCAGGGGAAGATTTCTCTGTTAATAAAACAAGCCAAGATGAGGGGGACCATCTGAGAGCAGCGCTGTCGTCTGAACAAAGCCAGTCACTTCGCAGTTACCACAGGGTGGCTTCAACATCCCAGCTTCAGTCTATCCAGCGTGACTTTGTGGTTTTTAGTCCGTCACCATCCTGGAGGTTTGGCGACAGTTTGGTCGGCAGCACCGCTGACGTTTCTTTCTGCTGTCTGCGCTCCGAAAAGGGCAACACCTCTCAATCTCTGACCCTGCCTGCGTGGCCCGATGTCCACAATTGCCTTAACACAAGCTGTGGTACAGAGGAGGGGGTGTCAGGGTCAGGAGGGCGGGGCACAGAGAGGTAAAAGGACCAGGTGGTGAGTGGGTGGGAGCGGGTCGGGTATTTAGCTATGTGGATATTATGAGATGTTTTCTGGTGGTGTTGCTCTGTGTTAGTTCAGTGCGTACATTCTTTTTGGATTCAATGATAATTTTATTTTAGAGAGTTTATCACTTGTTTTTTAAAAAGTCCCCCTCCCACATTGTTAACACACAGGACCTCCGTGTGTTGGGCTAATTTATTATTTATCCTGATTTGTTCTCTTTGCCTTTTGCTGGACTTGTATTTGTGTGCGTTGATTCTGAGGTTGTGTACAGCATGTTTCAGTTCTTTGCCGTAGTGCTGCTTCTTTCTTCTTTACTCTCCGTGCTTCGATTTTTCTTTTTCTACGTCCCACCATTGCTGTTCATTTCTTCTTCTCTTGCGCCATAACATGTTTTTCTCTGAAGAAATATAAATAAAAGAAGAAAGCAAAAAAGCTACTATTGTTTAAAGTTGAAAAAGGTTGATACCAAACAAATTTAGATGTTTTTGGTAATATTTTGTGTGACAACCAACTTTGATTTCTTTGATATTTTGTAGTGACATCTCATTTGTAAATCTTTTTCTAAAAGATGTTTGTTCGTCTCCATGACATTTGATAATGGATTTTTTGCCGGGTTAGCCTCAAAGGCTCCAGTTTGTTGATATTTTTAAAACTGGTTTGTACAAACGTGTTATGTCGATTAAAAAAAAGGAAAAAAAGATGAAACTACGCAGAAAACATTTGCCTGCATAACACTTGACAATAAAGTGATTAAAAATGATGCAGATTGTCCTCTGATGCTTGTTTTTGTGTTTGTGGAAATTTGATGGCCACTATTACAAAAACAGAAAATACAGCAGTAGAGTTAAAGAGTTAAAGCTTCTATAAGGAGTTTTTGATGTCCCTTAAATAGAGTGTAGATGCCTTTTCACTTTGTGCAAACGCAAACGAGACCATTTTAGTCAAGACGACTATATTTTTTGTACTGTAATTTTTTGAGTCCCAAATCCGTGCAAATAAGTAGGTATCAGATATGCAGTTAGTAAAGCTGTTTTTACACTCGAAGACATGAAACATCCGCATGAAATGAGACATACGTTTGACCTATTTGACAGAATGACAACTCTGGTCTGGAGCCTGTAAATGACTAAATAAGCAAAGACTGTCACATCCAGAAGAGGGCGCCAGACTTGACCGAGCCAAAAGTTCCTCCCAGGAGCTTTAAACACATGGGTTATCAACAAAACTCAATACTTGGATACAAATGTTATCTTAACGCTCCTGTGAGGAGATTTAACGGATTGCAAAATAGACTAACATTAGCAATGATGCCTCTTAATGGTCTACAAAAGCAAACAAGACCATCAGCGACAAGACTGACACTTGTTATATTTTAGTTTTTAACGCCTAAAACTGGTGGGAGGTGTAAACCAAGCAGCTGGAAAAGCCCTGTTTTCACATTTTCCACTTAAGCTTTCATAGTAAAGGATATAAAATTTGACTGTCAAAAGTCAGCAGAAGACACAATTCAAGACAGTTTTGTCCACAGTGGGGGCTAAGATGAATGCAAACTAAAAGTCTCTCACAGGAGCTTTAAATTAAACCAGGGTACAATATTTTTGATGGGTCAAAATCAGCAAAGGCAGAGAGGGTAGGACTGGGTGATTTGGCCAAAAAGATGATCACGATATATTTTGTCATATTGGCCGATCTCGATTAAAACTAAAAAAAAAAAAAAAATACTAAATAAGACGTTAAATAACTTTTCTTCTCAACAATAACATCTTCAGAGGATGACCCAAAGTCATGGCTGACTTTATTTTACTGCCCTCAGCTCCATGTTCGGTTACTCTGTTTACTTCTCTGGCAACTAAAAGAAGCGAGCTGGAAAAGCTCGACTCTGATTGGCTGTTGTGATGCACATTTTCGCAATGTTTAACCGAGTAAATAAGCTCACAGCTGATTACCGTGATCGAACTGAAATTTATCACGATCATTAATCACGATCATATAATCGCCCAGTCCTAAGAGAGGGTTCCTCTTTGTCCACAGGAGGGCGCTATGTTATACATCAATTAAAACTTCCTTGTAGGAGCTATAATCATGGACGACATCAAAATCCACTCAAGTCCTAAATTTATGTGCCAAAAGTGCCAAAAAGGCATGCCACCTTTTGCAGTGAAAGCAACCTAAAGAAATTCAGTTCAATTTTAAATATCATCATATCCAAGTTTAAAATTCTGGTACAGTGACTCAGTCTTAACTCCTTAAACTCCTCATAATGAGTACTCTCCCCGCCATGTTGTGATTGTGGTTAAGATGGAAAAGCTGTTGATGAATTCCCAGATTCTCGCAGCTACCATCAAACCTGTGACCATGAAGTTATGCAACAATCTGCCCTCAACAGAAGCCTGTAAGAAGAAAAAAAACAACACAACTGTTTTGACCAACTGAGTTACTCAGATTTTTGTGGAGAGATAATAAGCCAATAAGCCGGCTGCTTCAGAGAGTCTACAAAAAGACCCGAGAGTAACACAGATCAAAGTGTGACTTGTCAGAGTTCACCGTCAGTTCACTTCGGCTGAGAGTTCACTTAAAGCATCACGTAGTAGTGGGCTCACACACCTTTGGCTGTCATTCCTTTGAAGCACTTCAAAAACGCCCAAATATACAGCCTCTCTCTGCACCCTTGGGTCATTTTGATGAGCTCTGAAGGTAAAACAGGAGTTTAATGTGATGAACTCTTTTAAAGTTTAACAACGCAGGCGTATCTTTCAGATTCTGACTCAAATTTTCCATTCCTTTGGATGTAGGATGATGCATTGGATTTGACTTCGACCACAAATTGAGGCGTATAAATCAGCGCTGAAGCATAAACAGCTTCAGATCTGGGAGAACTCAAGGACCCGTGTGCCGATCTGAATCATCTGCTGTGTTTTTTAACTGTAGAGTAGATCATAAAACAACTGCTGATTTAAGTTCAAAAAGTTAAGTTTTCACACCAACGGTACCCTACAGAGACCTCAGGGTGTCCTCTGACCACGGAGTGACCCTCCGCCCTGCAGCAGACAGCAGGAATCGCGTCATTACACAAGGTCAGCTGACTTGCTCACTGGTCAGTTAACCCTAACCTGACCCCTTTTATCTGAAATCTACAGAGGCCAGACACACACAAACAAAAACACTTACTGCTCCTCTAACTTGCCTGCAGCAACTTTTCAGACAACTTCGACACCGCAGAAAAAGTTTGAAGCTTGTGTTTGTTTAAAAAACTAACATCAGAGGAAGTAAAGGGAATATAAAAACACTGTGAATCTTCTGGACGATGTGGATCTTTATTAAAATATACAGTGAACTGACAAGAGGGCTGTGAACTTACTCACCAGTTGCTATAAAAAAACCTCTACTTGCATCCGTAAAACAAACTTTGCATTTGCTCTGGAGACCATGAAACATGGAAATAAAGTGGTAAGTATGGTAGAAATATTCAAATGAAAATATACAACAACACAGGTTTGTGTACTTAAAAACATTAAAACAACATCTGCATCTCATGCAGCTTTCCAACAGGATATATAAAACATATCAGCAGTGTATGTGCCTTCTGTAAGGTGACATTAAAAAAACAAAAACACACTTTTTTTGTCGCTTCTGTTTCTCTGTAAAGATAAAAGGTTGATTAAAACCTAAAGAAATGTGCGTCAAGTTGGGTTTAACTGTACTCTGCAGCACGGGAGTCTGATCCAGGTTCAGCTGAGTCGGCAGGTCTTCCTCTCTGGGCTTTACTCCAGCTCCTTCTGAATGCTAATGGAGACAACACAGGGCATTAGCTTGCCTGTTTTCAGAGAAACTCTCACCTTTCTTAACCTGTCTGTAAGTTTTCCAGCTCCAAAAACTATCTGTAAAAATGAGAAGGCTGCAGGTGAAGGGATTGTACCTCTCCAGATACTCGTGGACGTTGTCGTGGCCGTTATAGCGAGCCAATCCCACCAGGATGCCGGTAGCACAGCGGCCCTCTTTCTTACGGCACAGACTGCAGTTGCACATCCCTCGGCAGATTGGACATGACCAATCCTGGAAAAAAGAAAAGGTCTATGGTTAATTATGTTTTATCGTCACTTCATAAAATTCCTCTGCATCTCTCTCTGACAGATCTGAAGTTTCTGGAGACCCCACCTCCACCTCCTTTAAAGAGTTCAAAAGAGTTCTGTGTGTTCATTTGCACTGACCGGATCAAGCAGCACTTCACGAACATCCTCCCCGTAGCGGTTCTTCAGGCAAGGCCCACAGAACTGGCCTTTGACCCCCACACAGACCCCACTGCGACACACTGTCTTGGTGTCCAGAGTCTTCTGTCTGCACTGGTGACACGAGCTGCCCTGAAGGAGAAAACACAGAAACACACATGATAAGGAAATGCACTGACAGCTCACAGCACTGCTTTCAATCACCCTTCCTAAACTCACATTCTCCTTGTCCCAGATTTTGTCTTTGCTGCGGTACGCTATGTTGTCCAGGTCTTCCTTGGTGATCTCATCGACTGACCTCACCACGTACCTGCTCCTCCTAGCGGAGCTCTTCCTCTTTTTCTTCTCACCAATGTGATCCTCATCCACCTGTTCAGCGCGTCCAGAGGACACAAAGTGTTTTACTCTGTAGCAGTTCAAAATTTTGAAAAAGGAGGTGATTCATCTACACACAGAGCAATGCACACAGTGGAAATGCAGTGATTTATAAATGCCAGTTTTAAATATACCTTCAATTCCAATGAAACCAGCACTCGACAACCTTTGTCTACCTTTCTTTGTTTACTTATCTTTAAAACCAGTAAATGCATGATTTTGACCTTTGATGGAGAAAAGGGTAAAAAAAAAAGGCATTTCATGCAGCAAAGTGGTCGAATTAGCAGTAATCAGTCTGCACTTGAAAAGTGAACTTGGCTGTGTGTCTAAACAAGCATGAGAGCAGTGACTTATCTATCAGGTGTTAATAAAAGTCCACGGTGCGGATGGCGATCAAAGCTGGAGATCTGAGGCACTCTGATGAAGTTTAAAATCCTTTATTTGGTTGGGATTGTGTCGACGCATTTCAGCTCACCGGAGTCTTCGTCAGGACATAGTGAACAAATTACTGACATCTGTTTAAGTGCTAAAAACGTAGGTCATGTGACCTCACGTGACAACGAGTCACCAAAGAGAGAAAAGCGCTGCATAAGGGTGACACAACCAACTTTCAAAAAACACTTAAAACATTATTAAGGCAAGCCAAGGGCTCCCGAGTCCAGCACAGGACCACTGAAAAAGAGTGCATCTGAGGAAAAAAATCTACAATGATGCGCTCTTTTTCAGTGCCACTGTACTGGACTCAGGAGCCCTCGCTTTGCCTTCATAATATTCTAAGTGTTTTTGGAAAGTTGGTTTTGTGACCCTTATGCAGCGCTTTTTTCTCTTTGGTGACTTGTTGTCACGTGACCTACGTTTTTTGCACTTAAACAGGCGTCTGTAATTTGTTCACTATGTCCTGACAAAGACTCCAGTGAGTCGAAACGCGTCAAGGATTTTTAACTTCATCAGAGTGCCTCAGATCTCCAGCTTTGATTGCCATCCACATATTGCAATATTCCGACCCCATGCAGCACTCACCCAGCACTTTTTTTTTTGACTGTGTGTTTGCTGAAGATGTCAGAGCACAGAGTGAAGCGTGAACAGTATATCGTACCTCCACCAGTCTCCTGAGGTCTATGGTCCTCGGGGTTCTGGCGGGCTGCGGCTCGCTCTTTTCCTCCACTGCAAAGTTCTCAGGAGGACGAGCCTTACGGGACGGGTTTCTCCTCTCTGACCCCGGCTCGGGCTCAAACTTGCGTTTTCGTGGTGTCGCTCTCTCCGACGTCTTCTTCTTCTTCTACAAAGTTACAACAAAAGAGTTCAAAAGACAGAACAGTAAAAATATCAGAAACTGTATCTGGGTGGTGACTGGACTTGGTTAGAGTTCCTGAAGATGGTCCCTCTTTCCTCTTTTTTAGAACTGAAGAAACCTATCAGTTTTTTTAAGGATTAATTCGGGTCTAACTTATCTTAGATTTCTACACTGTTTGCTAATTCATGCTTTCTGGTTTTAATGGCTTCTACAGAGAGCTTCAAGTGGACTCTCTGGGAATTGCAGGTTTTGGCACTTGTGCTTCAGCTTTCTTTCTCAAGACTGGAGGTTGGCTTTGAGGAGATCCTGCTGGTGCTTGTACTCACTTGAGGGGTGATGGGAGGAGCCAGGTCGGCCATGGTGCTCAGATCAGCGAACAGCTTTGCAAGCTGTAAGACAGCAGAGTGGACCAGAGTCAAACAGCATCAAACAAAGGCAGAGCTGATCTTGATGTAGAAAGATTGTTTGTCTAAAAGTTAAAACTTTTCATCACCATGGCCTTGTTTTCCTGGATGTTCTTGCTTCTTTTCCTCAGACTCTGAGACAGATCCTCCTCCTCCTCCTCTTCTTCCTTCTCCTCTTCCTCATCTTTCTGCTGCTGCTTCCTCTGCCTCCCTCTGCCTCTCTGTGGAGGAGGAGCATCTTTGACCAGCTTGTTGGTGTTTAACTTCTGCAGGTCCTGTTTTGGAGTGGACAATCTTTTGACAGGAAACCTGAGGAGCAGGAATGATTTTTGTTCCATGAAAAAAAGAATAAAAATTAAAAACAACACAAAAGGTACTTCCTGATACCCAATGTACAATCAGAGGAAACGGTGAATACACGTGAAACCAAAGTTTGTTTGTTTGTTTTCAGCCTGATCAGGGTTTCATCATGTTTCAGTATAATAAGATAAAAGACAGTATTGTCATATTCTTCAACCACTTCTCTGTTTCTTAACAGGTTCACACACACACACACACACACACACACACACACACACACACACACACACACACCTCAGAGCGACTAACAGACTCTTCCTCTTCTGTGGAGCAGCGTCCTCTCCATCAGAGTAGAAGCCTGTGTCCACGTCACTGTCGTCCTCTGAATCAGCCATCTGGAAGAGACAGAAAGAAAAGGCAGCTATTATGATGCTTTGGCTGCAGTATTACTGAATTTCAGCAACAATACACGGCCAGAAACAACCGTCTTATACCTTTGTCTTTCGCCGTTTGTCAAAACACCCCATGACCCCTTCCTCCTCCTCGTCCTCTTCGCTGAATCCCTCGAACTCCTCCTCACTGTCCGACTGGCTGAACAGACGAGCCAGCTCTGCAGTGATGAACTTGGATTTGAAACATGGGGCCTGTTGGCAGACAAAAAGCAGAGAACGAGGATTATGTAAATCACAGCAGTGAATTTAATAACCTTCAGTAATCAAGTAAATGGATGGAGTGGAGTTATACTATTTTCAAAGGTTCCCTGTCGAGGTTTGAATACACTTTAGGCAGCGTGTCCATGAGTGGGTCTACAGTTTGAACATGATACAGTATGTAAAGCATGTAATTTAGAGATATGATGCAATGAAGCAACAAGATGATGATGATGATGATGATTAAAAAAACAGAAAATACTGACAGCTAGAAATGCTTTGTTATAGGGATGTATGAGAAGAGGACGACCATAATCAGATTTTTTTAATGGCCAATGCTGTTATCAATAGTTTGAGAGCAGGTTGAGAAAAAGGACACTGCTTCAGATTTGGTATGCTATCACTGGGGTTGGGAAGCTACATTCATATTTGATAACAGTCATAAATCAGGGTTGACCGATATCAGTTTTCCAATAATCGGTGTCAATAATGATGAAAGGAGAGCAGGTTGGCCAATATCAGGATGCCTACTAGAAGCATTATTGGTGAGGTGGTCTCTATCAGTAGGAGACCACGGGTAAGACCAAGGACACACTGGTGAGACTATGGCTGTGTCCCAAATGGATCCCTAACCCCTATGTAGGCGACTATATGGGAGTTAGCATCATTTTGAGGGGTGTCCGAAACCTGAGTGATTAATTCCAGTGCCCTATATAGGCGACTTAAAATTTCCAATAAAGCATTGCAAAACCATCAGATGGTCACTCACTGGTGGTGGGCATCCTGTCATGACATGTAGTGTTCGAAACCTCCAGTGATTGAGTTCACTACATAGTTAACTATATAGTGAAATTCCATATGGGGGTTAGGGGTTGGGGATTGAGTGATTCATTTCGGACACAGCCTATGTCTCTCAGCTGGCCTTGGGGTCCCCCAGGAAGTGCTGGATGAAGTGGTCAGGGAGAGGGAAGTTAAGATTATCCAGAGTCAGTAACTCTGGATAAGCAGTCGAGGGCGGATGGATGGAGGTTGACAGATATAAAATGCTAATAACCCAATGTATTTGACAAAATACAACAATATAATTATGTATAAAAACGCAAACGCATCGACACAATCCCAACCAAATATCTCTATATATAATATATAATACTAACAAAGACTACTAAACTTAAGCAAAAATCATTCCAGATAAATGTAGACAAAAATTATTGGGCTTAGGAAACTATCACCACAAGAAACTTTTGGATTTTAGAAATAAGTCAAACAGGAAAATAACAAAAGGTAAATTAAAGCACAGTTACTCCAGCCAGTAAAAAGTAATGGTGATATTTGCCTTTTGAGGGTCTCCCGAACAAAACAAGTCCAGTAGTAACTGAGTGTTTATATACTTTTCCACATTGTCAACCAAAGTAAAAAAAAAGGAAAGCCTTCATCTAAGGAGGGAAATGTTTCTAGTTTTTCTTTTTTGGCCTGGGATTAATGTGAACGACTTCAATTATGGTGAGAGTTACACAAAATCCGGTTTATCTGACCCACTTTATGTCCCAGAATTTGTGGGTATCTGCATTTAGGACGTTAACCTAACACCAATGAAGAGGAGGGGGACACAGGTTTAATCCACACAAACCGATCGTTCATATAACACTGAACACACTTTTAATTTCTATAGTTTAATCATTATATTGATCCGAAAGTTAAAGCTAACAAGACTTACTCAAACCTCGATTGAAAATAATCACGTGTGGTTCCCCCTATATACATTCATATATATATTATAAACTTAGTTAATGCATATCTTTACAAATAGATATCGAAGTGAGATGCAAAACAGGTCATGAGACAAAAATCATCCTAACATGAAGCTTATTCAGGTCAACAATCCAACAACACGAGCTGTGTTGGGAGTTCATTTTGACTCATTGTGACTTCTCCTCGACACAAACTTCAAAGACGAGAGAATAATAGAGTAAAACACGAAAAGTTCCCGTGCTTACCTTTGTCGTCAGGGTCATTTTTCAGCAGTTTGACCGCAAATATCCGTCAAAAATAAAGTTTTCTCTTTCTGAATGAAAACCAAGCAGTGGAGGTGGATTTAAAAATTAACAGTTAGACGAGTCCGGGGTATGAAAACAAAGGGGTGTCATTTGTGGTTAGCGTCGAATTAATTTATTATCAAGTCAAGTAGGCTTTATTTTGAAGGTCCAGTGACAGTTATCTCTTTGATAAATCACTGTTCAGTTGCAGATTTGAGGTAAAATTATTTCTCCGCGTACACGCTGCTGTTTTCTTTACTTAGTCGCCCCCCGGCTCCCAATGGTACAGTCCATACTTTCGCGCGAAAACGACATGTGGGCGTGTCTCTGCCTGTCGACTGCCCCCGTGTACTGTGTAAGAAAATCTGAAGCCTACAGGGATTTGATGAGTTTACTGTGTTCCCCATGTATTAACACGCATTTTTAAAATTAGATAAAACTTCAGTAAAATAGACTCTTAATATTTTTTGCATGTGACGAAATTTTACCTCCACTCACATTTATTTATATTTACTGGAGAATAAAGGTTTTTTACTTGGTCCACAGCACATGCACCAAACTGTGTGCCTGCAGCCTCAATCCAGTCTTCTCTGCTGGTCTCGCTACCTTCAGGTTTTCTCTTCATCCTCCTCTGTTATTTAGCTGTCAAATGCCTACTGGGTAAACACGTGTTAGGGCGACAACACAATAATAGGAGCCAGCATCAACAGGGACATCAGAATCATGCAGCTGATCCCAAACCTCTACTGATCATTACCTCTCAATGTAAACAGGAATACACAAAAACAGCCCCAAAGCAGCTTCTGGCCTTGGCTGTGTTTCACCTCCAGAGTTACAGTTACAGATAAAAACACCATCATGAGTTTGAGGGATCATATCCTTGCTAATATAGTAAGAAAAAACCCAGAAGCCAATTTATTGAGTATGTTGTGAAATGTAATGAGATAGTTTGGTGTACAGATTTGTTGACTTACTCTTTTTGGACACTAGATGGTGTTACGAGGCTGTTGTTGGAGTAATTATGATTAAATTAGATTAAGTCCTCGGGTAATTTGGAAGTAAAGTGCTGGTTAAATGAAAGTGAAAAGAAATAAAAACCCATTTATTGGAAAAGTATGACAGTACTTGTTAACACATGAATATTCCCAAACTGAAAATAGATGCACATACACATTGTGTGCACTGACGGGCAGATGTAGCAAATATACAAAAGCACTTATGAGATTATTTTACATGATTCCAGAAATGAATGGTTTCAAATATTTGTATGTTTATAGATTTCTTCAAAAGTCCTTTAAATTATATGTTATATTATTTCTATTATTGTTGTTATCATAAATGAGACACAAAGCAAAGACTGCAGTTATTGATTCAACAATTGTTATAACAAAAACATTTAAAATGACTGCTTTACTGACAAATGTAGATACACTCTTGAGGCCATGGAGACAGCAGCAGGTGTGCAGTGACCGGGTTGAATTAGATAGTTGTTACTATCTCAGCTGCTAAACACAGTTCACACGAGTGGCACAAACAGAGGGATACCGTAAAGAACATCTAACATCGTTCCATCTTTTTTGTGGACCAAAATTGCTATGGACACAATGTTCAACATTCAGGTTGTTTGGTTCTCCTGCGGCCCAAAAGAAATATCTGGCAGGACAGCCGTCAGACCACATCCATTGTCCCTCTTTGTGAATGTCACTGAGTCCAATCCAGGTCAGACCCTCAGAGAGGTCAAAGTTCCTGATCAGAGTTTTGACAAAGTTATTTTCAGCCTGGTTGCGAATGGAGACCAAGTTGGCTCTCTGTGACAAACAGTGCAGCTCTGCATCAGCCCAGGTCATCGTTGTGGCGACATACTTGTAGCAGCGGCCATTGGAACTGTACCAGAACGGGGGACAGCTCCGACGCTGTAGCTCAAAGGGGCGGTCGACCGGAGTAGAGACAGTACCCAGAGGCAGAGCAAAGATGAAGAGGAGCAGCAGCTGCAGCATCTTGGAGTCAGAGTCTGTCTTTGGAGGTCTTGATCTGTACTGCACAACGTTATTGAAGATCTCTGAAAGGCAGTGCAAGTTTCCCTTTTTATATGCTTCAACCACAAATTTACTCCATGTACCTTGTCCCTTTTAAGTTGATATTAAAGTTAGTTATTCTTATTAAGGTCAGCATATTGTCCTATTTAGATTAGGTTAAAAATTTATCATCTTCATCAAGACAACAAACCCCTACCTGAGACCAAACACTTCTTTGGAAATACATAAGAAAAGCCTGTTTATTACATCGAAGGTCACCTCAGTATCAGGTGAGATCATGTGACCTCAAACGTGATGATTATGAGGGTTGGTAAATGTACATATGAATATCAGCTGATAAAGGATTGTTGGAACAGAAATCAAACAGGGCTGCAAAACAAGGAAACAAAAGATCAGTAATGAATAATCACAGTTTTCATCCACTATCAGTGAACTCTGAATGTAGTGACTATGCTGACCTGAATTTTAGTCACTGTCTGGGTACGGAAGTGAGGTGTTTTTGATGCACTTCTAGTACAATCCAATGTCCAATCCAAGGTTGTTGTTGTTGAGTTATATTTTTGCCATTTATTGATTTAGTGAAAAACTAACAAAAAAAGGCATACCGTATATATGTCCAACTTACTAAAATTGGTGATTTTGTGATGAGGGTGAGAGTGGTGTCAGAAATCAGTGGTAAAAACCATGTGCTCTTCCCATTCCCCGGATCACTGCTTCACCTGTGTCCCTTTGTACCATTTACCTCCAATCACCTGAAGTGCCCGTGGTGGTGATTGTGAGAGTAACAAAACAAAACCCCAAAAATAATATAGATAAAATGGCTCATATACTGGCCCGTTTTCTCACATCTCAATGCTGATGCTATGCTACTATGTTGTTTAAGCCTGTAGTAAACAGAGTCAGAGGAACTGATGTATGACTTTATCAGATTAATGTAAATGATTGATAAGGACCCAAACCCAGAACCTGTGCTCGACCAAGGAGCAGCAAAGTCTGGTCTCTCTGAATGTTTGAAGTGTTTTTTATGGTTGCTGTGCTGGTGTGGCGGTGAAGGCAATGTTGAAGACTACGTAGTGGAGATATAAACCTTTTTTTCCATCAGTCATCATGGGAAATGTCAACTCTTCCTAACAACAGTGATGAGCTGGAAAAAATTGTTGAAGACTGAGAAAGCATACCTGAGTGCAGTCTCCTGTGTTTTACAGAAACCTGGTTCAATCAATAAATCAAAACTTTATTTACAAAGTGCTTTTCATACAGAATATGTAACACAAAGTGCTTTACAGTCCCACGTCCTTCCACCCAACCACCTAACACCTGCTACCATACAACCAACACTCAACAGTCAAATACAAAGTCACACACATGCGCACACACAAATCAAAACAACTTGGACTCCAGTGTGGATCTACCTGGCTTCACTCTCATAAGGTCAGACAGAGATGCTAGTGGCAAGAAGAAAGGAGGAGGTCTGGCTTTATTTGTTTACCAGAGATGGTGTAACACTTCACACATAACTGTCAAGGAGAAGTTGTGTTGTCCGGATATTGAAATGTTGGCAGTTGATCTTCAGCTATATTATGTTCTAAGAAAGTTCAGACATATCATACCAATACTTAAACATCCCATCCAAGGCAACAGCTGAAGTTACGTGTTTGGTTTCAAGTTTCATTTTAAGGAATCAAGTTGGTCTCACGGGAGGATGTGGTGGAGAGATGCACACTGAAGAAGGTAGAGATCATGGATCATGGATCATCTACTTCATAACACCATGATGGACCAAAAGAACCCCCCAAAAACCCAACAGCTCCTTTCTCTTTGCTGCAAGATGGAGAAATTAAGAAGATCTTTTGTACCCACAGCATCAGACTTCCTAATTCTTCTGCAACTAGTAGATGAGATAAGACTCCAAATTTGTCTTCGGGAAGCAATAAATTTTTTGCATTGTATTGTAAACTACTGTATCGGCGACTGCGGTTGGCTGACAGATGGTGTGAATATGTGGGATTAGCAAATAAAAACAGGGCATTGTTTGCATACAGATGAGTGGTATATGTTTTGCATTACATGTGCATTTTATTTGAACTCTTAACTGACATGATCACAGTGAACAGGCCTGACATAAAACAGAAAAAAATCAGGAGACAAATCAAGTCTTTCCCGGCTGGGAAACAAACTTTGTTTTATCTAGTGTGCTCTTTGGCCTCTAGATCAAGATAACCAAAGATTATTTTGGCATAAAGTTGCTCATTGAGCAACACTAAATAACTATTGATACAAGTGTGATAGATGAACATGTTTTTATGGTTTACAGCCAGGTGATAGTCTTCCCTGGAAGAAAACGACTTCTCACGTGGCTTGTAAAGTGATTTAACTTCTACTCTCATTTACATCTTGGCACGAGTCGTCACTGTAGAGTAACAGATGGAAAGTAACAAATAACCCTTTCAGCAGTTAAGGGCAAATGTTCCGAGACGCACAAACAAAAGGCAACGGTCTAGAGCACGGCAAGTCATTCCACTTTAATTCTGCTCCCTCATGCTGATGTACACAGTGTTCGTTAGTTCCAGCATTATCAGGCTGCCCTCCTAACCAGGAGAAGAACTTCGCTGCAGATCCATCTGACCACATCCAGTGCCCTTCCTTGTGGATGTCAGTGAGTCCGACCCAGGTCCATCCTCCAGCAGGGTCAAAGTTTCTGATCAGAGTTTCGATGAATTTCTGCTCCCCCAGGTTGTGAATAGACACCAGGTTGGTTCCCATTGACACACAGTGGAGCTCAGCGTCAGCCCAGGTCATTGGTGTGGCCACGTATTTGTAGCAGCGGCCGTGGTAGTCAAACCAGGATGTGTCGCAGTAGCCGGTCTGTAGCTGTGGTTGTTGGCCATGTGAAGGAGGCAGAGAACCCAGAGCCAGAGCAGACAAGAAGAGGAGCAGCAGCATGATGGCGTCAGTGCAGACTGAGGAAGACTCTGGTGGATGTCAGAAATATTCAGCATGCCCCAGAGAGGGTGTTGACACTGTTGATGTTTCATCATTGGTCAAATAAATGGTGGTAAACATGTGTTCCCCATGTATTAACACCCAGTTTTAAAATTGAATAGACTGTTAAGTTAAAAAGATGTTTAGTAATTTTTGCATATGACAAAATTTTACTTCCATCCAAGTTTATTTATATTTACTGGAGAATAAAGGTTTTTTACTTGGTCCACAGCACATGCACCAAACTGTGTGCCTGCAGCATCAATCCAGTCTTCTCTGCTGGTCTCACTACCTTTACGTTTTTTTTTTATCCTCCTCTGTTATTTAGCTGTCAAAGGCCTACTGGGTAAACACTTGTTAGGGCGACAACACAATAATAGGAGCCAGCACCAACACCATCATGAGTTTGAGGGACCATATCTTTGCTGATATATTAAGAAAACACCCAGAAGCCAATGTATTGAGAATTTTGTGAAATGTAATGAGATAGTTTGTTGTACAGATTTGTTGACTTACTCTCTTTTGACACTAGATGGTGTTACGAGGCTGTTGTTGGAGTAATTATGATACCATTAGATTAAGGCCTTGGGTAATTTGGAAGGAAAGTGCTGGTAAAATGAAAGTGAAAAGAAATAAAACCCATTTATTGGAAAAGTATGACAGTACTTGTTAACACATGAATATTCCCAAACTGAAAATAGATGCACATACACATTGTGTGCACAGATGGGCAGATGTAGCAAATATACAAAAGCATTTATAAGATTATTACAAATATTTGTATGTTTATAGATTTCTTCAAAAGTCCTTTAAATTATATGTTATATCATTTCTATTATTGTTGTTATCATAAATGAGACACAAACCAAAGACTGCAGTTATTGATTCAACAATTGTTATAACAAAAACATTTAAAATGACTGCTTTACTGACAAATATAGATACACTCTTGAGGCCATGGAGACAGCAGCAGATGTGCAGTGACCAGGTTGAAGTAGATAGTTGTTACTATCTCAGCTGCTAAACACAGTTCACACGAGTGGCACAAACAGAGGGATACACTGCAGAACATCTAACATCGTTCCATCTTTTTTGTGGACCAAAATTGCTATGGACACAATGTTCAACATTCTGGTTGTTGTTTGGTTCTCCTGCGGCCCAAAAGAAATATCTGGCAGGACAGCCGTCAGACCACAACCATCGTCTCTCTTTGTGAACGTCACTGAGTCCAATCCAGGTCAGACCCTCAGAGTGGTCAAAGTTCCTGATCAAAGTTTTGACAAAGTTATTTTCAGCCTGGTTGCGAATGGAGACCAAGTTGGCTCTCTGTGACAAACAGTGCAGCTCTGCATCAGCCCAGGTCATCGTTGTGGCGACATACTTGTAGCAGCGGCCATTGAAACTGTACCAGAACGGAGGACAGCTCCGACGCTGTAGCTCAAAGGGGCGGTCAACCGGAGTAGAGACAGTACACAGAGGCAGAGCAAAGATGAAGAGGAGCAGCAGCTGCAGCATCTTGGAGTCAGAGTCTGTCTTTGGAGGTCTTGATCTGTACTGCACCACGTTATTGAGGATCTCTGAAAGGCAGTGCAAGTTTCCCTTTTTATATGCTTCAACCACAAATTTACTCCATGTACCTTGTCCCTTTTAAGTTGATATTAAAGTTAGTTATTCTTATTAAGGTCAGCATATTGTCCTATTTAGATAAGATTAAAAATTTATCATCTTCATCAAGACAATAAACCCCTACCTGAGACCAAACACTTCCTTGGAAATAAATAAGAAAAGCCTGTTTATTACATCGAAGGTCATCTCAGTATCAGGTGAGATCATGTGACCTCAAACGTGATGATTATGAGGGTTGGGAAATGTACATATGAATATCAGCTGATAAAGGGGTGTTGGAACAGAAATCAAACAGGGCTGCAAAACAAGGAAACAAAAGATCAGTAATAAATAATCACAGTTTTCATCCACTATCAGTGAACTCTGGCTGTAGTGACGACGCTGACCTGAATTTTAGTCACTGTCTGGGTGTGGGAGTGAGGTGTTTTTGATGCACTTCTAGTACAATCCAATGTCCAATCCAAGGTTGTTGAGTTATATTTTTGCCATTTATTGATTTAGTGAAAAACTAAAAAAAAAAAGACATACTGTATAGATGTCCAAATTACTACATTGGTGATTTTGTGATGAAGGTGAGAGTGGTGTCAGAAATCAGTGGTAAAAACCATGTGCTCTTCCCGTTCCCCGATCACTGCTTCACCTGTGTCCCTTTGTACCATTTACCTCCAATCACCTGAAGTGCCCGTGGTGGTGATTGTGCGAGTAACAAAACAAAACCCCAAAAATAATACAGATAAAATGGCTCATACACTGGTCTGTTTTCTTACATCTCAATGCTGATGCTATGCTACTATGTTGTTTAAGCCTGTAGTAAACAGACTTGTCAGAGGAACTGATGTATGACTTTATCAGATTTAATAATTGACAAGGACCCAAACCCAGAACCTGTGCTCAACCAAGGAGCGGCAAAGTCTGGTCTCTCTGAGTGTTGGAAGTGTTTTTTATGGTTGCTGTGCTGGTGTGGCGGTGAAGGCAATGTTGAAGACTACGTAGTGGAGACATCAACTTTTTCTTCCATCAATCATCATGGAAAATGTCAAGTCTTCCTAACAACAGTGATGAGCTGGAGATAATTGTTGAAGACTGAGAAAGCATACCTGAGTGCAGTCTCCTGTGCTTTACTGAAACCTGGTTCAATCAATCAATCAAAACTTTATTTATAAAGTGCTTTTCATACAGAATATGTAACACAAAGTGCTTTACAGTTTATTTGAAAACAGTTCCACGTCCTTCCACCCAACCACCCAACCCCAACACTCAACAGTCAACAGTCACATACAAAGTCACACCTAAGGCCACACACACACACGCACGCACGCACGCACGCACACACACACACACACACACACACACACACACACACACACACACACACACACACACACACACAAATCAAAACAACTTGGACTCCAGTGTGGATCTACCTGGCTTCACTCTCATAAGGTCAGACAGAGATGCTAGTGGCAAGAAGAAAGGAGGAGGTCTGGCTAAATTTGTTTACCAGAGATGGTGTAACCCTTCTAACATAACTGTCAAGGAGAAATTGTGTTGTCCAGATATTGAAATGTTGGCAGTTGTTCTTCAGCCATATTATGTTCTAAGAAAGTTCAGACATATCGGCAAGTCATTCCACTTTAGTTCTGCTCCGTCACGCTGATGTACACAGTGTTCGTTAGTTCCAGCATTATCAGGCTGCCCTCCTGACCAGTAGAAGAACTTCGCTGCAGATCCATCCGACCACATCCAGTGCCCTTCCTTGTGGATGTCACTGAGTCCGATCCAGGTCCATCCTCCAGGAGGGTCAAAGTTTCTGATCAGAGTTTCGATGAATTCTGCTCCCCCAGGTTGTGAATAGACACCAGGTTGGTTCCCATTGACACACAGTGGAGCTCAGCGTCAGCCCAGGTCATCGGTGTGGCCACGTATTTGTAGCAGCGGCCGTGGTAGTCAAACCAGGATGTGTCGCAGTAGCCGGTCTGTAGCTGTGGTTGTTGGCCATGTGAAGGAGGCAGAGAACCCAGAGCCAGAGCAGACAAGAAGAGGAGCAGCAGCATGATGGCGTCAGTGCAGACTGAGGAAGACTCTGGTGGATGTCAGAAATATTCAGCATGCCCCAGAGAGGGTGTTGACACTGTTGATGTTTCATCATTGGTCAAATAAAAGTGGGTAAACATGCCATACTGTGTTACCCATGTATTAACACGTATTTTTAAAATTGAATAGACTGTTAAGTTAAATAGATGTTTAATAATTTTTGCATATGACAAAATTTTACTTCCATCCAAGTTTATTTATATTTACTGGAGAATAAAGGTTTTTTACTTGGTCCACAGCACATGCACCAAACTGTGTACCTGCAGCATCAATCCAGTCTTCTCTGCTGGTCTCACTACCTTTACGTTTTTTTTTTAATCCTCCTCTGTTATTTAGCTGTCAAAGGCCTACTGGGTAAACACTTGTTAGGACGACAACACAATAATAGGAGCCAGCATCAACACCATCATGAGTTTGAGGGACCATATCTTTGCTGATATATTGAGAAAACACCCAGAAGCCAATTTATTGATAATTTTGTGAAATGTAATGATATAGTTTGGTGTACAGATTTGTTGACTTACTCTCTTTGGACACTAGATGGTGTTACGAGGCTGTTGTTGGAGTAATTTTGATTACATTAGATTAAGTCTTCAAGTAACTTGGAAGTAAAGTGCTGGTAAAATGAAAGTGAAAAGAAATAAAACCCATTTATTGGAAAAGTATGACAGTACTTGTTAACACATGAATATTCCCAAACTTAAAATAGATGCACATACACATTGTGTGCACAGATGGGCAGATGTAGCAAATATACAAAAGCACTTATGAGATTATTTTACATGATTCCAGAAATGAATGGTTTCAAATATTTGCATGTTTATAGATTTCTTCAAAAGTCCTTTAAATTACATGTTATATTATTTCTATTATTGTTGTTATCATAAATGAGACACAAACCAAAGACTGCAGTTATTGATTCAACAATTGTTATAACAAAAACATTTAAAATGACTGCTTTACTGACAAATATAGATACACTCTTGAGGCCATGAAGACAGCAGCAGGTGTGCAGTGACCAGGTTGAAGTAGATAGTTGTTACTATCTCAGCTGCTAAACACAGTTCACACGAGTGGCACAAACAGAGGGATACACTGCAGAACATCTACCATCGTTCCATCTTTTTTGTGGACCAAAATTGCTATGGACACAATGTTCAACATTCAGGTTGTTTGGTTCTCCTGCGGCCCAAAAGAAATATCTGGCAGGACAGCCGTCAGACCACATCCATTGTCCCTCTTTGTGAATGTCACTGAGTCCAATCCAGGTCAGACCCTCAGAGTGGTCAAAGTTCCTGATCAAAGTTTTGACAAAGTTATTTTCAGCCTGGTTGCGAATGGAGACCAAGTTGGCTCTCTGTGACAAACAGTGCAGCTCTGCATCAGCCCAGGTCATCGTTGTGGCGACATACTTGTAGCAGCGGCCATTGAAACTGTACCAGAACGGAGGACAGCTCCGACGCTGTAGCTCAAAGGGGCGGTCGACCGGAGTAGAGACAGTACACAGAGGCAGAGCAAAGATGAAGAGGAGCAGCAGCTGCAGCATCTTGGAGTCAGAGTCTGTCTTTGGAGGTCTTGATCTGTACTGCACCACGTTATTGAGGATCTCTGAAAGGCAGTGCAAGTTTCCCTTTTTATATGCTTCAACCACAAATTTACTCCATGTACCTTGTCCCTTTTAAGTTGATATTAAAGTTAGTTATTCTTATTAAGGTCAGCATATTGTCCTATTTAGATTAGATTTAAAATTTATCATCTTCATCAAGACAATAAACCCCTACCTGAGACCAAACACTTCCTTGGAAATAAATAAGAAAAGCCTGTTTATTACATCAAAGGTCACCTCAGTATCAGGTGAGATCATGTGACCTCAAATGTGATGATTATGAGGGTTGGGAAATGTACGTATGAATATCAGCTGATAAAGGGGTGTTGGAACAGAAATCAAACAGGGCTGCAAAACAAGGAAACAAAAGATCAGTAATAAATAATCACAGTTTTCATCCACTATCAGTGAACTCTGGCTGTAGTGACGACGCTGACCTGAATTTTAGTCACTGTCTGGGTGTGGGAGTGAGGTGTTTTTGATGCACTTCTAGTACAATCCAATGTCCAATCCAGGGTTGTTGAGTTATATTTTTGCCATTTATTGATTTAGTGAAAAACTAAAAAAAAAAAGACATACTGTATAGATGTCCAAATTACTACATTGGTGATTTTGTGATGAGGGTAAGAGTGGTGTCAGAAATCAGTGGTAAAAACCATGTGCTCTTCCCGTTCCCCGATCACTGCTTCACCTGTGTCCCTTTGTACCATTTACCTCCAATCACCTGAAGTGCCCGTGGTGGTGATTGTGCGAGTAACAAAACAAAACCCCCAAAATAATACAGATAAAATGGCTCATACACTGGTCTGTTTTCTTACATCTCAATGCTGATGCTATGCTACTATGTTGTTTAAGCCTGTAGTAAACAGAGTCAGAGGAACTGATGTATGACTTTATCAGATTTAATAATTGACAAGGACCCAAACCCAGAACCTGTGCTCAACCAAGGAGCGGCAAAGTCTGGTCTCTCTGAGTGTTGGAAGTGTTTTTTATGGTTGCTGTGCTGGTGTGGCGGTGAAGGCAATGTTGAAGACTACGTAGTGGAGACATCAACTTTTTCTTCCATCAATCATCATGGAAAATGTCAAGTCTTCCTAACAACAGTGATGAGCTGGAGATAATTGTTGAAGACTGAGAAAGCATACCAGAGTGCAGTCTCCTGTGCTTTACTGAAACCTGGTTCAATCAATCAATCAAAACTTTATTTATAAAGTGCTTTTCATACAGAATATGTAACACAAAGTGCTTTACAGTTTATTTGAAAACAGTTCCACGTCCTTCCACCCAACCACCCAACCCCAACACTCAACAGTCAACAGTCACATACAAAGTCACACCTAAGGCCACACACACACACGCACGCACGCACGCACGCACGCACGCACGCACGCACGCACGCACGCACGCACACACACACACACACACACACACACACACACAAATCAAAACAACTTGGACTCCAGTGTGGATCTACCTGGCTTCACTCTCATAAGGTCAGACAGAGATGCTAGTGGCAAGAAGAAAGGAGGAGGTCTGGCTAAATTTGTTTACCAGAGATGGTGTAACCCTTCTAACATAACTGTCAAGGAGAAATTGTGTTGTCCAGATATTGAAATGTTGGCAGTTGTTCTTCAGCCATATTATGTTCTAAGAAAGTTCAGACATATCGGCAAGTCATTCCACTTTAGTTCTGCTCCGTCACGCTGATGTACACAGTGTTCGTTAGTTCCAGCATTATCAGGCTGCCCTCCTAACCAGTAGAAGAACTTCGCTGCAGATCCATCCGACCACATCCAGTGCCCTTCCTTGTGGATGTCACTGAGTCCGATCCAGGTCCATCCTCCAGGAGGGTCAAAGTTTCTGATCAGAGTTTCGATGAATTCTGCTCCCCCAGGTTGTGAATAGACACCAGGTTGGTTCCCATTGACACACAGTGGAGCTCAGCGTCAGCCCAGGTCATTGGTGTGGCCACGTATTTGTAGCAGCGGCCGTGGTAGTCAAACCAGGATGTGTCGCAGTAGCCGGTCTGTAGCTGTGGTTGTTGGCCATGTGAAGGAGGCAGAGAACCCAGAGCCAGAGCAGACAAGAAGAGGAGCAGCAGCATGATGGCGTCAGTGCAGACTGAGGAAGACTCTGGTGGATGTCAGAAATATTCAGCATGCCCCAGAGAGGGTGTTGACACTGTTGATGTTTCATCATTGGTCAAATAAAAGTGGGTAAACATGCCATACTGTGTTCCCCATGTATTAACACGTATTTTTAAAATTGAATAGACTGTTAAGTTAAATAGATGTTTAATAATTTTTGCATATGACAAAATTTTACTTCCATCCACATTTATTTATATTTACTGGAGAATAAAGGTTTTTTACTTGGTCCACAGCACATGCACCAAACTGTGTACCTGCAGCATCAATCCAGTCTTCTCTGCTGGTCTCACTACCTTTACGTTTTTTTTTTTAATCCTCCTCTGTTATTTAGCTGTCAAAGGCCTACTGGGTAAACACTTGTTAGGACGACAACACAATAATAGGAGCCAGCATCAACACCATCATGAGTTTGAGGGACCATATCTTTGCTGATATATTGAGAAAACACCCAGAAGCCAATTTATTGATAATTTTGTGAAATGTAATGATATAGTTTGGTGTACAGATTTGTTGACTTACTCTCTTTGGACACTAGATGGTGTTACGAGGCTGTTGTTGGAGTAATTATGATTACATTAAATTAAGTCTTCAAGTAACTTGGAAGTAAAGTGCTGGTGAAATGAAAGTGAAAAGAAATAAAACCCATTTATTGGAAAAGTATGACAGTACTTGTTAACACATGAATATTCCCAAACTGAAAATAGATGCACATACACATTGTGTGCACAGACGGGCAGATGTAGCAAATATACAAAAGCATTTATGAGATTATTTTACATGATTCCAGAAATGAATGGTTTCAAATATTTGCATGTTTATAGATTTCTTCAAAAGTCCTTTAAATTACATGTTATATTATTTCTATTATTGTTGTTATCATAAATGAGACACAAACCAAAGACTGCAGTTATTGATTCAACAATTGTTATAACAAAAACATTTAAAATGACTGCTTTACTGACAAATATAGATACACTCTTGAGGCCATGAAGACAGCAGCAGGTGTGCAGTGACCAGGTTGAAGTAGATAGTTGTTACTATCTCAGCTGCTAAACACAGTTCACACGAGTGGCACAAACAGAGGGATACACTGCAGAACATCTACCATCGTTCCATCTTTTTTGTGGACCAAAATTGCTATGGACACAATGTTCAACATTCAGGTTGTTTGGTTCTCCTGCGGCCCAAAAGAAATATCTGGCAGGACAGCCGTCAGACCACATCCATTGTCCCTCTTTGTGAATGTCACTGAGTCCAATCCAGGTCAGACCCTCAGAGTGGTCAAAGTTCCTGATCAAAGTTTTGACAAAGTTATTTTCAGCCTGGTTGCGAATGGAGACCAAGTTGGCTCTCTGTGACAAACAGTGCAGCTCTGCATCAGCCCAGGTCATCGTTGTGGCGACATACTTGTAGCAGCGGCCATTGAAACTGTACCAGAACGGAGGACAGCTCCGACGCTGTAGCTCAAAGGGGCGGTCGACCGGAGTAGAGACAGTACACAGAGGCAGAGCAAAGATGAAGAGGAGCAGCAGCTGCAGCATCTTGGAGTCAGAGTCTGTCTTTGGAGGTCTTGATCTGTACTGCACCACGTTATTGAGGATCTCTGAAAGGCAGTGCAAGTTTCCCTTTTTATATGCTTCAACCACAAATTTACTCCATGTACCTTGTCCCTTTTAAGTTGATATTAAAGTTAGTTATTCTTATTAAGGTCAGCATATTGTCCTATTTAGATTAGATTTAAAATTTATCATCTTCATCAAGACAATAAACCCCTACCTGAGACCAAACACTTCCTTGGAAATAAATAAGAAAAGCCTGTTTATTACATCAAAGGTCACCTCAGTATCAGGTGAGATCATGTGACCTCAAACGTGATGATTATGAGGGTTGGGAAATGTACGTATGAATATCAGCTGATAAAGGGGTGTTGGAACAGAAATCAAACAGGGCTGCAAAACAAGGAAACAAAAGATCAGTAATAAATAATCACAGTTTTCATCCACTATCAGTGAACTCTGGCTGTAGTGACGACGCTGACCTGAATTTTAGTCACTGTCTGGGTGTGGGAGTGAGGTGTTTTTGATGCACTTCTAGTACAATCCAATGTCCAATCCAGGGTTGTTGAGTTATATTTTTGCCATTTATTGATTTAGTGAAAAACTAAAAAAAAAAGACATACTGTATAGATGTCCAAATTACTACATTGGTGATTTTGTGATGAGGGTAAGAGTGGTGTCAGAAATCAGTGGTAAAAACCATGTGCTCTTCCCGTTCCCCGATCACTGCTTCACCTGTGTCCCTTTGTACCATTTACCTCCAATCACCTGAAGTGCCCGTGGTGGTGATTGTGCGAGTAACAAAACAAAACCCCCAAAATAATACAGATAAAATGGCTCATACACTGGTCTGTTTTCTTACATCTCAATGCTGATGCTATGCTACTATGTTGTTTAAGCCTGTAGTAAACAGAGTCAGAGGAACTGATGTATGACTTTATCAGATTTAATAATTGACAAGGACCCAAACCCAGAACCTGTGCTCAACCAAGGAGCGGCAAAGTCTGGTCTCTCTGAGTGTTGGAAGTGTTTTTTATGGTTGCTGTGCTGGTGTGGCGGTGAAGGCAATGTTGAAGACTACGTAGTGGAGACATCAACTTTTTCTTCCATCAATCATCATGGAAAATGTCAAGTCTTCCTAACAACAGTGATGAGCTGGAGATAATTGTTGAAGACTGAGAAAGCATACCAGAGTGCAGTCTCCTGTGCTTTACTGAAACCTGGTTCAATCAATCAATCAAAACTTTATTTATAAAGTGCTTTTCATACAGAATATGTAACACAAAGTGCTTTACAGTTTATTTGAAAACAGTTCCACGTCCTTCCACCCAACCACCCAACCCCAACACTCAACAGTCAACAGTCACATACAAAGTCACACCTAAGGCCACACACACACACGCACGCACGCACGCACGCACGCACGCACGCACGCACGCACGCACGCACACACACACACACACACACACACACACAAATCAAAACAACTTGGACTCCAGTGTGGATCTACCTGGCTTCACTCTCATAAGGTCAGACAGAGATGCTAGTGGCAAGAAGAAAGGAGGAGGTCTGGCTAAATTTGTTTACCAGAGATGGTGTAACCCTTCTAACATAACTGTCAAGGAGAAATTGTGTTGTCCAGATATTGAAATGTTGGCAGTTGTTCTTCAGCCATATTATGTTCTAAGAAAGTTCAGACATATCGGCAAGTCATTCCACTTTAGTTCTGCTCCGTCACGCTGATGTACACAGTGTTCGTTAGTTCCAGCATTATCAGGCTGCCCTCCTAACCAGTAGAAGAACTTCGCTGCAGATCCATCCGACCACATCCAGTGCCCTTCCTTGTGGATGTCACTGAGTCCGATCCAGGTCCATCCTCCAGGAGGGTCAAAGTTTCTGATCAGAGTTTCGATGAATTCTGCTCCCCCAGGTTGTGAATAGACACCAGGTTGGTTCCCATTGACACACAGTGGAGCTCAGCGTCAGCCCAGGTCATTGGTGTGGCCACGTATTTGTAGCAGCGGCCGTGGTAGTCAAACCAGGATGTGTCGCAGTAGCCGGTCTGTAGCTGTGGTTGTTGGCCATGTGAAGGAGGCAGAGAACCCAGAGCCAGAGCAGACAAGAAGAGGAGCAGCAGCATGATGGCGTCAGTGCAGACTGAGGAAGACTCTGGTGGATGTCAGAAATATTCAGCATGCCCCAGAGAGGGTGTTGACACTGTTGATGTTTCATCATTGGTCAAATAAAAGTGGGTAAACATGCCATACTGTGTTCCCCATGTATTAACACGTATTTTTAAAATTGAATAGACTGTTAAGTTAAATAGATGTTTAATAATTTTTGCATATGACAAAATTTTACTTCCATCCACATTTATTTATATTTACTGGAGAATAAAGGTTTTTTACTTGGTCCACAGCACATGCACCAAACTGTGTACCTGCAGCATCAATCCAGTCTTCTCTGCTGGTCTCGCTACCTTCAGGTTTTCTCTTCATCCTCCACTGTTATTTAGCTGTCAAAGGCCTACTGGGTTAACACTTGTTAGGGCGACAACACAATAATAGGAGCCAGCAGCAACACCATCATGAGTTTGAGGGATCATATCTTTGCTGATATATTAAGAAAACACCCAGAAGACAATGTATTGAGAATTTTGTGAAATGTAATGAGATAGTTTGGTGTAGAGATTTGTTGACTTACTCTCTTTGGACACTAGATGGTGTTACGAGGCTGTTGTTGGAGTAATTATGATAACATTAGATTAAGTCCTCGGGTAACTTGGAAGTAAAGTGCTGGTAAAATGAAAGTGAAAAGAAATAAAACCCATTTATTGGAAAAGTATGACAGTACTTGTTAACACATGAATATTCCCAAACTGAAAATAGATGCACATACACATTGTGTGCACAGACGGGCAGATGTAGCAAACATATAAAAGCACTTATGAGATTATTTTACATGATTCCAGAAATGAATGGTTTCAAATATTTGTATGTTTATAGATTTCTTCAAAAGTCCTTTAAATTACATGTTATATTATTTCTATTATTGTTGTTATCATAAATGAGACACAAACCAAAGACTGCAGTTATTGATTCAACAATTGTTATCACAAAAACATTTAAAATGACTGCTTTACTGACAAATATAGATACACTCTTGAGGCCATGGAGACAGCAGCAGATGTGCAGTGACCAGGTTGAAGTAGATAGTTGTTACTATCTCAGCTGCTAAACACAGTTCACACGAGTGGCACAAACAGAGGGATACCGTAAAGAACATCTAACATCGTTCCATCTTTTTTGTGGACCAAAATTGCTATGGACACAATGTTCAACATTCAGGTTGTTTGGTTCTCCTGCGGCCCAAAAGAAATATCTGGCAGGACAGCCGTCAGACCACATCCATTGTCCCTCTTTGTGAATGTCACTGAGTCCAATCCAGGTCAGACTCTCAGAGTGGTCAAAGTTCCTGATCAAAGTTTTGACAAAGTTATTTTCAGCCTGGTTGCGAATGGAGACCAAGTTGGCTCTCTGTGACAAACAGTGCAGCTCTGCATCAGCCCAGGTCATCGTTGTGGCGACATACTTGTAGCAGCGGCCATTGAAACTGTACCAGAACGGGGGACAGCTCCGCCGCTGTAGCTTAAAGGGGCGGTCGACCGGAGTAGAGACAGTACCCAGAGGTAGAGCAAAGATGAAGAGGAGCAGCAGCTGCAGCATCTTGGAGTCAGAGTCTGTCTTTGGAGTTCTTGATCTGTACTGCACCACGTTATTGAGGATCTCTGAAAGGCAGTGCAAGTTTCCCTTTTTATACGCTTCAACCACAAATTTACTCCATGTACCTTGTCCCTTTTAAGTTGATATTAAAGTTAGTTATTCTTATTAAGGTCAGCATATTTTCCTATTTAGATTAGATTAAACATTTATCCTCCTCATCGACAATAAACCCCTCCCTGAGACCAAACACTTCCTTGGAAATAAAAAAGAAAAGCCTGTTTATTACATCGAAGGTCACCTCAGTATCAGGTGAGATCATGTGACCTCAAACGTGATGATTATGAGGGTTGGTAAATGTACATATGAATATCAGCTGATAAAGGAGTGTTGGAACAGAAATCAAACAAGGCTGCAAAACAAAGAAACAAAAGATCAGTAATAAATAATCACAGTTTTCATCCACTATCAGTGAACTCTGGCTGTAGTGACTATGCTGACCTGAATTTTAGTCACTGTCTGGGTGTGAGAGTGAGGTGTTTTTGACGCACTTTTTGTACAATCCAATGTCCAATCCCAGGTTGTTATTGAGTTATATTTTTGCCATTTATTGATTTAGTGAAAAACTAACAAAAAAGACTTACCAAATATATGTCCAACTTACTACATTGGTGATTTTGTGATGAGGGTGAGAGTGGTGTCAGAAATCAGTGGTAAAAACCATGTGCTCTTCCCGTCCCCCGGATCACTGTCCCTTTGTACCGTTTACCTCCAATCACCTGAAGTGCCCCTTGTGGTGACTGTGCGAGTAACAAAACAAAAACCCCAAAAATAATATAGATCAAATGGCTCATACACTGGCCTGTTTTCTTACATCTCAGAGTAGACAGAGTAGTCAGAGGAACTGATGTATCACTTTATCAGATTAATGTCAATAATTGATAAGGACCCAAACCCAGAACCTGTGCTCAACCAAGGAGCGGCAAAGTCTGGTCTCTCTGAGTGTTGGAGGTGTTTTTTATGGTTGCCGTGCTGGTGTGGAGGTGAAGGCAATGTTGAAGACTACCAAACTGAGATATCAACTTTTTCTTCCTTCAATCATCATGGGAAATGTCGACTCTTCCTAACAACAGTGATGAGCTGGAAAAAAATTGTTGAAGACTGAGAAAGCATACCTGAGTGCAGTCTCCTGTGCTTTACTGAAACCTGGTTCAATCAATCAATCAAAACTTTATTTATAAAGTGCTTTTCATACAGAATATGTAACACAAAGTGCTTTACAGTTTATTTGAAAACAGTTCCACGTCCTTCCACCCAACCACCCAACCACCCAACCCCAACACTCAACAGTCAACAGTCACATACAAAGTCACACCTAAGGCCACACACACACGCACGCACGCACGCACGCACGCACACACACACACACACACACACACACACACACACACACACACACACAAATCAACACAACTTGGACTCCAGTGTGGATCTACCTGGCTTCACTCTCATAAGGTCAGACAGAGATGCTAGTGGCAAGAAGAAAGGAGGAGGTCTGGCTTTATTTGTTTACCAGAGATGGTTTAACCCTTCTAACATAATTCTAAACAAAATTTTTCTTCCGGGAGTGATAAACCTTTTGTATTGTATTTTATACTATCTTCGATTGACTGACAGATGGTGTGAATATGTGGGATTAGCAAATAAAAACAGGGCATTGTTTGCATACAGATGTATCTGTATTGCATTACATGTACATTTTATTTGAACTCTTTACTGACATGATCACAGTGAACAGGCCTGACATAATACAGAAAAAAAAATCAAGAGACAAATCGAGTCTTTCCTGGCAGGGCCACAAACTTTTTTATTTTTATCTAGTGTGCTCTTTGGCCTCTAGATCAAGATAACCAAAGATTTTTTTGGCATAAAGTTGCTCATTGAGCAACACTAAATAACTATTGATGCAAGTGTGATAGATGAACATGTTTTTATGGTTTACAGCCAGGTGATATTCTTCCCTGGAAGAAAACAACTCTTCACGTGGCTTGTAAAGTGATTTAACTTCTACTTTCATTATATCTTGACATGAGTCATCACTGTAGAGTTACAGATGGAAAGTAACAAATAACCCTTTCAGCAGTTAAGGGCAAATGTTACGAGACGCACAAACAAAAGGCAACGGTCTAGAGCACAAGAAGTCATTCCACTTTAGTTCTACTCCGCTATGCTGGTGTACACAGTGTTCGTTAGTTTCAGCATTATCAGGCTGCCCTCCTAACCAAGAGAAGAAATTTACTGCAGATCCATCCGACCACATCCAGCTCCCTTCCTTCTGGGTGTCACTGAGTCCAATCCAGGTCCATCCTCCAGCAGGGTCGAAGTTTCTGATCAGAGTTTCGACGAATTTCTGCTCCTCCAGGCTGTGAATAGACACCAGGTTGGTTCCCATTGACACACAGTGCAGCTCAGCATCAGCCCAGGTCACATGAGTGGCAACATACTTGTAGCAGCGGCCATTGAAACCGTACGAAAACGGGGGACAGCCCTGACGCTGTAGCTTAAAGGGGCTGTCGACCGGAGTAGAGACAGTACCCAAAGGTAGAGCAAAGATGAAGAGGAGCAGCAGCTGCAGCATCTTGGAGTCAGAGTCTGTCTTTGGTGTTCTTGATCTGCACTGCACCACGTTATTGAGGATCTCTGAAAGGCAGTGCAAGTTTCCCTTTTTATATGCTTCAACCACAAATTTACCTTGGTACATTTACAAATGTACCTTGTCCCTTTTAAGGTGATATTAAAGTTAGTGTTTCTTTTTAGGATCAGCGTATTGTCCTATTTAGACTAGATTAAACATTTACCATCTTCATCAAGACAATAAAACCTTCCCTGAGACCAAACACTTCCTTGGAAATAAAAAAGAAAAGCCTGTTTATTACATCAAAGGTCACCTCAGTATCAGGTGAGATCATGTGACCTCAAACGTGATGATTATGAGGGTTGGTAAATGTATGTTTGAATATCAGCTGATTAAGGAGTGTTGGAACAGAAATCAAATAGGGCTGCAAAACAAGGAAACAAAAGATCAGTAATGAATAATCACAGTTTTCATCCACTATCAGTGAACTCTGGCTGTAGTGACTATGCTGACCTGAATTTTAGTCACTGTCTGGGTGTGAGAGTGAGGTGTTTTTGACGCACTTTTTGTACAATCCAATGTCCAATCCAAGGTTGTTATTGAGTTATATTTTTGCCATTTATTGATTTAGTGAAAAACTAACAAAAAAAGACATTCCGTATATATGTCCAACTTACTACATTGGCGATTTTGTGATAAGGTTGAGAGAGGTGTCAGAAATCAGTGGTAAAAACCATGTGCTCTTCCCGTTCCCCGATCACTGCTTCACCTGTGTCCCTTTGTACCATTTACCTCCAAACACCTGAAGTGCCCCTTGTGGTGATTGTGCGAGTAACAAAACAAAACCCCCAAAATAATACAGATAAAATGGCTCATACACTGGCCTGTTTTCTTATATCTCAATGCTGATGCTATACTATGTTGTTTAAGCCTATAGTAAACAGAGTAGTCAGAGGAACTGATGTATGACTTTATCAGATTGATGTCAATAATTGAGAAGGACCCAAACCCAGAGCCTGTGCTCAACCAAAGAGCAACAAAGTCTGGTCTCTCTGAGTGTTGGAAGTGTTTTTTATGGTTGTCATGTTGGTGTGGAGGTGAAGGCAATGTTGAACTACGTAGTGGAGACAAAAACCTTTTTTTTCATCAGTTATCATGGGAAATGTCAAGTCTTCCTAACAACAGTGATGAGCTGGAGATAATTGTTGAAGACTGAGAAAGCATACCTGAGTGCAGTCTCCTGTGCTTTACTGAAACCTGGTTCAATCAATCAATCAAAACTTTATTTATAAAGTGCTTTTCATACAGAATATGTAACACAAAGTGCTTTACAGTTTATTTGAAAACAGTTCCACGTCCTTCCACCCAACCACCCAACCACCCAACACCCAACAGTCAACAGTCACATACAAAGTCACACACACGCACACACACAAATCAAAACAACTTTGACTCCAGTGTGGATCTACCTGGCTTCAGAAAATTCAGAGGATCTTTTGTACCCACAGCCATCAGACTTCTTAATTTTTCTGTAAATAGTAGATGAGATAAAACTCCAGAAAAACAAATTTTTCTTCCGGGAGTGATAAAACTTTTGTATTGTATTGTAAACAATCCGTGTTTGACTGACAGATGGTGTGAATATGTGGGATTAGCAAATAAAAACAGGGCATTGTTTGCATACGGTTGTATATGTATTGCATTACATATGCATTTTATTTGAACTCTTAACTGACATGATCACAGTGAACAGGCCTGACATAATACAGAAAAAAAAATCAGGAGACAAATCGAGTCTTTCCTGGCAGGGCCACAAACTTTTTTATTTTTATCTAGTGTGCTCTTTGGCCTCTAGATCAAGATAACCAAAGATTTTTTTGGCATAAAGTTGCTCATTGAGCAACACTAAGAAACTATTGATGCAAGTGTGATAGAAGAACATGTTTTTATGGTTTACAGCCAGGTGATATTCTTCCCTGGAAGAAAACAACTTCTCACATGGCTTGTAAAGTGATTTAACTTCTACTTCCATTTACATCTTGGCACGAGTCGTCACTGTAGAGTTACAGATGGAAAGTAACAAATAACCCTTTCAGCAGTTAAGGGCAAATGTTACGAGATGCACAAACAAAAGCCAACGGTCTAGAGCACGGCAAGTCATTCCACTTTAGTTCTTCTCCGTTGTGCTGGTGTACACAGTGTTCGTTACTTCCAGCATTATCAGGCTGCCCTCCTAACCAGTAGGAGAACTTCGCTGCAGATCCATCCGACCACATCCAGTGCCCTTCCTTGTGGATGTCACTGAGTCCGATCCAGGTCCATCCTCCAGCAGGGTCGAAGTTTCTGATCAGAGTTTCGATGAATTTCTGCTCCCCCAGGTTGTGAATAGACACCAGGTTGGTTCCCACTGACACACAGTGGAGCTCAGCGTCAGCCCAGGTCATTGGTGTGGCCACGTATTTGTAGCAGCGGCCGTGGTAGTCAAACCAGGATGTGTCACAGTTGCCGGTCTGTAGCTGTGGTTGTTGGCCATGTGAAGGAGGCAGAGAACCCAGAGCCAGAGCAGACAAGAAGAGGAGCAGCAGCATGATGGCGTCGGTGCAGACTGAGGAAGACTCTGGTGGATGTCAGAAGTATTCAGCATGCCCCAGAGAGGGTGTTGACACTGTTGATGTTTCATCATTGGTCAAATAAAAGAGGGTAAACATGCCACAGTGCCTGAGCACAGGAGGAAAAAAGAGCACAAGCTGACCCGCAGATGTCACATAAAACCTATAATTTATTCATTTCAGTCAAAGTTTGACATAGTAAAATGCAGCTTTAGAAAAGACATGTGGCTTCAGCTGTCAGAGGGTTGGAGGGGACACGATAGGATACGTATTGCTTCGTGGTTGACTATTTTCTTCATTTACAACTGTTAAATAAGAACAACATACCAAACATGGGCATATATTTACACATCAACAATATTACAAGAGTACAAAGCCTTCAACGTGTCCTCCGTGTGTTTTCTTTTAACATGCAAACAGGTTTGAAACAACATTGCTTCTATTCAAAAGAAACTAACTTTACACTGTCATGACAACGGCAGAGAAACACTAAACACGCCTCCTTCCTGCGGGTTTCCTTTTGCCATCAGAGGTCAGAGGGCGCCGTCACAAGGACTTGCGCCTCTGCTGACCCCAAGTGGCCACCTAACATAACGACAAGTAGTTACAGTACATTCCAGTGTTGTGGCTTTGAACCACAGACATCTCTTCTGCTCTGCTTGAACATTATTGAACCTCTGAACATGGCACATGTAGTTTTGTCACCTCAAAAATACATAAATAAACAATATATTACAATAAATAACTAGTAGCACAGTTAGTCTGCTCTGAACACGACGTGTTTGTGCATCATGTACAGGATAGTAGTAAACAGAGACTACCAAAGGCCTTTTTAATGAACAAACCAAAGCTCCAGCAGTCACAGGAGCATTGACAGGGGCTCTTCATGGGTGAAATATAATATAATCATAAATAGTCATCTGGTATTTGTTGATATAAATAACTCCATAAGGCGGATGTAAGTAATCTAAAGCGATAGTGCCAATAGGAAAACATATTTTACATCAGAGTAATATCAGTATTTAAAGCTCCTGTGAGGAGTTTTATGATGTTAATGGAATTTAATGAAATCCATATTGTAGCCTTTTTATGATATTTTAAAGCAAACCAGACCATCAGCAACGAAGACCAACAGTTTTCATATTGTTATTTTGAATATCTGAAACAGGTGTAAGGGGGCAGTAACGATTTATGACTGACAGTAAGCAGCAGGGTGAGATTTTATGCATTTAGCATTATGAGGATGAGACAAGCAAAGACTGCTTTGTCCACAGGGGGGCACCAAAATTGACACAAACAAAAAGTTCCTCACAGGAGCTTTAAATGGTTTAAATTTATCAATCCGCAAATCTGGCTCCACATTGTTGACAACAGGTAAATGTATATATTTTAAAGAGTCAGTGATTCACCTATGAACTACGAAAAACAAATGCTGACGAGTCCTTCAGTCACATTTTAATCACCTTAAATCATTTGTTGTTATGAACCAAATGTTTTTGACACAGAAATGTTTTTGTAATTTCACTCAGTTGTGCAGGAGACAGCTGTGAATGTGCTACAGGCAGGGAAAAAATCTACAGCAACACAAACACAGATCTAAGAAATGCTCATGGTTCTGCAGGACGGGGTGTTGTTTAAATTTGTAACTACTGTCATCACTGCTAAATATTTCCTTTACACAACTCCAGAGTGAGCTGATTCAGTCAGAGCATGACGGGTCGATCCTTTCGTGATTTGAATAACAAATGTCTGTTTTTACACACCAGCATGAAGATGTATCTCAATCTGTGTGGTTTAGGATTTATGGTAAAGGATTTATAGTCCATTTAAATGGTAGCTGGAGAGCCAGGATATTGTGAGTGATGCATGTTATGTAAGGGTGGACTGATATTCAGCATGTGGCTGATTATCTATATCGGCCTTTATTCTACAGATGGACAATAAAATGAGTTGATTAAAAATGTGCTACTTCAGCTCCTCTGAAGGTGGGTGTTTGTTTTCTTACACCACTTAGTTTCTCCCAAGTCCCACCAGCCTGATCGTATTGGCTGGACTGTTCATTTCTGTATTTGAATGATATTGATCATTGTAGATTTAACATTTTCTGAAGGCATTTAAGCGAAATTCTGGCTCTTCATATTCGGCATTTTGACTGACGGTATTACATGTGAACTATTAATGCACGCCATTTCCTAAAATCATGATATCGGCCTTATGAACAATTAGTAATCAGTATCCATATTGGCCCTGAAAAACTGATATCGGTCGACCCTCAAACCGAGGCTTTATCAATCAAAGAATCTTGTGCTTCCATAAGTCTGTCTACATCTGTGTTGAATTTGCTTAATAAAGTTATTTCTTCACACAGCTCCTTTCTCTAGTGCTTTGACTTTTCTCTTCAAAAAGAAAAAAAAAAAGGAAAATATCTCTGGGGAGAAAAAAATTGGACTTTTTCCAGAGCATGTTCAAAGAAATCAAAGCCTCCTGCTATGAAAGAAACACATAAACACATTGATCTCTAAACAAACTAAGAGCCACGACTCAATGTGACATTTGGCACTGAAAAAACGTATAGGTCCATATTATATACAAGTTAAATTATCATTATCTATTCACAAGAAAACAGAGAGGAGAGTGTATGGGGAAAAGTCAACCAGGACTTTGAAATACAAAAACAAAAAACAATAGCAGTTCACTATTTATCAACTGGCACGTTCAGGAAAATGAGTGTTTCAAAAAATCAGTCGAACAATAAACACAATGTGCTGCTAACACCTCTGAAGCTCTGTATCTAAGAGCCTCAAGGAGAGAAAAACGTTTTAAAAAAAAGGAGCATAGGTGTTTTTGCTTCAGGAGAGGCTGCTGCTTGTGTTCCTGAAGAAGCTGCAAAATAAAACACGTCTGTCCTCCACATGCATAAAAAGGCAGGAATGTGATAATCTGCGTGAAATGGACGGCAGGATTTGGACACCAGGTTATAAACTCCTCTACGTTAAAACTGCCTGTGACTGAAATGATAAGGAGGCTGCTGAGTCCTTGTCTGGGACAGAAATAAAGGAACATTCCACCTGCTGAAAAGGCTCATAAATAACAAACCACAGGAACAAAAACAAGAGCATACTCAGTTCAATAGATACTGTACAAACTAGTTACAACTTCTTCTTGTCTCTGTTTGGCAAATCTCCCCCCTGACTCATTAAAAGCAGCATGTCTGGCCTTTTTAAATCTGTCTTTCCCACATGTTTGGGTCCAGGCAGCTCTGGGTCTTCATGGCACCTTCTTATTCCACTGCTGGTAGTGTGATTTTGTTGCTCTGTCTCTGTGAGTGTGTTTCACATTGCTTTACGAAGCGTCCGACACGTCACACGTAGGAGGTGCTCACATCAGTCTGGTGTCTTTGTGTCTATCAGGGTGTTGGTGTGTGCTGTTAGGCGCGTGGCTCCAGTTTGTGTGAAAGCTCGAAAAGCGTCTGCTGATTGTCGATGATGTGCAGGTAGTGAACGCTCGCCCTCACCTCCGCACTGTCAACCCCGATCACCTCGTTACCTGAAGAGGAGAGGAAACACAAACCTTAGCGACACAAAGAGTTTCCATGAAAACACTCACTCACTCACGTCATCACAAACACAGACTGTATTATCATCATACAAAGAGTGTAAAGGTCTGTCTGGAAATGGTTGCTAAGAAACTGCAGTGCTACAGCTGCAGTGCACCAAATCAGCTGCAGGTGGCGGTAGAAAGTTAAGAATGAACAGCTCCAAACATCAAGACTTCACTTCCAAACAGTTTGTCAGAAGACAGCAGCAAAGACCTGTTATAATTGTTATAAAAGTGCAACAGAAAACACTCACCCGGCTGGTCGCTCTGGCAGTGGCGAATCATCCTCACTGTGTCTGCAATCATATGCTGTAGGTTTAGGAGAGGACAAACTGCATCAGTGCAACCAAAAACGGTCATCATTTGAGTTATAACTCTCTTATAATGCTTCGCAAAAGCAGAGATTTTCCACAACATTGTCAGTCAGTTTTTGGGTCCCTAACAAACAGCGCTCTGAGGCTTTTTTCAATCTGCCGGCCAATTTTCTTCTGGCACAACAGACTTTTTTTCCCTGATTGATTTGAGTCAGTCTGAAGAGCAAAAAAAAAAAAAGAAAAACTCAATATGAAATGGAGTTACAGCAGAACTGATCCAAGTCACATTTTAGCTGCTTTGAAATGCAATTCCAATCCTATTTCTACGCATCTCTGTTTCACGCCGTCCAAATAGGAACTCAGTGTCTTTTGTGTGAGATGCAGCTCATCACAGCATTTATAGTCTCTGTAAACAAAAGCTGAGTGAGATACAGAGTCTGTAGGCAGATCAGAAGAGTTTGAGTTTCTGTTGTCTGAAACGCTCAGGTGATAGTGTTAAATTGGGGTTTGTGTGTTAGAAAACCGTGAAAGAGTCAGCTATGATAACATACTAGATCTCCATAATTTAACCCATTGGTAAGTTGGACACCTATCATGTTGATGTACGTTTTAATACATTCATATTAGATGTCTAGACAAAACCTTTTTCTAAAAACTTGGCAAGATTCAGTTTGAATCTGACACCAAGTGCTGCTGTCTGTTAGGTTGTAGGACTTGCCTACCCAGCAGCTCCTTCAGTATCTTCCTGCCTGGGAAAATCAATTTCAGGAAAAGATCTAAATGCAGGTAAAGAACCACAAGCTGTGAGCAACATAAGTGCAGGAAATCAACAATAGAAAAGGTCTAATAGGGCACCTCAGACATTTTCTGTGAGGGCAGAATATTCAGGCCATCTCATGAAGACAAAGCTGTGTGAAAAGTAACACCCTAAACCCTAAAACTGTGTCTAACTTAACATCACCAGAAAAGCAGCCAAAATGAACCATTTCAGGCAAAGGCTGGAAAGTGCTGAAATAAGGGTTTGAACATTCACCAGTATAGAAATTGCTATTTAAAGCTCCTGTAGGGAATTTTTTTTACATTTATGAAATACACTGAATTCCATATTTCTGCCTCTATACAATGTACGAAAGCAAACAAGACCACCAGCCGCAAGACTGGCAGTTTTCATATTATTTATATTGGGGTAGGTGTCAGTGGAGTGATGAAAGAAAAAGCTCCCTTTCCAAAGTTTTCTAATTGAATATTCGTAAAATGATGCATTTGATGAGATTTATAGTCAGAAGAAAATACAAAAGCATGGAGAGGAGAAACGCAAAGCCTGTTTTAAACACAGAGTCAACCAGAATTGACACAGAGAGATTAATATTAAGATTGACATGCAGAAAATCTTGTAAATCGTGTTCATTAAAGAATCACTTAGAGATGAAAACAAAACCTTAACTTCACTATCTCATTAACACTCTATATCCTGTGACTGACTTGTATGTATCTATTTATTTGATTCACTGACAGACTTTTAAAAGTTGAAGTAACTCACCAGCTTCTCAAAGTTGACCAGGTTGTCATGGAAGGTCTTATTCCCCTCGTGAATAAAGGTGATATCTAAATACCGAGGAAAAGTTTATCACTGGTTGTTTTGTCAACAAAAACACAAGCCTGTGTGTGAGTGTGTTTAGAGGAGTCAGAAAACGTACCTTTCAGAAGAAGAGGCATAAAAGGGATCTTAGGAGGTTTCATCCTCTTGAAAGCTTCCCTGTAGGCTTTGTGGTTCAGAGAAGGATCCTGAATGATGAGCACAAAGAAAGAAAAGGAAAGATAAACAAAGAGGAAGAGATTCTTCAGATTTTGATATCAGATGAAAAATGGGACAGATTTCAAGCTCTGTGTTGATCTTGTTTCTGTTTGGATAATCTCACCGTAATGAGCTCCAACTCAGAGAAAAGCTTCTTAAACTTCCCCGGACATTTCTAAAAAGAGAAGAGTTTGGCCAGATTTAATTTGAGATGCAAATCACTGAGTTTAAAGTCACTATTTATCTCGTTTGTTTACCTCCCAGGTTTGGTTGAGCCTGCTGACAGCTGCTGTGTTTAGACCCATGATGATGGCAAATGCAGAGTTCAGATTTCTTTGGGCTTTGCAGCTAAAAAAAACACAAAAACATCCAAAAAATAACGTCAACACGCTTAAAACATTTAACTCATTTCATTTATGCACGTTGTTTTCTTCTTACTGAGCGGCGATCTTGATGAACTTCTTGAGCAGCTGCACACGTTTGTTGAGCGACACACACATGAGCACCTCGGACATGACCCACTGCTGGACCTCGTTGCAGCGCTGCAGCAGGACTGAGAGCGCCGCCGTGTGGCCGGTGCCGGGAGCACGGCTGAGGGTGTAGTACACCAGCTCCTGCTGCATGTGGAAGGAGGGAAGAGGGTGAGTGAAGCGGTATTAAAGCTCCTGTGTAGATTTTTTGTTTCATGTATATCTGGCGCCCCCTGTGGACAAATTGTTACTTCTTGTGAAAGTGTTTTTCACAACAAAACAATAAACTGTTAATAAACTGTCCAGAGTTCAGATAGACTCCACATACATACATGTAAATGCCAAAAAACATCCACATGACAGTATTTAGGCCACTTTTAGATGGAAACGATCTCCACAGAAAACGGAAAAATTTAGTTTCGTTTTAGGGGGTCCGTTTAGACGGCAACTGCGTTTTCAGGAGATGAAAACGTAACAAAGTGAAAACCCCCTCCAGAGTGGAAATGTTGTAAACGCTCTGCTAGTCCCGCTTTCTTCTAAAGTACAAAAACGCTGAAAACAGTCAAACCTGTGATGTCCTGGTTCACGTCGGCTCACGCTTATGACATCATAGCCATGCGCGGCTTCCTTGAAAATAACATCAACAACCATGCTGGACATTCCAGTCACGCTGTCGTTATTAATGAAAGGACAGGAGCTCAATTTCGACCTGTACAGAATCCTCACGGATCATACTGCTCAGCAGAGGAGGCGTCTGAATTATTTGCATAAAAACTGAAAACGAAACGGCAATTTTCCGTTTTCTATGGAGACCGTTTCTGTCTAAAAGTGGTCTTAGATGCAGTCCTCTGTGCTTTCCCTCCTCATTTCCACAAATACTCGTCTTTCTTAGAGCTGCTTAGCTGCAGGAAGACGTTCTGCACTCATGATCCAGCAAATCTCATGGAGCATTTGCATCTTTAATGCTCATGTTTCAGCACTCTCTGCCATGAACATGAATTTATTATGAACCCCACTTGCACGTCACACGCATTTCTGTTGGAGTATGTACTGTATAAGTGTGTGTATACCTCATGGATGTTTTTGAAGAGGCCCCAGTCCAGGTGTGTGAGAGCAGCAGCAACATCCCAGGTGTTTATACCTAAGAGTCGCACAGGCCTCCTGCTTAGCTCAGCGCTGTCTGTTAAAGGAGGCTGCACACACAGAGGAGAGTTAAATTAGTACTTAAGTGTGTCTATTAAATAAGCTAAACAGAGGCTTAAAAATTGCATCATCATAATAAAGAAGGAGGCTAAGAGTATTTTTAGGAGGCTAAGGAACATTTAAAAAAACAATGAAGCACAAAAACATCAGGGACAAAGCCTTCAGCCTGCACACAAGCAGACTTGAAAGCTGAGATGAGAGCGCTGATTCCTGCAGAGCAATTGTTCACTCCTCCTCTAGTTACAGCTCACTATCTGAATAACAATTGTGTATTTGTCAGCCTGTAAATTGACACTAACTCAGTTCACACAATGTTCTTTTTATTAAAACTTAATATCACATCACTGTCAGCACCCCAGCTGCAGGAAGGATTCATCAAAATGTGTCTAATAAAGAGGATTTACATGTTCGCCGCTCAATATTAAACAATCAACCATCTGCCCTGGAAACACAGATTTCAAAATGCCCACGGAGGGTTTGAAAATTCACACCTACACTGGGGGAAAAAATCAGAGCAGCTCACTCTGATACAGCACTTTTCTGTCTTACCATCGTCGTCAAGCAAACAACAAAAAGGAAGTGACTCAACTTTTCTCCCCCGTTGAGTCAGAGTTTCAACAATCACCTGAGTCCTCTGGCTTTGCTGATAAGGTCTGACTCATCATAACACTGTGAAAATATTTCTAATGGAGAGTTCGTCTTTCATTCTTACGCCTGATGAACGAATCATCATACCCCTAAGAGGCTGTGGTTTAACTTTCACCTGCATGTTTCATCCCCACCTTTGATTAACGCAATTAAGAGATAAAAAGGAGGAAGATTTCAGATCACAGCAGGACACATGCACAAATCCAACCGTGTATTTACACACCAAGATCTCAGTGAGGTCCCTCCGACAGGTCATCAGCTTCCCCTGTGGGGTCAGAGACTCTGAATACACGCAGTCGCTAGGCTGCAACACCCGCCGCTCTGCAGACGCACAAATACAGAGAAGGGGAAAACAAAGAGGTTATCACACCAGGTATTAAAAGTCCTTCAAAAGCAAAACTAAAAAGCAAACTCAAAGTTATGAATACCTGATTAAAATTAATGATCTGACAGCTGACATCGTAAAATGGTTCAAAAAGCTTCTATTAAGTACACGCATGAGACCAAACTGACCTGAACTTTTAAATAACTTAAACGAGCAACAATATCAACTTTTATGTTGTTAATATTTTGAACCACTGGTCCAGAAAATGAGCATTTTAAAGAGTTAATGCTGCAGTTATAGGAATGTCATGATTATATGTGGCGCGCGCATTTCTTTGTGTGTGTACCTCCGGTGTGCGACACCACAGCCAGCACCATTTCCTCTTCTGCTCGGTCCATCTTCTGACCCACAATCCTCAGCAGCTCGTGGGCCTCCAGTGACGGGTGCGTGTGGATGCTCAGGTAAGAGTCGGCGCTCACGTACACGCAACAAATGACTGTGAACACACAAACAGAAAAGGGTCATTTCTGCAGAGTGCTCGTAATGACAGAAAGCTGCAAACTCTGTGTTTAAGCAATTTGCATGTGGACATTATGCATGAAATAACAACTCACAGACTGTCATTATGCATGATTGTGATCAGTCCAGGGTGGTGTGTAGTTGTGTTTAGTGTTTAATGCGTGTGTTTGTGTTTGTTGCTCACCCTCTCTGGTCTCTGCTGGTGGGCTTCGAAGTTGTAAACAGTTTTCCTTCAAACTCAGCTGCTGATGTGTTTGTTTACTCTGACGGAGAGACAGCACAATATGGAGTTGGTCATATGTGTCACTTATTCTCCTCACTTTGTCTTTATTCAGTAGTAAACATTAGGAGCAGGTGCAAGGAAGCTGACTAAAGCAGCATGAATGTAATGACTAAACCTCTCTTCAACCTACCTTTTGGTTTGGAGGGCAGTCATCCACAGTGCTAAGACAAAAATCAAGCACACAAGTCAGCAGGTATGTAGGTAGGCACAGAAAAAAAGCCAGAGACAGGCTTTCATGTCTGACATACAGAGACAAACACACTTACTGTCTGCGGCGCAGAAGTTTCTGGAACTCCTTCAGGTCTTTCTCAAGTGTGGGGAACTCATACAGGTCCTCTAAAACACACCTGTACAGAGTCTGGAAACAAAGCAAGAATTTCATGTTTCAAAAGGTGATTTATATTTATAAGGATGTGATTTCATCTGGTTTTATGATACTTGAATTGAGTAAACAAAACAAAGAATCAGCACACGTCAAAAGTCCCTCACTGGGGCTTTAATCTGAATGACTCTCTTCATCGGGAACACCTCTCAAACACGGACACTATTGGAGCAACTCTTAAACCTTATGAATACTTAAGGCAGGCCAGTGTCTATAAAAGCTACTCCTGATAATAACACAGCACAGCTTTCTTTTATTTTAATGACATTACAAGAAGGAGGCAGGATAAGTTATGAGTCCTTGAGCCCATAAGAACCAGCTCCATAACAGCAGTACAACAGTCTGTGCAGCAGCGCTAACAGAACGGCTAAATTGAGCTGCGTTGGTTGATCCCATTAAAGAAACATCCGGCCAATTCTGCATCCTGTGATTTAATGGCTGACTCGTCACAAACTCCTGTGTTTGCGTGTCATCTGTGTGTGTTTGTGTTGTTGTAAAACTATAAAGCGGCGACAATGACAACTCACAAGGACACACGCTCTTGCATTCCCGCACACGTAATCTTCACACACACCTGCTTATCGCTGACATTGACCCGCCATCGTCTCCCATCCCAATTTCCCTCTTGCTGCTCTGTTACTAGGCAACTATCACCTGGGTTACGCACTCCATATGAGATTATACCCATGCCAACCCTCGCACTTTGGTTTCCGTGGCAACGGGGCACAGTGCAACGCAGCCGCCGGGTTACAGAGGGACGGGTGATCAGTGTGTGTGTGTGTGTGTGTGTGTGTGTGTGTGTATGTGTGTGAGTGTCATGGTTTCTGCATGACTCAAATTTAGTCTAGATGTTTCATGTGACAAACACTGAGGAGGACGCACGCAGCATTTTAATGAAATTTCATGAAGCCGTGATGGTAAAAGTCTCCTGTGAGCAGCTTTTCAATGTCATGACGTTCTTGGTGTTTATTTTATTTCATGCACAGTAAACAGAAAGAGCATAGTCTGTCTATAATATGTAAATGATACATCACATGTTATTTATATGTCTTGGTTTGACATGTAAATGTGAAAAATGAAGCCTTCAACAATAATGTAACCTTTCAAGTCTGCTGAAATCCTCCTTTGCCATGTTTTATTCGTTTGCTTTGTCGGAAAGCTGAGATATAAACATCAACAAGGTTCTCCAAAGGGAGATGGCTTGAACTCAGCTCAGAGGAAAGACAGCAAACAGAGAGATCAGGAACAAACATCACACAAACACACACTCTGCTCGGCCTTATTTCCCCCACAATGTGCTTGATGTTCTGTCTGTGTAGGACAGAGAGATGAAAAAACTCCAGAGGATCTAAATCATTCAAACATGTGAAAATTCAGCGAGGAGAGGACACAGAAATAAAGAGTGGAGTGTACCTTCATGAAGCTCCTGACGTGTTCCTCTTCCTTGAGGAAGTCCTTGTAGAGTCGGCTCCAGTGAGAGACCAGCTGTAGTACCTTACGCTTCCTAAAGAGGGCGTCTTTGCCCTCCTCCTGGCCTCTGCAGCGAGCACTGCTATAAGTGAGAGCGGTCAAGGAGACAAAGCTAGACAGTGAGGAGGCTAAAATGATGTGTGTGTGTGTATTTTCCAGTAAGGATATTGTCCCAGCAGAGCCTGACAGAGGTCGTTCGTGGACATGAAGACCAGGTAGGTCAACAGGAAGTCATCCAGCAGCAGTTCTGAAACATAAAAACACACATTGTTAGCAATTATAAGTTAATAAAATATTTGAGTTTTTGAAACATCACAAATTGACCCTAATCTTTCATTCTAATATGTTACCTCCAATTTCTGCCTTTATTTGCCTTTATGTAGTTTAAAAATCACTTGTTTAATATCAATAAAGAAATCAGATGGAGGAGTTATGTTTGGGAAAGCCTGCACAGATAAATCCACAGTGACTGATCAGCCTAAATTTTAGAGTCTTGCTTCTTTTGAGCTCATTTTTGTTCCTCAGCACACTCTCTTCTGTTCCAGTTCGCCCTGTTGCGTCATTTTTCCTCTGCAACAAGCTGCTGTTTTCGGTGGAAAGGCTCCACAGATTTTCCGTGCGCTACCTGCCCAGCGCCATCAGCAGACAGGCAAAGTTAGTGACAAGCTGGTGAACACAGCGGAGCACTTAGCCGCTAAAGAGCCGGATGTTTCCCTCAGGAGTTGGACGGAGACCAAAGCGAGAGTGAATATTGGACTTACAGTCATCAGCAGGCCAGAAACAGGACTCTAAATGAATGCTAATGCTGCTCTGTGTCGGGAGACTCTTTTAGATGAAGCTCTTTACAAACGCATCAGCAATATCAACTTAAAAAGTGTTGATGTGTTTATTTTGGCTGCACAAAATCAACAAATAAAAACACATTTCAAGTCTTGTGAAGAGAAATTTATATATTTTGGGTTCTTTGCAGACTTTCTCTTAACTGGAGATCCTTCAAATTAGGAAGTAAGGTCCGCATTATCAGATTTCTTTTTTAAATTTCACCTAAGGGACACTGCTGGCGCCTCAGTCTGCGCCTGCGTCCCATATACAGAGGTTATGCCCTGAGCAGGCCTGGGTTCACCTCCAGTCCTTTTGTGCCTTTTCCACATGTCACTCCCCGCTCTCTCTACTCATCTCCTCCTCTTTCCACTGTACATTTCCAAGTACATTTTGAGCACAGGGGGTCGGACTGTGGGGTGAGAAGTGTTCAGACTTCTGAACAAACCACCATGTATCAGCAGATTTTGGTTTATGCAATAAGCAGTACTTAAAGAGCTAAAGCAGGCAAGTTTGCCATTATGATATGCTCCAGTGGTGTATACTCAGTTGAAAGTTTACCTCTTGGATCTCAGATGTAATTCGGCAATCTGGTTTATCATGTCTATAATCTCAGCAGAATGAAATCTGTTATCTGTGTCTTTTCACACATGTGCGCATTTTGACCTCTGTTGGTGCATGTTCGGTCTGAAGTTTACATCTACTTGCAGTTTGATTTCTCATATAAAAAGTATTTTTGTAAAGTTTGAGCAAAGGACATGATGAAGAGCAACTTCAGTCAATCAATCTTTATTTACGTATATAGAGCCAATTCACTTTGTGTAATCTCAAGAAACTCAAAAAAGCTGGTCTAGACTTTACTCTATTGACAAAGACTCAGTGTAAAGATGGGATAAAACTAAGCTCCATCTTATAAGATCAGACCCACTTCCATCCTATCTTCACTTTACAGGATTCATCAAGTTACAGTGGAGAAGAAGAACTATATATAATAGGCAGAAACCTCAAGCAGAACCAGATTCATGTTAGACAGACATCTACTGAGCTGGGTCTAGAGAGGGGAAAGAGGAAGATGAAGGAAGAGAGAAGTGTAAAGAGGTGAGGCTGCTGAGAAGTTTCAAGAGTGATTGTTTCCAAATACTATGAAAGCTGATGATTGTGTCTGGTGTGTTTCATGTTGAGGTGAAATGTGACGCCCCATTGTGGTGAACTCTGAGACAAAGCTGCGCAAAAATTCACATGACCACGAAAGATACCAGCTCCTCTTTCTCAAACACAAACGAGAACGAACACAGTCGAAGAAATTCACCTGGGCAAACTGCAAGTGTGTGTGTGTGTGTGTGTGTGTGTGTGTGAGAGACTCAGCAGGTGCTCAATGGCTAAAAACTGAATATGAACAGCCCTCGTGGCAGATGGGTAATGAGCCATTGTTGGTGGTGTGAGTTTGCTGTGGCGCGCATGTTTGTGTGTGTGTGTGTGTGTGTGTGGTGTCAAACTCTTTGCCTGGGAAAATGTGTGACCCAAATATGGCTCTGTCAGGCAGAGAGCAAAGGAATCAATTATAGAAGACTGAACAGAGGCCGCAGCATTAATATTTGATGGAGCGTCTTCTCTTTGGAAATAAAAACACAACTTCTCCAGAGAAATCTTTTCAGGCAGGTCTGTCTGAGTGTATCACTTCTTTGAAAAAAAAAGCCTGCTGAATTACCGCCATTCCTCTTTTTTCTCTCCAATCTGTGCATGTAGAGCTACTTGACCAGCTGCCACTCTGCTCTGTATTCCCCCAATCTCTCTCAAACTATCTCCTCCCTCCACCCGTCATCCATCACTCCAACCCTGTATTTCATTTTCTCCTTCTCACGGCTACATTTCCTCCCGCTACCTCTCCCCTCCTACGCTCGGCTCTCTGCGATGATAAATATCCATTTTCATCTTCAACATATGCCCTCTGAGTTTGCCCGCTGGCACGCACAAAGTCAGACACACATGCAGCACCCTGATGAATAACTCATTCACATCTGACCTTGGGGAGTTTATCTCTGGTGGGAGAGAAAGGCAGACAGGAGGATGTGTGTGCGCGCGTGTGTGTGTGCTGGAGTAATCGCAGTAATCTGCTGCTGCGTTGAGTGTTGTTGTGTGTGTTTTTATGTGTACACGAGGAGGAGATGGTTGGGGTAATCGCTCTCTCTCTCTCTGTGGAAGCGTGTTCGAGCCTGTTCAACATGCTGCACGGCTAAGCCCGCTAAAACGGCACACTGATGCTCAGCAACAACCCAGAGGGCCTTCAAACACACACACACATATGTACACACACAGTTACATGCTAAACCTCATGCTTATTCAGCACACATACACAGCTAGGCGAAAATACACATACACACTCTTTATCTTCATTCCTGTTTCTTCAGGGAAAAAAAAGTGTCTTTTTCCTTTGAGTGAGTAAAAACCAGGCGGACTTCTCCCACAAAGACCACCTCAGTCCTCTTTCTCGCTCTCTTTTCTCTCACACTCATCCCTCACTCTCTCTTCATTCGCTTCCTGCAATTCAGTAAGATGGCTCCCTGTGGACTGCTGGGAACTGGTGGAGCTGGAGAGTTGATACATAAAGACGCCTTGTCTTAAAAACGGAGGAAACAAAGAAGCAGGAATTGGTTCGTATAAAACACAGGTTGAGCGTTATTTCACTGAAGCAGAGATTTTAAGTGACATTATAGAGAAATTTATGTGAGTAATTGTCAAGTTCTGCCTTCACAAATGTGACGATTTTTAATTTAATTTAATTATCATTATTTTTATTTATTTTATTTTTTTTTTGGGGGGGGGGCATTTTTACAGAAAGCAGAGAAAAATAAATAAGTGGGATGAATGTGTATCCTAAGTTGCACACCACTATTTGTTACCCATGAACTCATGAACAAGAACTTGATCTCCAAAAAGAAATCTGTTTGTCTGGAATCTCATCTTATCCGCTGTGATAAGAAGAATTAAGAAGTCTAACGGTTGTAGGTACACATGATCTTCTTAATCTCTCTGTCATGCAGCAAAGAGAGAAGAGTCATCCTCCACTGTTGTTGATTTTTTTTTTTTGGTCCATCAAGATGATAAAAGATGGGTGATCTATGTTTTTCAGAATGGCCTTTTAGCCCATATCTTAGCGATTGTTTCATGGAGAACATCACACGAAACTTCAGCCGTTGCCTTGAGTGGGATGTATACAAGTATTTTTATAATATGACTGAACTCCCTTGCAACATAACATGGCCAAAGAGCAACTGCCAAAACATCCTCTCCTTGACATCCACGTGTGAGGAGCCAATACCATTCCTGGCCAACAAACCAAGCCAGACCCCCTCCCCTCAGGAGAAGACGAACAATACCTAAGGATGGGTCCCAAAGTGGAGGTTAGGTGTCTCTGAGAGGTTAAATTGCAGATTTGATCAACTAATGTAAAAATATATCAAATATTTGTATTTCCATTTCCATGTATTTCCATGGCAAAAAAAGAGGTGATTATGACTGATTGAGGACAACAGCAGTCACAGCAGGTTGATTTACAGCAGCACAGAAAACAGCAACAGGTTCATATACTTTAAGTCAGGAGATTTTTTGCAGACACACAGGAGTCACCTGCATGTCTTCAGTTCAGCACCAGTCTAACCATAAAGCACACTTTGTATTCTACTTGAAGCCTTTTTATTAGATGACAGTAAGTGAGTCGGTTTATGGATTGGCCTGTTAGTTCAAGTGTGCAGCTTTGAGCATCGTCTAAACACCTTGGGGGACATTGGAGGTCACCAGTCTCTATCACAGTTATTTTTGAGGTCATGGACTGAAAAGTATGACTGTAAGGTTAACTCCTGCTCTAATGAAGAAGCAAGAAGCTCATGAGTGGGTGTGAAGGTCGTAAATATCAGGCATGATGTTTAACTTTACAGCCATTTGAAAGAGCTTGCAGCAGAAACGCCCACAGCAGTAACAGTAACAGTAGCAGAAGCAGCCCGAGGGAATCGTTCCACAAACTCATTAAAGCATTTAACCTCTTGAATGCTCGTCATATTTACAGGTGATGACATAGCTGAGTGACTGCACCTGGCTGTGGTCTGAAGGCTGACTGACTCATGCAGCAGAACACACACACACACACACACACACACACACACACACACACACACACACACACACACACACACACACACACACACACACACACACACATATTTGAGGTGGAGAGCATACCGTCGATGCTTGAAACAACTTTGAGGAAAATAAAAGACTCACAAATAGGTCCGGGGTGGGCTGTGTCGTGACTTGCTGGGTGCTGAAAATCAAATTCTTGGGATGGGGGCAGGAAGCTACGTAGGTGTGGGTAGAATAGTGGAGGCAAACATCTAAAAATCTGCTGAAATCTGCTCAGATTCTCCATGTTTACACAGCTTGTAAGCTTCCAAACAGCAGTTTGACGTGACACCAGTATTCATGCTTCTCTTCTTGAGCCGGAAGTCAGAGGAATTTAGCTACCGTGTGATCACGAGGAAAAACTTACATAATTCAGCATTGTCACATGTGTGTAAGTGTGTGCTGACAAACTCACCGCTCTCTCTGCTCTCTGGCGCCCCTCTTTGGTCATCCAACCGCAAGTCACTTAGCAGGTGCTCCAAGATCTTGAGGGGCGTCCCGGACACCACCACATACCTGTAAGAGGGGGAGTCATGACAATCTTCCTCACCAGAGCATGAAAACCAAGTATGACCACTCTCCTCCTCCTCCTCCTCCACATCTTCTTCATCAATGTAGCGGAAATGAGGGACATCAAATGTACAAGTTTCAGCACTGCTTTCATCTTCGTCAGGGTTGCTACTCTCATCCTCTTCCTCGTCTTCATCATCTATGTCCTCCTCTGCCTCTGCGAGCGTAGCTAGCTTGGTGGTCATCCTCATATCGGAGCACTTCCAGAAGAACAGCCCTCATCTAAACTTTGCAGGCCCAGGAAGGGTGCTCTCCTGTGGGGTAAACTGCCAGGCCGTCTGCCCCTGTCAGCCCAGAGCTCCAGAGATAAAACCCTCTCTCTCTCTGACAGCAGCTTCAGAGGGAACTGATTGCTTAAGATGCTGAGCACTGTATATACACAAACACACACACACAGACACACACACACACACACACTTACACACACCCACTTAACCTGCCTGTCACTGACACTCCCTGCATTGTGCCTTAGGTCTTGGCACAAACTGGCTTAAATACAAGCAGACACTGCACAGAGATACTGACTTTGAGGAAAAACAGTTGTGCACACAGACACAGACACACATACTCATACACACAGATGCATGTATATCACAAAAGTGCACAATCATAAATGTGATCGTGAACCCAGTCACTGATGTGCAGAAGGAGATAAACCAGTCTTGGTGTCATCTTTGTTTCCCTGTCAGCTGAACAAAAAAGCCATTCTCTTCTCCTCTCTCTGTGCCACAAGCTAAAGCATACATTATCTAACACACACACACACACAGACACACACATACACACACACACGCACACACGCACACACAGACTTGACACTTATACTTTGCACGCTCATGCAAGACTGTGTGGTCGCAACCTGAGCTCCCAAAGTGAACACAAACTGAAAACAAGAGGGAGGAGCACTATGATGAAATTTTTGTTGCTTCTGCTGCGTCTTTGAAGGCTTTTATTATGAAAGGGGGAGGGACTGACCTCTTGTCACAGTCCTCCTCTCTAGACCCGCCCCCAGAGGATGTGGGTGAGGGCCGGTCGGATGGCGACGTCACTGAGGATGTCACTCTTCGTAACACCAACACGTCTCTTCCTCGTTCCTTCAGACAAACTCTCCCCACCGCCTCCTGAGGGAGAGAAAAGAGACAACAGGTCAGGGATTAAATTAAAGAGAGAGACAATAACTCAATGCTTTCAGCTTTAGAGTCGATGCAAACTCATCTTATGAATAAGAGCTCGTACTGGGCGATAAAACGATAACGATATATAAAGAAATTTATTTTCCCTCAATATCAGTATAAAACATGGTCAATATCCTTTTTGATAGTCAGCATTCTGACATGTTTTGGTAGACTATACAAATAGCCATTGAAAAGGGGAGTTGTTCCTGGTCTGCTTTGCGTTGAACCAATCATGTGCTGAATTAGAACCAAGTAGCAAACAACTGCTTGGTAGCAGGCCGCAGCTACACGCAACCATAGCACTTTAACATGTGAAGCTGACAGCACTGTCGGTGAGAGGGAAAGAAACTGAAAATGAGTGCTACCCTCGGCAGAAATGCAGATGAAGGCTCAACAAATAAAGACATTGTCGACAACACTGGCACAAAAACGTTGGTGGTGTGGAGGTATTTTGGTCTTTTGAGGTTGGACATAAAGCAGAGTAATGTTTACTACAAATTATGTCGAGTACATGTTCTCGCAAAGTCGGGGAATACCTCAAATCTTTTTCACCATCTTTTTCAGCAGTGCCACGCCGCAGAGCACGTGCAATGCTAAAGGTTACAAACCCTGAGTGGAGCAAGGAGCCCATGGCACCTATGCAGCTGAAACAGCTGACCGTTCTGCTTTCTCTAACGTAACAACCTACAACAAAACGTTGAAGAGACACAAAGACCTCACAGATGCAGTAGCTTATTGTATTGCAAAAGACATGCTACCAATAAGCACTGTTAAATTTCATTTTTTATTTTGTAATATATATCAATATCGACTGTTGTGAAAAAAATATATAGTGATAAACTTTTTCCCATTTCACCCAGCCCTAATAAGAGACTGAAAATGACTGAAAAAATGACTGAAAAACTATGGATATCGTCCACCTTTGACTTTGAAAGACACAAATATTCACCTTGAGGTCCAAAAATGAGGATCTCATTAGTGAAAACTGTCCCTTTAGGTGGACAGACATGGACTCCTTTTGCACTGCTATTGGTTACAGTACAGCGTCAATCAAAAGTCAAACTTTAGCTACATCTACCTTTCCTCTATTCATAAAAATATTTTACACACACTCATTCACTGGTCCACACTTGCACAGACACATCTTGTTGGCACCATCAAAGGAAGTATTGAGCTTCCTGCCTTCAGAAGAAACGGTGCTTTGTAATTAATAATAGGAACAACCAGGAATGTGGGCCGACACTTGAAGTGGTCTCCCGTTTCAAAAACGGAATGGCACCTTAACGCACACCTGCAGCAACAGCAAAGAGAACAGAGCTCCAGATGGACAAAGGAGCACAATAAGAAGCAGCCTGAGGAGGAGAGAGAGCGAGAAAAGTAGAGGAGAGGAGGATCAAAGAGCAGGAGGAGAGAGAGGGAGAGAGATAGAGGAGCGACGCCTCTCCTGCCACTGCTCCCTCTGTCGCGGAAAAGAGACTGAAGCAACAATCACAGAAAGATTCAGTTTTGGAGCAGTTGAATGAAGAGATGGACGGCTGTTCAAGAGTTCAAAAGTCATCAATAACTCTGATAAAACTGAGAACTGTGGTTCTAGGTTAGACATGAAGGAGCCATCAGCCAGCTGATACACTTAGAGATACCTCAGTAACACACAAAGACCGGTCAATAATCATTCAAACACACACACAAGGATCATGCTTTCTCTGGGATGGACTGATGAAAGGAGTCGTCTGATCCTGAGACAACAGTTCACTTGGTTACAGACTCGGGTCAGACACAACAACATGCCTTAAGTGCTGCGAGTGTTTGCGTGCAGACGTGTCCTGATGACTCATAAACTGCAGTTTTTTTTTACAGATGTGCAGACAGCGCAGGTAAGGTCGATCCACCTCCTCCTCCTCAGGTGTGTGTTTGTCTGCTGAAACACAATATCGTCCGATATTCTGGAGCCTGTCTAACAAAGCGAACTCTTTTTATGGCTCAGAGCTTAAAATAAAGTTTAAACACTGATGAACTTTTTATTCGCTCTGTGCTTTTAAGAGTAATTTCTCTGCACGTTCCCTGAGGTTTCTACACTCCCTTCAAAGAGTTTTTCCAGGGGAGGGTTTTCTTATCTGGATCAAAGGTTTGAGGGCGGAGGGGGTCTCCGGCTTATTTGTGGTTTAGGGGCTTTATAAATAAACTGACTTCAAAAGTCGAGCTTCAGTTCACTGTTTCATAACAGTCCGTGTCTATGTTACAGCCAAAAGACACAATGATATAACACTCAGATTATTTGTGTTAATTTTGACACCTTATTATGACTCATTGAAGGGGCGTTCAGGTAGTTCGAAGGTTATAGAAAAAAAGAGAAAACACTCGCCCACTCCTGCAGGTCTTCTGGTTTGGCTCCTGGTAACAGAGCCTCTCTCTTGGCAGAACACTTGGAGAACAAACTGGAGGTGTTGGTGGCAGCACGATGTCTTGTTCTAGACTCTGAAGCATCTTCAAGTTTGATTAGATAACTGGAGCTGCTTTTAAGGCTCCTTGGTGGTTATGAAACAGACTGAGGGTAAAGCTATAACTGAGATATCAGCACCAACCCTCACTGTATATTTGGAGTATATTTATTTGAATGCAAATGAAGCTGAATGAGATTTTTGTCAAATTTTGCAAAAGTGAGTTTGGTAACACTTTACTTGACACCTATCTCTATAAGGCATTATAAATCTATATATAATATGTTATAATCATGTTATAGCACTGTATAAATATAGTTATAAACACTCATTCATGATCATAATGCTTTATAACAATAATTATAACACATTATAAAGCATTTTATCATGACTTACAAGGTCAGGTGTTATAATTTGTCACAACTGTTGACAACTCACTGACAATGCCCACATAATGCATTATACATATATTTATGATGTGTTATTATTTGCTTATAAACATGTATAACTATCATTATAAACACTCAATTATTATCATAAGGCTTTATAACAATAAGCATAACACATTATAATACCTGACCTTGTAAGTCATGATTAAATGCTTTATAATGTGTTATAATTATTGCTATAAAGCATTATAATCATTTAAGAGTGCTTATAACTATAGCTATAAAGTGCTATAACGTGATTAGATAGGAGATAGGTGTCAAGTTAAGTGTTATCATAGGGTTTTAGAATTCTGCACACTTACGATTCAGGCCTTTAATGATGTAACATAGATTATGAAAATAAAATTATAAAAGCGGAGATCCTTACCGCTGATAGAAAAGGAACTGATGCCTGACGTAAACAGATCTGACACTGCATGGCATTAATTACAATCTGGGCTGTCACCCAGACCGCGCCCAGCAGCCCAGATATGATGTCATGATAACACGTTTGGTGGTTAAGTGGTCTTAAGGAGGCGTGCTATTAGATCTCATCACCATGAACTCCTTATTCTCTGTCCTTACTCTCCTCTAACCTTTTTCTGTCTCTAATTATCTAATAATGTCACAGAGATACTGTGAAAAAAAGAGGATTATGTAACAAGTTCAGAAACTACTATGAAAACTGAAGCGTCTTACAGCCTGTGTTCTTGATACGGGAGCAAATAGCTGATCTTTCCGATAACACGCTCACACTCTTTACACTGATGCCAAGAAAAACAACTTACATACACACACATGCACACACACACACACACACACACACACACACACACACACACACACACACACACACACACACACACACACACATGCACACACACACACATAACATCAAAAGGCTTTCTGAAAATAAACCAGCACAAGAGTAAACCTCACTACATTCCTGCTCCGCATATGTCACTATATGTCGCATTTTCTCACATTAATAACCTCGTCTGAGGCGTTAAAGTGCAACAACAACATGGACACAGCCTGAGAAAGAATGCAAACCATGACGAGGAAAAACATACCAAGTATGTACTTGAACATTGTGGTGAGGAAGGGTCAGACAGTTATGCAACAAGGAAGAGAGGGAGTGAGAAAGAGAGGAGAGAGAAAAGAGGAGAGAAAGATGAAAGAGGAGAAGAGAGCAAGTGAGAGACATGGAGGAGTGTTAGAGGGCGAGAAAACACATGAAGAAGAGCCAGAGGGGAGAGAAGATTTTAGTTCAAACTTTTAAATGATGAGATTAACCTCAGCTGAAATAATCATCACATGAATGAAAAGAGAAACTACACTTTAAAGGTCCATTACGTAGAATTTAAATGAAATGTTTATTCTGTGCTGCAATTTGCCTTAAATCTCATATCATTACAACCTTACTTGAGATTTAATCTTGTAATATAACCTTTATTCTGGAGGGAAAATGACTCACGAAATCTTTGACAGCAGTTTGTGTTACCAAAACAATGAAAAACTCAATGATATCGAAGGGCTGAGATAAAACTTCGAGTTATCTTGATGAAATTACAAAATTATTGCCACCTCCTTCTTTTAAACAGCTGGATCACTCATGTCTGTTATGGATGATGCCATCTTTATTGCATAAATCATTTTTTACCCTTGACAGCCACCATCGCCTCAGTGACAGAAGGGATTCTTACAGTAAGATCTCCTAAATCTACATACTGCACCTTTAACATTTTCGAGGCTTTGGAGGAAAACAAACACAGAGCAGAAAGATGAATGTTTCAGTTATTGCGTAACACATCCTGTAATCTATCATACACGGGTTAAAGGTCAGGTCTGACTCTGCAGGACGCGGATAAAGTGCCTCTCTGAGGTCAGCTCTCAGGACCGTCACCCGACAGGTGTGCCTCTCTCTTTCCTTCCATTTCTCCCCATCCCTTCCTTCAATTCATCCTTCTGTTCTTAAACAGGTCCCCTCCCGTGTGTCTCCTCTGTTCACCTCTGAAAACACTTTTCTGTTTCCTCTGCTCACACGCTCCGCCAGAGTCTCTCCCTCTCTGCCTTTGAATGGTCAGACTTCATGCTCCAGAGGGCTGAGGGTTTTTTAGGGGGAAGAGAAAATGAAGACTTGCTCTTGCTGTGTCCCTCACAGGGTCATCAACTGTGAACACACTCCTCTGAAAACACACACTCTTCTGTTTCTGTGTCTTTGATTCTTTCTCAAACTCACACACAAGATACGGCAAACGTGCAGAGGAAAGGTGGGCCTCATAGAGAACCAAAAGGAAGCACTCTGTGTTCCCTTCCCGTTCCTGTGTGTGCATGTGTGTATATGTGTATGTGTGTGTTGATAGCCACAAACTCATATCTGTGTTGTGATAGCTCTGGGCCTGATTCCTGGAAATACTGGATAAGAAAATAAAAACACAATGCTTTTAGGTCAGCAGCGGCACATAATCTGAAACCAAACATGCACACACACACACACACACACACAGACACACGTGCGCACATACTCTGTCATTTCAACCATGCGAAAGTATCATAAGCTGCCCATAAAGCCGACATGTGAGTATGTGCGACCTTGTTTAACCTCCTGTGCAGGTAAAAGAGCCCAAAAAGGCAGAGCTGCAGCTGAGACACTGTACTGACAAGTGTGATATCACCATGGAAACAGCCCACACCAGTCTGTCTGAGCGTGTCTGTCATTGGAAACGACTAAAAAAAAAAAATCTCCATGACAACCTCATAAGGGAGAGCGGTGATCCGGGCTGTTTGTTTGGTTTTGGTTGCTGCCACAGTCTAAAGCCGGACTTTCACAGTGATTTGGCAGAAATGAAAAACCTCGTCAACATGCCTTCACACACACACACACACACACACACACACACACACACACACACACACACACACACACACACACACACACACAGACACACATGATTACAGATGATGACAGATGACTTTTCAATCATTTAGTGTTCGAAAAAACAACAACTGGCCCTGTGACATGAATGAATTAGGAGGATTTCATTATTTCCACAGCAGGGATGCAAAACAGAGGCAGCAGAGTCACGACCACTCAGCATGTGCTCATCATAGATATCTGTGTCTGTTTCTAATTGATTTTTAGAATATCTCTTGAAAGAGCTGCAGATGTCGTCAACTGTCTTGTTGTGGTTTTGACTCGCTATTCACACAAAACATCTTTGGATACAGGCTAGTCTTTCAAAATCCTTCATATTCAATAATCGACATCCATTATAATGTTTTCAGCAAATCCCTTAAGTTAAAGCTCCCATGCGGGTTTTTATTATGTTTATGAAATCAACTGAAATTCACATTACTACCTTTTCATGATACCAAAAAGCAAACAGGACCGTCAGTGACAAGACTGGCAATTTGTACATTGTAATTTTTAGTGCCTGAAGCTGCTTTGAGGGGGGAAGGTGTCGGTTGAGCAGCTGAAGAAAACACCCTGTTATTACCATTTCCACTTAAAATATTTACAGTGAATTTGACTGTCAAAAGTCAGCAGGATGACATTTCTGTCAGGTGAGACTGTAAAAGCATGTGGAGGACAAGATAAGCAAAGACTGCATTGTCCACAGGGGGCGCCAAAATGGATAGAAACTGTAAGTTCCACACAGGAGATTTAAAAGAGATCCAAAAATATCTCTGACTTGTTGATCTCTCTGATGTGATAAAGTTGTTTTTATATCTCTTGGTTTTACAGAAAGGTTTTACTGGCTGACTTCCATATTGTAAAAGCTGATGTAGTTTATTTAAAAATGGCATAATCAGTCCAATTAATCCCCTAACTGACTAATCAGTCTATCTCCACACTAGTTTTCTAAAGTCCTGTGGATCAGAAGAAAGCTTGACTCTGCATGTCTGTGTATGATTTGCTGAATGCTTTTGAAACATGACAAAAATGAACTCTTCTTTCTTTAATGTTGCATTTTGAAACTTCATGCACTTGCAGAAGACTTGATATGAGCTAAACATCTCTTTCGTATCTCTTTTGAAGACTGAGTGTGTGGTATTTACAGAAAAATGTAATCGAAGCTCTCTCATTCCTGCTTGAACGAGTCCAAGTATGTTTCTAATTCATGTGCGAAAATAATGAAAGTCAAATCTTGAGCACTTCAATAGATCCCCTATAGTTTGAGCTCCAGGCGCCCTCAACAAGCCGAAGTGATGCACGTTAGACTTCTTAAACACGCGCCTGCTGATGTGAGCGTGAAATCGGGCTGCCTCTGCTTGGTTTCCTGCCCTCAGGTGTACTGTAGAGCGGGATTATACAGCACAACGCTTCACTAACATCCCACTCATTATGCGTGTACACTGACTCAGCCCGCCGCTGCACCAACAGAGCATGAACACACACACACACACACTCATGGAATCCCACACATGATTATAAGCTATAGCCGCCAGACTCTCACGCACAAGTGAACACAGACACACACGCAGCAGTTGACAGACTGTGAAAGGAGTGTGAGATCACATTGCACTGAGCCATTATTAACACCCACATAAGACGAGCTGAAGGACGGCTGGTTGTTTAATCTAAAGTGATCTGACTGGAGCAACACTGATAACATGTTCTCAGACTGTGTACAAAAGAGAACATGCATGCTGTGAACATCCACATGAGTGTCAAAGTCAGGATGGTCTTAATGAGGATTTACACCATGACTAACTCAGACCTGGAGTGAGTGTGTGAGCTTAAAAGTGACGACAATACCGACCACATGATGACATCCACTCCTCTTCACTCATACTAACCATAAAAGCCACAACTCACCTGACAGATCAAGAAAGTTCACCAAACGTCACTCTCACTCCTGCACAAAGTTTACCGCCTTTTCAAATTAAAACGCCGCCATCACACTCTCTACTCACCGCCTGGTTCCTGTCAGGCAGCCTGTAGTTGTGGTTCTGCAGGAGTCGACAGCCGTCCTTTGCCAGCCTCTGAACGGCCTCCAAACCGAGCCGGCTGGTCAAGTCCTCGCGCCCGCACACCGTCCCCATCCCGCCGCCTCCGCCACCAACACTGCCACCGCTGTCCCGCAACGCGCACACCCCGCCCAGCTGCAACACAGGAGGCATGAAGACATATCTCAACCCGCAGTCCCAGGACATGGTGGAAACAGTCAGAAGTTACAGCAGGGATGAGTTTTTTGTGTCCATGTGAGGAGGACGAGATGAAAATGTAATCCTGCTCTGTCTCTGTCTCTCTCTGTTCTCTCTAATTCCTCCTCGTCTCTTTATCTATTACAGTGTGTAATTCCCTCTATCTGTTGCACCTCTCTCTTTGTCTCAGACTGACTGCTCTCTGTCAGAGGATCTGGTGGAGAAAAAGTGTGTGTCTGTGATTAGAAGTGTAAGTGGGCGGGAGTGTGTGTCTGGGTGGGTAGCGTGTGTGTCGTAGGGGGTGTGTGTGTCATCCGTCTGCCTCCTCCCATCTATAGTTCTGAATGAGGAGTGTGTTCAAGTCCAGCTGAAGTGCATACAAAGTGTTAAAAAAACTTGAATTAAGTTGAAGTGTAATTCTCCGGTCTGTTTGTTTACATCTGTCAGTTATACAGTTCAAATGTTTCTTTCTCTCTTTGTCTAAACATCTGTTATTATTGACTTATTTTTTGCTGTTTCTTTATTCTCCTTACTTGACCTGCTGCACCCTCATGTTTTAATCACATATAAGAAGAATTGACGTCACGGCAGCTCTCTAAAAGTGGAGAAAAAACATGGAGTTTCCTCTTTGAGTGGCTCCAGTGTAAGTGCCTCCTCAATGTTAATGGAAATCCTTACAGATTTCTATATTTTGACAAAATTTGAAAACTAGTATGTCCACCATCTGCCGTTTTTCATGCTTTGCGCCCATCTGACGCATTCAAAATCCAATGGGTGCAATCACTGGAGGCGGGTCTTGTTTGGCGTGTGGGTCTTGGTACCAGGATCAAACCCCAGACCTCTCACTAAGCCACAGCCGCCCCCTAACATCTATAACTACCACTGTCTGCTTCACAGTACGTTATCACTGTTTTTGTTCATTTGCATGTGGAGCCTTCAAGTGAGACCCTATCACCATTGGTTACCGAAGATGCACTTCATGAAGCACATAGATGATATGGCGAGGTGTGCTTCAACTTTGCACGATAGAGTTTGAACTTGCACTAACTTTACTGTAATTGGGCTTTGTAGCAGTATCGCAAAAAACTCTGAAAAACAAGAAAAGACAAGGGCAAAGCAAAAAAATAAGACCTAAAGACATGAGGAGAGAAACAGAGAAAAGAGGAAAAAAGGGACACAATGCCTTTAATTAACAGAGCTGTAGGGAACTGGAGAAACTAATGGCTTTGTCCTTGGATAGACCTGTGGGTGGTAGTGTGTGTGTATGTGTGTGTGTGTGTTTGCTCCCTTGGGTGCTGCAAGTATGATGGTTATCATCAGTGATGGGCATTCGGTCTGTTTACTTTCCTTGGAAGTGGCAGAGAGGGGTATTTCACCCGGCTCAGAGCTGTTTTACCCTTCCTGTGAGCGCCACTATCCCACGCCTATCCAGACAACCCCCCCCCCCACACACACACACACACACACACACACACACACACACACACACACACATGCACAGACCACGATGGTACACTCCCACGTTTCATTTTGTTTACTAGGAAAACTCCCCCTAATGACTTAAAACTCTTATCTGTCAGAAAAGCCACGTACACACACAGACGTTATATCACCGCCTCAGCCCCTCTGTCCCTTTCTGCTTCCTGTAAACCTGTTGTAACTTCCTGTCCCACACTCACAACACAGGGAGATAAACCTGTGCATGTGTCTGTGTCTGTGTTTGTCTGTCTCAGTCCATGTCCACTGTGTCCTCAACTCTTCCTTGAACGTTCGTGTTTCAAATCAGATGAAAAGTTTCAAGCGGCTGAAGTGAAACTGAAACTAAACAAGATTCATGGTGCTGCGTCTGAAATTGTACTTTTGCTCTGTTTTGTGTCAAAATGTTGATGTTAAAATTCAAAATCCAAGGTTGTGCTATAATGGTTGTAGAAGTTTGTATTCTGAATTCCTGTTGATAAAGACAGGCTTGAAAATCTGTGATTTTGTCCTTCAAGTGTTTTCTTTTCCTCCTCTCTCCCTTTTTAATCTGGTTTAATCAGGAAATGAATAATGGATGGAATAAGAAGAAGCAGCTTCCACTGTAAGGAGCTGGGATGAGGAGGCGGACGAGGCCTCCCTCTGCGATCAGTCCTGACCTTGTTTTCTATGATCCTCCTCACTCAGAGACATAAACACACCCTTTCAGAGACAGTGATCAGAATATTTATGGTTCTCTGACATTTGTCAAGATGATCTTTGTAAGAGATGATTGAGTTTTATTATAAGTGGTCATAATTAGCACAATGCATTCACAGTCCTGTAGAGCTGTCAGAAAACTCACTGTACCATCCAGGTGCATGGATTCTACATTTTGCAAGCAATGTTATTTTCAAAGATAGCATGGGTTTGCAAAACAGCTCTGCAAACATCCTGGAAACCTTTAATATTTATGTCCCGAGATGATCTTTTTTTTAGAGATGATCAAGTTTTATTCTTTTCATCCAGTTTTCGTCACAATCATCGTGATGCGTTCACAGTCCTTTGCAGCAACCCGGTTATAAGAGCTGTCAATAATTTACTGTATTTCGATAAAAAACTAAAACTTTGCTGTCGAGGAGCACGGACGTCTTGATTTTACAAGTTACGATTAGAAAACACAAGCAACCATCTAACAGGTTAAACTCTGCTGCAGCTCAGTTAAAGATGTCTTATTGGTGCTACAATAACATAGTTATATATGTGTATTTCTTTGTGTGTGTGCATGGGTGTGTTCATTACCGGGCTGCTCTCTTCGCTGGGTGTGCGTGGCTCCTGCGGGCTCGTGTCCGTGGTCTCAGAGTCCTGCTCTGATACTGCCAAAAACCAAACAGGATTGTATAATCAATAACTGCTATTCACACTGTTTATGTAACTCTGTCTCTGTTTCTTTATACCCTGTTATTAAAGTTCTCGGTTTAAACTTACAAGCTTTGCGAGTCTTGCGGGCTAGAGCTGCCGCCAACTCACTTTGCACCTGCAGGAACAGAGGCATAAAAAAAAACATAAATGATTGATTGAATGAATGTTGTTATGAAGCAATAGCTTTGGATGAAATATGCACACACTGACCGTAGAGGTGAGCCTCTCCAGAGCTTTCATCTGGAGGATCTCACTGCAGATGTCCCTGTTGCCTTCAGAGTCCTCCTCTGACCTGAGATGGACACAAACACACAGAGTCACACATGCAGCTGAGAGGTGCATCACTGTGATCAAACATTCATCCAGAGGCAAACTTTGCACAGAAGCTTTGGCCCTCGCAACGCTGCCCCCTGGTAAACCCAGAGGAGAACTGCAGCTCATAAAAACATCTGTTTTTCCATGCTGAGGATCTTTCTCTAGTCTGTCTGTATTTTTAATGGTTCAAGACAATAGAGGCCACTTTCAGCTGAAGCTTTTGTGTGAGAAACCCTCATAACTACACTCATACAACAAAGATGCTCCCCTGTGGATCCTCTATAGCGCTCTCTCTTTCGCTCTCTCTCTCTGCACCCTGCATCTCTCTTTCATGTGGTTTCATTTAAAAAAGCTCCCAGACACACCCTTCTATTGATGTTAGTACCACTCTGTGTATGTGTGTGTGTGTGTGTGTGTGCGCACGCGCGTGTGTGTGTGTGTTCACATTATAGATGTGTGACTCTTGTCAAGGATTGTTTTCGTGCCTCCTGTGAATACATTAGTGTGTAACGTCATTCCTGCATATGTGCATGTTTGCTGTACAAACAGGTGGCTGTTTAGGGGGTAAACTCAACATTATTCCCACAGCAATAACTCGAGGTTTCACGGTTTGTCTTCAACTGTAGCAGAGCACACCCGAGGGCCCCTTGTGTACTGCACACTGTTTTTAAAGCACTGCTTGGGTTGGTCTCCTACGCACCGCCTCGCCCCTCCACACAAACCCATACACCTATTTATACAGAGTGAAGAAGATGCATTTGAATACAATTTGGATTTTATCAAGAGATCCCAGCGGCGGTAGTAATAGTTGTGAAAGACAGAAGATGGAGTACCATGAGTGTGTGTGCGCACATGTGTGTGTGTGTGTGTGTGCGTGTGTGTGTGTGTGTGTGTGTGTGTGTGTGTGTGTGTGGTGTAATCTGATAAAAGAATGATAGATGCAGAGGCAGGAGAGGTGGTGATAACATACAGCCCTCAGCCTGACACTCTCGCTATCGACACTGACACAAAAAAGAGAAAGAAAACAGAGAGGGGGGTTTAAAAAGAAAAAAAAAAGCAGGTAATCTTTAGACGCCTCAAAGGCTGTTGGAAATAAAGTCAAATCAAGCTTAAAATGGTTACAGGTTTAAGTATTAGACTTCTCCCTCCTTTAAAATGAGAAAAATGAGGCTTTGCTTTAACGTTATCATCCTGGTTGAGCGCCGGGATTTTAACTGTTAGTGTCTCATGAGATGTTCAACGTCTCCTCCAAGTCATCAGCTCAATCTGTTCTCATCAGGGTCATTAGTTTCTCTTTTGGTTTGGTAATTTGGTGACTCACCATGAGCCTAAATCTAGCCGGGCTGCAGCAGAAGCACAACGGGGGGTGTGTCACCGATCATTAAGCAGCCCAGAGGGGTATTGATAGGGGATTAACATGATTGGTGCTCGCTACGCCTCCCACCATGACCACGTGCAGACATGTTCAGTGATCTGGTAAAGCAAAAATCCCACTCAAAGGCCTACGAGTTTCTTTTCCTTCACATTTCTTTACACTTACGCAACATACATACGGTAATCCTCCTGCTGCATATGCACGTGTGTTTTTAATCTGAATGCTGCAAATCGAACACAGAACTGAAAGCTTGCAGGTTTTACAGAGAAGAGGAAGGTAATCTCTGTTAAAACCTCAGTGTCTGTTTCTTAAGCAATCTGCAGAGTCTCTGCTGTTTGGCTCTTTGCCCTCTTTTGGATCAGAGCGCTCTGCAAAGCAAGCAAGTGTGTTTTCTCCTTTTGAAGCCAAGGTGTCATATTTAAGCTCCTGGCAATTCTGCACCTCCTGCACACTGATAAGCAGGAGAGACTGAGGGAAACTGTCAGCGGGATTGTTAGCTACTGACACCACTGCAGCCTGTGATAAACAATATAACACATATTTAACAATATAGTGTGGAAAAAAGAGGTGGTCTTTTAGGGAAACTTTATCGTTGAAACTTCAATTTTGTGGCTGTCACTCATCTACAGTAATAATGTCATTCAAACTCATTGATACTGAGCGATCGGATAAGAAAATCCATCTTTCAGCACTTACAATAAAGCAAAGTGAAGATAAGAAAAAGATAAATCGCATCTGATAAATAGTAAGAGCTAAATAGGTGGATGTATGTTGATCCCAAGAGAAATTTCAGGCATCAGGAGCTCACAATGGCACATACAAACACCTCCTGCCCTCCCTTATTTACACGTAAAGCTTTTGCAAAAGCAAAGTTTTAACTTGAGCACGTCTGGAAAAAAATAAACATGTACAAACTAAAAGACTGGGCATTAAAAATCTGTTTGTAGGAGAACTAAGATTAATCCAGTGCAGATATTTTACTACACCCATACAAAAATTTAAAGCTCCAGTGAGGAACTTTTGGTTTGTATTTATTTTGTCGCCTCCTCTGCACAGAACAGTCTTTGCTCTACATGCACTCTGCATGTTCATACAGCATCTTCCTGCTGACTGTGAAGGCTTCAAATAAGACCATTGGGGTTTTTTGCATCTCCCTGCACTGTTTCATTATTACCTATCATGTTTTATGTTATACTCTTTTAAATTGTGCAAAAAAAAAAAAAAAAAAACAATTAAAAAAAATAAATAAATAAAAGACTTTTGACAGCATCACTGTAAAAACAGAGCTTTCTCAGCTGCTCGGCTAACACCTACCCCACACCACTTTAACACTTAAAATCATGATAAAACAACATCAACTATGTCACTTACTGATGTTGTTTTTGCTTTTGAATGTCATGAAAAATATTAATATAAATTTCGGTCTATTTCATAAACATCAAAAATCTCCTCACAGGAGCTTTAAATTAATCCTCTAAATGTAAATCACCATGAGGTACTGTAAAAAAGAGGAAAACAACAGTAAATATGCAGCGATGCCTGTTCCTATGGATTGGATCACAGAGACCTGCCAAATGCACAAAAAAGCTGTAGGAAGGTGGTGAAAAATCTGGGCATTACAAAAGGATGGCAATCACATCTTAGCGTGAGCCTGTCTGTGTCTGGTTCTCAAACAGGAACCTTGACTGTGAATAAATTTTAAAATCAACCCAGGAGGTGACCTCTGCTGAAAAGCTAATGTGCAGGCTGTGGTTAAACTTTAATGTCGCCTTCTGACACAGCTCTTCTAAAAAGCCCTCGATGGGCAAGTTTGAGTCCTTACTGTAACATGAAGCAAAGTGGAGGAGAGGAAATGAGACGGAGATGCTCTTCTGCCAGGAAAGGTCACTGAATTAAAACTGAGTCAGTTGAGAAAAAGGAAAACAAGAGGAGGCGTGTTAACAGAAGGGGTTATGTAGGTTAATTTTTGACTCACGCTGTTAAATCAGCAGCAACTGTAAATTTTTAAGCTCCACTCGAGATACTGTGATGCATATGGCTGAAGTCTGAAAGCTGATGAGATTCTTGTTGAATATATTCCACAAAAAGATGGATACTCCTGATGAGCACAGCAGAGTACAATGAACAACAAACTAATCAACTTTAATGACCGCACTGTGCCAGTTAGCTACTATTATTGTTAATTATCTAAGACACACTGGCGGTATTTATACAAAATTAATCAAACGGAGAGACTTCTGCATATGATGAAAACACATTTATAATAAGCATCATGCTGCTTTTAGATTTCAGCTTAATGGAAATCACAGGAAAGACGTATCAGTCTGCAAATGCTTCCTTTTCATGTATGAAGTTATTATAAATCATATTCTTCTCATTATTGAAACACAGCAAGAGACAAGAAGACAAATTTCACGAGCAGCATAAGCATTAATACCACCCGGCTGCATTTCTAAAGCCTAGAGATTCTGCACAACAGCTCAGGCTAATGTAGGCAAATGAATGCAGCTTTGCAAACAGACAAAAACTCTGTTATTAACACCTTTTTAATTATTGTATATTATTTGCCAAATTGTATTAGCTTGCTGTACTCTATATCCATTCAGAGAACCAGAATTAGCTCCACTCACCCTGGGGCAGCTGTGAGTATTGCTGACTTAAACAGGTGTTTTAGTCAGCAATGTACATTTTTATATTCAGGCATGTTCAGACGCTCTCAGACGATGCACAGTGCCAGGATTTTATTTAAATTGCATCACCACAGTAGCCTTCAGGCACTTTTATCTCCTTTTGAAATTTTTAACAACAATAATTAAAATGTAAAATCAACCTGTGGATTAATTCATTAGATCCTACACTCCAGCAAGTCAGTTGGAAGCAGCCGGTTGAGCTACATCATGTATTTCCTTTTCGCAGCTACAACTACTCAGCCATACATCAATAAGAGCGCGAGACGAAGGAGAGGGAAGGTGTGAGACGGCAAGAGAGAGAGAGGGAGGGAGCAAGGGAGGGGGAGAGAGGGAGAGAGGGAGAGGATGCCTGCAGAGAAATGGTGCAACATTCAAAGAGAGACACAGACAGCAGCAGGGTCAAAGTGACAGACGGAGCGAGAGCTGAATGCTAAGTTTCTTCTCATGTCTAATCTGTGCAGGTGCAACAACCTCAGTTCTCAGATGTAAAATACACGGGCCAATCTAGTGCTCTGCATACAGCTACAACCGTGCATGTAAAGACAACAAGTATGTTAATTGAAAAAGGCTTTGTTGGTACAAGAAATCCATGAAATGTATAACAATGTTGTTTGTTGAATGGGACTATGAAGTGGGTCAAATATAATATGATACATAAGGTAGCTGATAACTTGCTGAAGTTTCAGCTAACTGCAAAATGATGTATATATATACTGTATATATATATATAAAACCTGCATGAACTATCTTGTATGTTACATCTGTGATGTCATTGTGACTATAAATGTTGTTATTTCAACAACAATGATATTGCAATTTATCATATTGATAACCCTTCAACTGACGCTTTTAAACAAAACAAGCCAAGCCCAAACAACACTTAAGTTAAGAATGCGCAAGCTAGGGATACAGTGACTTGTTTGCATAAGGATGGTATGGGAAAGGATAAGGTTTGATAACAAAATGATTTGATACAACACAAAACAGACTGTAAGATGACATGCTACAACAGTAAAATACAATATGATATGGTACACTGTGATGGAATGTTTGACAATATGCTACAGTAAGATATGATACAAAGTGGTTTGTTAGGAAATGATACAATATACAATACAATATGCTGAGATACAGTACAACAGGAGACAAAAACCAGCCGAGCGACACGATATGATATAAAACTATATGATTAAATACAATACAGATGGTGAGACATAGATATGTCCAGACTGTACAACTCATTATGATATCAAACACCATAATGGTAAGTTACACCAATATGATATGATACGATACAATAGAACAGCAGATGATTGATTAGATATGATATTGTACAACACAATGCTATACTATACAATATGGTTTGATGGGATAAGACACTATACAACATGATACAATATGATATTATAGAACACGAAATGATACAACTCAATAATGCACAGTACAGTAGCTCAATAAAAACATCCTTTAAGCTGCTTTTTTAAACCATACTTACATGACTATGTTACCATATTTACTTCTTGATATGAGCAATATTTTCATTTCGAAAGGTTGCAAAATTGACCTCAGCTGTATTGTTAAGTCAAAAAAGGCGTGAAAAATTAAACTTATCATCTTTGGCAGGCCACATGTATTATGAGGTATTACCTATGTGCGGGAAACACTGGTGGTGCATCGTCAAATGCAAAACCTCCAACTGCTGCTGCCATATCAGATATAGGAGATGTTATGATCAGCAACAGGAGGGTATTGATTTACATTTTTAATCACAGGATTTCAACAGTCACTTAGGTTTGGACATTTTTAAGCATTCCCCCTATTATCCATTCATTCCTCTCCACAGTGAAACACCCGGTGGAGCCCTTTAAGTATGCGTGTCATCCTCTTTACAGTGCATAAACCAACTGTGGGGATCATAGAAGTATGTACAGTAAAATACATGAGATTTATATGAGTAAGTATGACATCCGATCCCCCCGCTCGTGTCTGTGAATACACCCCTTTGAAGTCAACGCTCGGATGAATATGTTGACGTGTGCGCTCATTCCCTCGTTCTGCATATATACTTTTTTTTTTTTTTTTATCCGCACCCCGCACCCGTCTCACTCTTCCTCTGAGTGACAGATTGAGTTCAGTCGCAGCCTCAGCAGGAATCCCACACACAGGAGCAGCAAGGCAGGAACTCTGGCTGACACCGCTCTGCATGTGTGCATCTGAGTGTGTGTGTGTGTGCGTGTGTTTCACTGCCTGTGTATCATGTGTCAGTATTCTGCACAGGAGTGTGTTTTCTTTTAAGGATGTGGAGGTGTGTGCACCTACAGATGACTGTGTTTCTCTCACAAGCAGATTGAGGATTAAAAAAAGTGAATAGAGATTAAGCTTGGAGTCGGGATTTGAAGAAGACTTTTGAGCGTGTGTGGGAATCTAAAACAGCGCTGCACTTGCAAGACCGCACTTCAAAACTTCCACAAACTCGGTCACTGGTCACTTTTCAGAGTAAATGATCAGACAGACAATTGACCTCGATTTTAAATCTGAACGGATATGCTGTCACTTCAACTTTGATCCTTTAACCGAGGGATGAGCTTCTTCTCCAGGTCAGTGGAGATCACCAAATACACCACAGCTTCATCAGCTATGATCTACATGCAGGCCTGAATAACAGAGACTCGGTGACAGGAGTGGAAACTTCTGACTTGTTTTAACAGAAAAGTGTGACTCAGAGTATCCAGCAGTGTGTTGATCCATTAGAGCTTTCTCTTTGTGTTAGGGAGGTGCCAAAACTAATAACTTAATAACAAAAACTGAGGCAGATTCCTGCCAAACACAGGATCACAGAGTCAAATTGGTTTGCTAACTGTGACTAATGTTTGCACCTCTAGCTGCATGACTGTGCTGGTTGCTCCAATCAGGTAGTTTCATTCCAGTTTAACCAGACACAGCCTACATACATCTTTGTCTCAAAACAGGCAGGGACAGAGCAGGACTGTTTAAACCAGGGTGGCAAGGTTTGGTAAACATTAGGGGACTTGACCCAAACTTAAGCAGAAAATCATTGGTAACAAGAAAAACAGCCTGAAGTCACTTTTCCAACAGCAAATATTCATGCGAATTCAAAAGAAAGACAACAGAAATTGATTTTTTTAAGTGTCAAATAACACCAATTTCACAAAGATAAAAAAAAATCCCAACAATGTGAGGGTTGCCACTTTGTCCAGAGGGGGCGCTAAAATCAACATAGGCAGAAAGTTTCTTACTGGAGCTTTAAGGACTAAAAGTAAAGTCAGCATTGGCCACTGAATACTGCCAAACAAACAGCTGCATGACAAAAGATGTCACGATACATGGCCAGCATTGTAAACTTTCACTAATTACGACATTTAGACTCACTTTAACTAGCCGGCTAATCAGGTGAAAAAAAAGAAACCTTTAAATCGCAGTATTATCGGTGAATATTCAAAGTGAAATGAATCCTGTTGGTTTTTAACCCCCCCTTTTCACAGTTCAGTTCATAGAGACTCCATGCAAATATCTTTGATCAAACATTGAGCATGTTTGTCTTTCAAGTGGGGCCTTTAGAAATGGTTCAGTGTTTATCCTGACTGCAAAGGCCTGCACAATTTATCACAATTTCCTTTTATGGTTTGCATTTCTGTTACGTAAATATTTAAATACTTTCTCACTTAGCATGTTTACGTTTAACTTAACAGATAGTCTTGGAAAAATGATCTTTTCCTTAATTTCTGATACAGCCAGGCGAACCTTAAGCTCAGTACCTCTCACTATAATCTTTCTAGATTCAGGGGTAGCAGGTTATTTACTTAGGTTTGTGTGAAACATTGAGACCAGCAGATACATTTACAAACTTCAAGTGATGATTATGTAGTTACGGTATGTAGTTGCGTTGTTCTGAGTGAGACCAAAACAATTCATCTATCACAGCCGGACTTCTAGACAGAGTTTTAAGGGCACTTACGGGCTGTTGGATCCGCCTCCAGAGCGGAACTGGACATACGGGGCAAGTTGTAGGAGGAGCCTAACCGCCTCTGGCCACTCTGCTTCATTGGAGCGAAACTCGCAGGAGGCGGAGTCACACTCCTCGAAGCTGAACTGGTAGTAGGAGTTTGAATCGGAAAACACCACCCGCTGGTCCACTGGAGGAAAAGAGAGTGACACAAACACACAATCTTTATTCTTGAAACATTTAAACAGTGACAGTGAGGAAAAATGTAAAGGTACAGTTTTTTAATTTTAGAGCAATAAAAATGATAGCTTGGACTGATTTAATAGACACTGATTAGAGGAAACAGGATGAAAACACATTATGGTGGTTAGAAGAGGACACTTTTAAGCTCCAGAGGAAGAGAAAAGACACAGTGGCGACAACAAAACCTGGATAAACTCTTTGTCGCAGCTATTGTGGATTAACCAGACCAATGAACTGAATCTGAGCAAATGTCCAAAAGCAGGCGGCCTAAAGAGGATCAGCTTCGCTCATTCTTTGAAGAAACATTAACTGCATTTGAATATTAAAGCCTTTGTACCAGGAAGTGTCATCTGTGGCTTACTAAGCAGTGTGAAGCTTTAACACGACACAGAGGAGAAGCCATATTAATGCGATAATGTGCAGAAATATGAACCAGGTTTTAGTTTTGCAGAAATGGATTCTGCAAAGATTTCTTATAGCGGTTTGTCTCCTTTTATATTTTTGTAAAGTTGATGATGTTTGTCACAAATTTTTAAGACTCCATGTGTGTTATAATGTGTACATGTGTGGGTTTGTGGGTTTACCGGACAGCAGGACTCCCAGCTCCAGCAGCACCTGCCAGACGCGCACAGCGGTGGTCCGACAGCGCACGTACACACACTGCTCGCACAGCCACTGCACCAGCTCCACCCCAACATAGCTACGCCTGTAAAAATACACACACAAACACACATTTTCAGCCTGCAAGTACAGTCACACAGTGTTCTGATTCACATGCAATTACACTCATTTCTTCCCTTGGCACAGGCTTGTGTTTTTTTTTTTTTTTTTGATCAATAACCATTGATTATTCATTAGTCCTCTGTAAGCCTTTTTCCTCTGAAACACTGAATACTTTCCGCCTGCTTCACCCCAGGATAAACCCCCTCTGTTTGTGCATGTGTGTAATGACATTAAAGAGTCTATTTATAGCCGTGTCCAGATGCTTCCATGTTTTTTGCATGTGTCTGCATGTTCCTAATGTGCTGCATATTGAATGAGAGTGCATGTACCCCCAGATCATCTACGTCACACTTAACCCGTCTTACTGCATAGACAACTTGGCCGACCAATCAGGACGAGGCTCAACATCGACTGGTGAGTCAGAGTTTTCGCTTCACCGGACACATCGATCGCAGCTGCACTCAAACACACAAACACAGAGCGAAGTGTACCGTATGATTCTGGCCAGGTGTATCTTGTCTTTGGCCGGGTACGGTCCGTGGGAGAGGAAGGCGTTGCGCACAGTCCGACCGGCACACGGGAAACTCTGGGAACAAGACTGACACACACAGAGAAATTTATTCCTGTACTCTTTTATTTTTAATCTGATCAATTTAATTAATGCAAGTAAATGACAGAAATCCCTGCAATGTGCTGGATGAGAGGAACATTAATCTGCAGAGAGGTAGTGTGGCTACATGTAGCTGTCATTGACCGGTGCACAAGGACAGCTCGATTTCTTTCCCCTGAGGAATCAAACATTGACTGTGTCTACACACTCTGCAATAATCCTGCTATTGAGGCTCGGGTGTCTAAAACCGTATTTCAATTACACTGTTTACACAAGCTGCTTGTTCTGCTACTCTTAAATTCACATTTATATCCATCTAGTAAGACCAGCTTGATGAATGAGGAGGCTGCGTCCACATTTTGTTACAACATGAGAGTCGATACAACATCGAATTTTGGACCTGACTGTCTCTGGTAAAGCTTTTTTGGCTACGGTTATCATTGGACTTTTATAATAAGAAGGCAAAGCATAAATAATCAGTCACATGTGCTGCAGCTCTAAAGGAAACCCCTTCATTTTTGACCTTTTGCATGTGCAAAATAGCTGCGACCAAACTTGACTAATGAAACTCACATTATTGTAAATGCTCTAGTTAAACTTTTTACTTGCATGTTAAATGGTTGCACCTAAAGGCAGCAGAGGAGCTGATTTCAACATACATAAACACTGCAGGCAGGTCAAGTGTTGGTCAAAAATTAGCTTTGCAAATGTGTTCCACGGAAAGTCGTGCATCCAAAATATTTGTTTGGCCTCAAGGGCAGAAACACGGTGTTCAGGTGAGGAACTCTGAATGTCAAGAGAACTGTGTGCTCAAGAAAAGTCAACAACATGAACTGCTTTTCTGATCAGAGCATCACCTTAATGAAGAGTTGAAGATGAAAATACAAAACTTTAATAAAACATTCAGCTAAGAGGAGATTTGTTTTAACCCTGCTGTTATTAAAAAACTTTATCAAGCTGGTCTAATGCTGGACAAAGAACCTTTAATTTAACCAACAATAAACTGCATTTATTCAGTTATAGGTGTTCCCAGTCCAGTTCAACGTGTCGACAGGCACTTGGATCAGGTTTTGATGAACTAATAAAAGAGGCTTACAGCTCTGTTTTCTTTAAAAATGATTTATTTTATTCAAATGTTCACAGAAGTTGATAAATTCGATTTAAAAAGTCAGAATGAAATTTTCTGTTTGGAGACAATACTTGACCGCTTTGTCAACAGGTGGCGCCAGTATTAGCACAAACTTAAAGTTCCTCACAGAGGCTTTACGTTCTCTTTGATTTTTTGAAAAGGCTCCTTATAGTTTATTTATTCTTTGATTATTTTAGTGTTCAATGCTGTTTTTTTATTATTATTATTATTATTATTATTATTATTATTATTATTATTATTATTATTATTATTATTAAATATTATTATTATTATTGTTATATGAGTTACCCAAGAGAACCAGGACAGGTAGTAAAGAAGTAAAATCTTCATTTTAAAATATCGTACCACTTTGTAAAAATGTATTTGTCAAGGGTCAACTAATATTAATTTTTCAAGTTCATACCAATACGAACTATTAGTAGTCTATGACAGATAATCAATACTTGAAACCAACAAGCATTGAGAGTTAAAATCAAAACACTGTGTGTCAAATTTAGAGGTTTTTTTTGTTGTTGATGAAATCCTTTCAGAAAATTTAAATCTAAAACATTCAATTTCTATACAGGAATTAATAGCCAACCAGTTACAGATACAGGTACAATTGTGTCACAAGGTCATGTGACATCGTCTAGCCAATATGATGAAGTTGTGAAAATACAAAACTTTAATAAAATATTCAGCTAAGAGGAGATTTGTTTTAACTCTGCTGTTATTAAACAACTTTTCTTAATATAATTTGGTTATCCATCTTTAAAATAAAAGGCTGATACAGGTAATCAGCTAAATGTTGAACATAAGTCTACTCTACCTGGTATTTAAGTCATACAAAAAATACAAAAGACTGACAAAAAAACTTAAGACATTTTCTCTAAACTTTTGTTTTTTTCAGCTCCTGTGAGCACCTCTGGATTGTGTCAATTTTGGCGCCCCCTGTGGGCAAAGCAGTCTCTGCTTATCTTGTTACCTGCATGCTGAAGTGGTGTCTTCTTACTGAAAACCTCACCCTGCAGACTTTTGACCTTCAAACATCATTTAATGAGAAAACTAAGAACTGGTGCTTTATTTTTTTCAGATGAATTGGCCCGCTTCAGAGATTAAAAATTAGCAGTCAGTCTTGTTGGTGATGGTTTTGTTTGCTTTTTCATAACATGCAAAGGTGTTAATATAAATTTCAGTCTTTTTTATACATGTCACAAAACTTCACACTTATACTTCAAGTAGTTTTGTAAACACAGAATACAGTTTTACTCCGAGACTTTTTTTTTTTTTTCCAATAAAAAATTCGATTTCAACAATCTGGTAGTTGTAATTTGTTAGTTTTTCTAAAATTATGTTAACGTTTGCGTATGTGACTACCAAGAGGCTTCATGTTGATTTATTTCATCTTAATTATTTTTTTCCAGTGAATATTTTTGAAGTTCAAAGACATCTAATCTGAAATACTGAAGCCCTGAGGCCTTTTCAGAAGGCTGCAATATTTGCCAAAACACATTTTCGTGATGCATGACACATCAAGTGTGTGTGTGTGTGTGTGTGTGTGTGTGTGTGTGTGTGTGTGTGTGTGTGTGTGTGTGTGTGTGTGTAGTCATTGAAACTCACTTGGAAAAAACCTAAGATAATATCAGCGCTGATCTCATCTGTATTGAGGTTAAACAAACACTTTCCCTTCACAGCAAAACTAAACAGGTGACATCACCTGTGTGTGTGTGTGTGTGTGTGTGTGTGCATTTATGTGTGTATGTGTGTGCTACCTTGTTGACTGTTGGTCCAGTGCTCGGTCCGGGGATAGTGTCGGGTGATTGCTGTTGAAAGAAAAGTCACACAATTGTTAAGAACTGACTCAAAATGACACACACGGTAAACACACTGAGCAAACAGACTCTGAGATGAGAAAGACCAGTTTGGCCGTCTAAAAACATTAGTCAGGTTTTGTTTAAACTAACAGCAGAAACCCTCTTCACACAAACACACTTTTTGGTGATTTTTAGCACTAATGTGGAACGACACCTGCCACCGCCACTCAAGTTTGAAGTTTAAGTGTTCAAAGATCACATCATTGAATTGTGACACATACTCGCTTAAGGCTGAAACCAAAAGTAGACTCAAAGGAATTGATAATAAAAGTTCATTCTTCAACAATAAACCGCAATGCCAAGCTAGATTTTAACAACACAACTCCATAAATCTCGGCATGCTTTCAAAATTAGGCCATCATCTTCTAGCCTTTGCTCAGGGCGTACCCGCTCCACCTCTACTTCCCCTTTTAGGGCATAAACTCTTAATCTTTATGGATTATTGTGGTGCCAGAGGAGCTGGGAGACAGCTTCCTGCTGCGGTGACACACTTGTCATAAAACAGATTAAAAACGATAGTAAGTGTTGGATCAAGCAGAGCGGAAACAGCACTCCTCTCAGACATCTGTTTCTGTATTTCTCTGCAGTGTAATACATCGGGGTGTAACACACTAACATCTTGTCTTAGTTGCTCTGCTACTGATTTAAAATCTCTCCTCAAATGCTTCCGTGCCCCATTTCTAATCTCAGGTAATGATTCTTGAGGCTTAAGTCCTTAACAGATTTAATGAGTCTTGGAGTGACGGGTGTATAAATTTGCACAGCAGATAAAATATCAAAAAGATGTGAAGCAACAGCATTAATAATTAAAGATTTTACTGTTTACAACCAACTTCAAATAGATTTCCAGTTCAGGGAGATGCTGTCAAACATTTACAGCAGCTATAAAATGATCCACCTTCAGAAGTTTTCTCACGCTTTATTGTTTTATGACAGAAAATCACATCCATTTGAGGAGGTGTTTGACACTGATTCATGTCAATGTGGAGGAATGAGTGTTTCCATGAATAATAACTGACACACTTGAATTTCTCTGACGCAGCAACATGTTCTTGACAGATCCCCTGAGTTTTATCAGTGTGACAGGTGATTTAAAGTTGGATGCATCTTTTCCTACATCGCATAAGAAATTAGGTCAGATAAGGACATTTTTAAAGCAAAAGTGCTCTCGTGTTGTAACTAAAGTTGTACTTGAGTTTGGTTGCACCACACACATACAGGGTTCATCTTAACTTGTAGACTGTAATTTCCAATCTAACTGAAATATTGTTGCACATATGACGTGTACTCCTTTCAGAGAAAAGCTTTTCTCCTCATGGAGTTTTTGTTCAAGTGCCAGCTCCTATGCCCGCAGGCTTTTAACAGGGAGTAAACTCCCTTTGCTCGACTAACAGCAACAGAAAAGTATGTGAAATATGACAAAGCATTATGTAAAGGTGATATATTTATATATTATCACTCTACTTTATGCAGATCTCCACTTGCAGGAAACAACAGCAGGCGTACAGATCAAAGTGAATAATGTAATCGATAGCAGAAAACGGCCTGTCCGCACAAAACAGCGATTTAAATTCTCTACTCCTCGTCCTCTTTTAAGTTATCCCATATTTCAAACTGATGCACCATGACAGCGTGTATTTATGGAGGACTTTACACTCATTCAGAGCTTGGTTTCAGGTTTCTGTTGTAGCTTATGTTCAAACTATCTCAGCTGGTGCAACACTTAAAATGTTAGTGGAGTGCAAACTTGGTCCTAGATCAGAGTTTAAGACTTTTTACAAAGTTTGGACTTACACACAGCTAGTGCAACTCGGTGCAAGTGTTTTTGGTACCACAGTGATGAATGTAGCAGTGGCCCTCTTATAATTATAGTGCTGCAACTCTGTGAGGATGCAAACTTTTCATACATGGGTGAAGCATTCATAACATGAATCTGTCTGTATGTTGGCTGCACAGATATACAGATAAACCAAGACTGCAGTCTGCAGTACTCCAACAATAACTGATCAACTGCAGAAATGGAGGGACAGTGGGCTTCACATGTCTGTAAACTCTCTTTCTCTACTTCAAACCAGCATCATAGTTTCATGGATGATTGGTTTTGTGAAAGACTTGATTAAGAAAACAAGTGCTTAAAGATCAGGTTCGAGAGATCTGGATCAGACAGGACACAGACAACACTAAGACCTCGACAACTCCTGCACCTAAAGGAAATCCAGCCACTGAGCTTTTTACCAGTCTAACTCTAAAGCTGGGTCATGGCAGAGTCAGTCATTGAACCCATCATGTCCAAAAGCAGGTTTTTTCATTCCACTTGCAGGTAGATATTCATTAAAAGAGATTAAGTAAAGCTCAGTCTTTGTTGGCTAACAGTCAAAGGGTTTCAGGATCGCATTAGAGTGGATTTATATCAACCCCTCCTTTTACTTTTACTCTGACAGTTTCACAGCATACAGGCAATATCTGCTAAAGTGCTGCAATACTGCTTAGACCAGTGGTTCTCAAGTCCAGTCCTTGAGGCCCTCTGTCCTGCATGTTATGGATGTTTTGAACACACCTGATTCAAATGATCAGCTCGTTATTAAGCCATTACAGAGCTTGATAACGAGCTGATCATTTGAATCAGGTGTGTTGGAGCAGAGAAACATCCAAAACATGCAGGACAGTGGGCCTCGAGGACTGGACTTGAGAACCACTGGCTTAGACTACAAATGGAAGTCCAAAACCAGAACACTTTCATTATCAAAGTCCTGTTTCTGGTACAAAAACATGGACAAAATCTCAGTGATGTGACCCGTTCTGAGGATAAGGCGACAGTAACAATTATGCCCTTCTGGTCAACATTTTGGAAATGCTTTATCTATTATAAGTTAAGACTCTTAAAGAGTTGTCATGGTTACAGGAATTAACTTTTAAGTCAAAGATCATATTTTTAACACATTTATTTCTCCTGCTAGAGTGGGCATTATAATATGAGGCTTAATGGGAGTTTTTTTCTTTTACAGACAGCCCCAAGTGGACACTCAAGTTACTGCAGGGACTGCATTTCACTGCACTGGAGGATGTTATTTGACTTTCTTTTTGCATAATCTGTCAATAGAAATTAATATAAATTGCAGTTGCCAATCAAGGTGTTGTTTTTTCATCATAAGACCTTTGCTTTAAAACAGACGTTCATGTGAAAGTAGCAAATTAAGATACTGCGGCAAGACATGGCTGAAAGTGCGGAAAACAGGCCAATTTCTCAGCCAGATAACATAACCAGAGCAAATAAGGGTAAAAAAAAAAAAAAAAAAGCGTTACAAAGCTTGAGCTGACTTTGAAAAAAGGGGGAGAAGTCACGCCATAATTGGTGCCAAGATACATAGAGATATTTCTGCAGTCAGACCCAGACAATAAAAGATTTGAAGAGTCGTGACCCCCTCAAACTCATTTATATTTGCGCTCAGTCTTTGAACAATACAGCATCAGCAAGTATGGATGAAAAAATTATAAATACTGATAAAAGCACAAACTGCAACACTAGCTACCATTATGTCAGTATTTATTAAAGACAGAGAGATAAAAACTTCATGCAATCGGAGCGCAAACTGTCTGTAAACTCGCTTTATAAAGCGGGATGATTAATAATAGTTAATGATTTGACTCTCCACAGAAAACTGAGCCGGTGCTAAACCCACGGCTGCTCACCATGGCTGACATTAACTAACCACTCGATGATGACAAATTGAGAGATACAGAGAGATCAAATGACGGCACAAATGAAAAGCACCTAAGCGACTGTGGAAGATGGATTTAGATGAAGAAACACCGAGAGGGAAAAGAGAAGAGTGGGAGGCTGAACCAATCAAACCAGCCTGTGAAGGTACGACAGAGGACGTGAGCATGACAGATGGAGAGGGGGAGAGATGAGGCGGTGAGAGGAACAGAGATCACTTTAATTATAATCGTCAAAGAGAGAAAAAGTGAGCCAGACAAAGACAAGAGGGAGAGAGGGATCCATGACTGTGGCTTTGAGCTAGAAGAAAACCAAACAGAGGGATAATTAGAGGGACGTTGAGCTGCCTGTGTGATCCTTAGGAGAGCTGCGAACAGTCTGGGATATCCCCAACTTTGAGGAAAGTCAGCCAACACTCGAGCACACAGAAACACTTTGTGCAAATTTATCAACTTTCCTTCATGAAAAAAATCAATAGGTTTAATTTGGAGTGAATAAGCTTTTTTATTTTGCAAAGAGCCATAAACAGAGATTGATTTTAGTATGATGCAGCACGCATTTAATACGAAACTACATCCAGAAGCTATTAGGCTGAGCTCAACATAAATAATGGAAACAGAGAAATTACCAGCCTGGTCACATCCGTCTTTGACAAAACTCCTTCCTTCACAGCTGATACACAAAAACTGTGTGTTTAGGTATTTTTCTATCAACTTTGTTCCTGATGTGCATTCTTGGTGGGCATCAAGACATATTCTCACTTTCTAACAAACTAGGAAAACTGTGACTTAAAAGTTGTTCAAAAAATCTTTGTCTCTGTCTGGATCTGAACTTTATTAACCGACAGGTGAACTCAAGTCTGTTACTTCAAACAGATAGATACAACAGGCACCTGAGGACTCTGCAGTCTTTATCCATCCCTTGGAAGTTTTAAAACTCTGACTAAATGAGACTACATCTCAAAAACACGTCCTGGTGGGCAAGCAAATGAGTCATCCTGATGTAGCTGCATTGATACATCAAGCTAATTCATTAAAGATTAATAATCTAGTTTGCAGGTTTTTTTCTTCATCCGTCTTGATCTTTCTGACGTTCACATGAACATCTTTGGGTTTCTTTTTGTTCAGCTTAAGCAGCCCAAGACTGTCCTGTTGGGATTCCAGCTATTGTTTACTCCTGACTTTCGCTTCGTAGACCAAACAGCTCGTATTTTTTGCATCAGATGCATTTGAAATTGAGATCACAGCGAGTGCTGCAGGTCATAGAAAGTCCAAAAACCCACAGCTGTCCCCCCTTTTCACAATAAATCCCGAGGCTGGACTTTCAGATTTACCCACACTGGAAAACAATTTCAAAAGAGCTCGGTCTTTGACTCAGAAAAGTGCCGGCTCAGTGCGGGCGTCCTCAGAGATATCAGTAAAAAAGAGAGTTTTTTCCCTCTGTTTGTTTGAAGACTTGCAGTGTTTGGACTCGGGGTTAAGTAGAGCACACCAGCCAGCCAAGCACACAGACTAAATAAATTGTCTCTGACTCTCACTATCTCTGTCTCTCCCTCCTTTGTCTTGGTTGCTCTATCTTATCTCTCCATCTCTTTGTCTCACGGCTGTCTGGCGAATACTGATCTCTCAGGATGTCTTTGTTTCAGCAGCGCCATCTCTTCTCACTAACACGCTTAGGACGCAGCGCCGCCAGAGGTGTTTCATTCACGAGACGAGAGGGAGGTGTGCAGGCCCGACAAACTCTCCTCCGTCACAGGCCGCTCGGTCCGCCGCTGTCATTATACCAGAGGCCAGAGGAGAAAGACAGAGGAGAGGATGAATGAGATCTCTAAAGAGAGAGCACATGCTGACACGCTTATCTGTGTGATGACTTCAAAGTGTGTATACAGAGAGAGAGAGAGAGTGAGAGAGAGAGAGAGAGGGAGCAGCAGAGAGCGAGGTCATTATCTGCAAGAAATGGATTACTCTCAGATTAGATTGCTGAGCACAGAGAAGAGCTGTAGCACGGTACGCTTGGCAGGCCTTCCACACACACACACAAACACACACTCACAGACTCACTCACACACACACACACAGGTTTCACATTCACACTAAGCTCCTGTCGACTCCTCGACAGATCCGTCATACAAGGAAGTCAAAATGGAGACATCAAAGCAGCTGCTGCTCAGTGGGTCTGTGCAACACACACAAACACCAAGAAAAACACCTGCCACCCACACCTACCTGCAGCACACCTGACCTTTGCCTTACAAACACTTATAGCTGCTATGAGATGGTTTACCATCTGACAGGTACAGTCCTCCTGAAACTGGAGGCCTCTTCTTATATTATTCCTCACAGCAACATGTAATAAGAATGAAACTTTAAAGCTCCAATGAGAAGTTTTTTGATATCTATGAAATAGACTGAAGCACACAAGACCAGCGGCAACATGACTAATGATTTTTATATTGTGATTTCTGATGCCTGAAACCAGTGTGAGGGGGTTAGTGCCAGCCAAGCAGCCAAATATTCACAACATATGATAAAGTTGGAGGTTAAGGTCAGAGAGGTCAGATTTTTCGTCAAAAGAGAGTGTTGAAGATTAAGAGGAAAAGGTATATAAAGACTGCTTTGACCACAGGGGGGGCCAAAGTTGACACAAATGACAAGTTCCTCACAGGAGTTTTAGGCATCATATAAAATTGTTAATAATCCTGAAAAAATACAATAACTTTAATCTCAAACAACAGGAGGACATTTTATTTGACCTTTAGCTGCATCAACTGTTTGACTTACTCAATTAAAGGACCAGTGCGTAGAATCCAGCAGCATTCACCCGGGCAGACTTGATAGAGATATAACTGAAGTATTGCCTCACCAATGAGAGGGGTGGGCAATAGTGTCAAAATTTAGACTCTGACTGCAAAATATTCACATTTATACACACTGTACCTTACAATCTACACTGTGAGAAAACATATTCATGTACATAAATTAGCTTGCTGCTAATTCCCTCAACTTTTGAAACCATCTGAAATGTGTTGATTAGTTTTCCTTCATGATTCTGCATGTGCAAAACTGTGCATGTTTTAGCATGCATGTTTTTGTATATTCAAATCAGAGCAATTAAAGGCACATTTCTCCCATGCCGATCCTGCCAGCTATATCCAATGTTTTTTAATGATGACATGTGAAAACATTCATGCTGTAAGCAACTGAGAACATGCATTGGCTCTCTCTTTAGCCCTCTCTTGCCCTTTCATCTCTCTAATCTCAATATATAATGGAGTTATGAAAGTGAAATTTCGCCAGTAGACATAAAAACACACCATAAGCCACTCTTCTGCTGCATAATAACACAGAAATGAGATAATCTCCTGGAGAGTATCATCAACTTTCTTTTAAGACAGAGATCATAAATTCTGAGAGCTTACATTATGAGTGTGATAATCTCATTCGCAGCCAAAATTATGTGTTTTGAGAAGCGTTCTGTATGTTTTTATGGTATTGAGGGTTTGTGTTCAAGTTTTAATCCACAAAAACGACTCGACTCGACAATGAGTGGTGACACTAAGTGTGCTTTTTTCATAATGTGCACCCAAATAATATATAATCTCATAACACGTGGGAGCCTCAAAATCATTTTGAGTGTGAAGACTTCCATAAATACACCGGACAAAGAAAGGAAGACAAAGACGCTGCAATCCCCAAACAAAACACCGTAATTAAAGTGGAGATGCTCCACAATGCAGCTGTGTTTTAAGATCCACTCTGCAAAAATCACAGCGTGTACCCATATTCAGAGAGCACTGGGCGCTCTGCTTTTGTTGAGATGCAGACACAGTAAATAGAAACTGCACCGACACATCAGCCTATCAGTGTGTTACATCCCAGTCTGGCTTTGAAGGTCCCTGCTGTTTTGATGTCTTTTGTTTTTAAAGATGATCAAAGGAACTTCATGTACTTTTATAAAGTCTTGAAACCTCACAATCGACAACTACAACAAATCCAGTTCCTCATTGTGATGCATTATTGCACAGCTGTGTGAAATACTTGACTCTGATTGGTCAGTTTCAGCATTCCAAGGTCTGTTATTTCTCTGAAGCAGACCAAGAAGTTTATAGTATTGTCCTATTTTTTGAAAGTAACATTACTAGACAAAACATCTTATCCTGTTGTCTTTCTACACTGAAATTCTCCCTGACTGTAAATATTTGCTGTGAGAAAAGTAACTAAAGCTGTTTCTCTTCTGTGGACCTGCCCCCCCACCATGGTTACAAGGCTTAAAAATTTAAATGTAGACATTGTCAGTATTGTCACTTATCGTCTCATTAGTTTTTGGACATCATTTGGACACATCACTGACCATTTAAGTCTGTTTCATAACCAACAAAAACTCCTCACAGGAGCTTTACATGTGAAAATAAAAAACGTTTTACTGATAAAGCTACATGTAGGTCGAGGTGAAAGGTCACTTTCAGTTAGTGAGGGGAAAACTTATTGAGATAGATCACTAAGGCTTCTGAGAATAGCCCATAGACTGTCAGGATATCAGCCACCAGGAAGCAAAAAGCTCAATCAACTGAAAATATGACAAGAGCTACATGAAAATCAGTTTCTGAGCTTCTTACACACACACACACACACACACACACACACACACACACAACTCTACGTTACAACCACTCTGGCTCTGGGAAACAGGATCAGGCTCACACTGATGGTGCATTGAGTTTGGACTTACAAACATTCTCTGAATTGGTGCAGATTGCTTTGATATTAGAAGAAGATTGCCATAAGGTAGAAATATTACAGCTACAGTCTGTGTAGTCAAATGGGAAACCTGCTGATACAATACAATACAATACAATACACTATTGTCCATGTGAGGAAATTTGCCTCTAGTGCTGCGAACATTTAGTCATAGCTGTTAATGTGACTGCAGAAATACTGACTTGAAACTTGAGAGTCTTAGTGGGTAACTATAGCAAAAAATACAGTCAAACAGCTATAATATATAGTATCCATACTTCCAGCCTAGATAGCTGCACTAACCATTTGATCAGCTGCACCTGAAGTATAATTTATTCTATTCCCTCACAGGTATCGTCTAATATATGATTAAAGATGTCCATCCAACATGCTGTATGATTCGGTACATGAAAAACAACTGTCTCTAATTGGCACCAGGCTGAAGGTCAGTTCCTCAGAGGAGTTTCCCCGTCTTGAGTGTGGGGTCCATACAAATCACCTTTGTAGATGTATTGAAAGTTATTACAGGCTATGTGTTCCTCTACGCAAATCTATTCTCTCCTGTCGAATCTCTGCCAATAAAGGACTAATAATTGAATACCAGAGCAAGTCACGACAGGGATAAGAGCTGGACAGGATTCAAAGGTGAGGCCGCACAAAAACTGGCACCAAGAAGGCGACACTTGGCTTTGTCCAAATCGCTTTATAAAAGTTAGGTAATCAAGAAACTTCTTCTGTTGCAAAAGCCACTAAATCTGAGAACTAAGAAGAATGAAGCTCAAACGTACTTATGAAACAACATGCAGATTAGTCCAAAGGAGATATTTCTTTAATTTAGGATTTTGTTGGTTACTTTCTGCTGCTGTAGAGCTCCCCCGCCTCTTTTTGAAGGCACATTAATGTGCATATGCAAACAAGTGTGTGGCTGTTGAAGCGTGTGCGTGTGCCAGGTTAAGCAAACCCAGCTGCCAGTGTGCAGAGAACCAGTCTGCACAGAACAGCCATACCTTTACACTAGTTACCCACGCCTCATCACACTCACCCACACATGCACACAGACAGCGAGTTAGATGAAGACAGCGGGAGGAAAGCTCAACATTTTTCTATTCCTGCTCAGTATCCCCCTCTTTTCCTCCTCTGCAGCTCAATCACTGAAAGACTGCAATCGTATTCATCCTATTTCGAGTCTTGTTTCAACTTTTGAATTTCTGTATGCAAACTCAACAGTTTACGGCTACTTTTGGTCAAATGTAATCATATTAACCGGACAGATGACAGGAATACCAGCTGTGACAAGATGCAACATGGCAAACTGTCCCCCCCCCTCTGTCCGTGGAGGCTTTGCACAACCAATGCTGCATATCTTTATCCCATTTGGCAATTTTGTACTGGCACTCCGTCTCAGATTCCCGCAGAGGGAATCAGGGACACGCTCCCTCCCGGCTGTCACCGATGATGAAGATGAGTGGAGTGGACACTTTGAGCAAAAATTTGGCCTGTCAGGTGTTTTCGTTCCACATCAGGGCACACCGAGTCACACACATTTACTGCTTAGTAGACACATCATCACAAGACAGAACCAGGGGACACCATGAGATGGATCTTAGAGGGCCGGGCTACAAACTTGTCCCAGGTGGAGTGGGAATATTAGAGTACAGAGAGTCCAAAATCACTGTATTATTGAAAATGTAGAGTATTTGCTGATTATGACTAACCTTTTAAGAGTTTGAGATGGTAAGATGGGGAAAAACATGATTTAAGAGCACATCACCTCTGCTTTAATTAGCCTACAAACAAATAGAACTTTTACCTGAATAAAACAATTTTACAATAAGCTGAAAAACCGAATATGGCTCATGAATGTACATCTGTGAATGTATTAGATATGTAGCCTGTAAGTGTGCATTTCTGAGTGTAAAGGCAGGTGTTTGTGTGTGTGAGGTGAATCTATTGGGTACGGTTGTGTTGCCTTGACTACCGGAGTGTGAAGGTATGATGTCTAACACCAATTGCTTATTATGGATGTAGCACGCACTCAACATCGCTCACACAAATACACGTACACGCAGCCTCTGCGACAGTAATGTTTGTGTCAAAATGAAAACACCTGAGTCGTGACAGGGTTACGAAACGGCATCGCGCCATAGAAAGTGGTCGTAAAAAAATGACGGTTAAAAATTTGAAACCGTCAAACCTTCATTCAGGATAAAAACAAGGAAGGAAGGAAAGGAGGGAGGAAGGACGGTGGGTCGGCGGTCTGTTTAAAGTACTTACGCTCTTCTTCCGCAGGTGCAGCCCGTGCTTCAGTAGTCCTGGCAGATCCCGGATTTTATGTTTGAGCTGAGCCTGGTCTCGTGCGCTCCGGTTCCACCGCAAACCCGCGAGCAAGCCGTCCTCTGCGGGCTCGGAGTCTTCCATGGTTCGTCTCCTGAATTCTTCTCCTGGGTGTCCTCGAGCTGTCCGCCTGCGTACGCTCGAGCTCGGGGTCTTCACTGTATCCTCACAGCAAGGCGCACCGCCGCCCGCGCCCGTTCGCCATTTCCCCCCGCCTCGCGCTCACACTCAGCGACCTGCATCTGCAACCAAACCGCGCAGCGTGAACGACCCACTGAATGTATCCGCAGCACGCCACGCTGCTGCTCCACCCAATGGCTCGCGCGTCCCACTCCTCCGTGCTGCCAGGTTGATGTGTGTGGGTGTGCGCTGCGTTCAGGGGGGATCACAGGTGCATAGAAACGTTGCATCACTTCCACCTTTCATTCCCTCACCAGTCTGACAAAAGGGAAGAGAAAAGTGCGTTTAAACCACCTCACTTTAACTGTCACACCCGCACAGCTCACATTTCAGTTTTATTTGTTGTGAAATTATATCATATGTCGTGTATTTAACAGAATATAAAGACAATGGTCGAGTGGAAGCAGAAGGCACTCGGAAGGGCTACGTCATCACATTACCTGGCTCAAATTTCCATAGGTAAACAAAGAGCAGCCATAGAGGGTATATCTGTGTGTGTGTGGGTGTGAGTATGTTACCTGGCAAAGCCTATTCTTCAGGTTTTGGAGCAGTGTTCATGCTCCCTGATTTAACCTTAGGGCAGTGGAGAGCTGAAACATGAGAGGGACTCAGCTCTTCCTACTTTGGGTTGATGAAAAACGAGACAGCATGTTTCCCCATTCTCTGAATTTTCACCTTACTCATCAAAGGTTGCTTTTAAAAAATGTTATCCTCCCAAAAAGCAGATTACCACTTTGTGTATACAATTTGAATTACTGAATAACACGGGTAGTTGTTTTTTTTAGACTTTTGTGTTGATCCATTGTTTTACTTTGTTTCTACTTATTGTACCATTTCTACCATTGTTTCTACTTAGAGAATTTCCCAGTTTGGGATCAATAAAGTATATCTATCTATCTATCTATCTATCTGTCTACTTTGATAATATCCTGAGATACTGAACTCATCAGTGTTTTTAAGTTATCCCCTAAATAGTGTCATCTACAAAAAGCACATACTTAGGAATATTTGATCAATTACAGAGGTTGTTTATAAATACTAAAATAAGTTAAGGTCCCAGTATAGAGCCTTGTGGCATCCCCACCACTTGAAAATGTGGTTTTGAGATCACTTTTAGTTCAGCCGTGGTCCTGTTTTCTAACTCTTATATGTGGCATCATTTAGACACAAAATACCATCATGGTGATGGCTTTAACCCTTGAATTTTGTAATTATTCCTTTCCCCCTGTGATTTACTGATATTATAATTTATACTTTATTATAGTTGTCCAGCAGTGAGTAATTCTAAGTTGGTTATGAAAAGTGACATGTACAACTTACCAACAAACTTAAATGATTTTTGGCCAACAAGATCTGTATACTGTATGTGGTTGGTCTTATTTGGAAATATCCACATGTCTGTTATGCCTAGAATGAACATTACATTTTGGACACAGAGTGAAGTATGGTGGCCCAATAAGGCAAAAATGCTGAAATTGAAAAAATTCAAAATTACTCATCTAAACAGTTACTTGGCTGTGTAATGTTTGCGCAAGGAGGGCTGAAATTGGGGTTTTGTGTCAACAGTAGCAGCACTATACCTCACAAGCAAATTGGCAGTGCATGTGTCCAATGAAATGTCAAATTGATATCACATTAATGTAGACAATCAAATTTTCTTTTTGAGTCTGAGTCCAACAGTAACATCAGTGCTATACCCATGCTGCATGGTAAGAGATATAACTCCTTAAAGGAATCGACTGAGTGGTTGGCAGAGAATTCATACCTCATGGGAAATGTTGAAAGTGCATTAAATTTGATTACGGATTTCAAGTGAATCTGATCCGAAAGAGAATTAATTTGAATTCAGTGGATCTGAGAAAATCGGGGGCTGACACTCCAGAGGACATAAATCTGAGCCGAGTTCAGCTCGAGTGCAGTGGGTTCAGTTGTGTAACTCAGATGTCGAGTCTGCTTTCCTGATAGAACTTGTAATCTGGGATAATAGGCCCCTTTCAGGGATTCAGATTATACCAACACCATCGCTGTCAGAGGTAATGGCCCAGCTAGCTGTGGGCTACATTTCATCTATTAACATGTCGAACTGAAGTGTAGTCGAGCTGAATCCAGACTCAAATTAGGAGAAGCAGCAGTGATGTGCTCTTTAACACTATACACACAACTTCATTTCCCACTCTTGTCACTGTTCCCTATACTTGTGCTGTCCCCTTTTAAGGCTAAGCTGGCAGCACAAACTGATCACAAACTTGATTGTTTCTAAACTAGCCCTCATTTTTAGTAAGTGAGGCAAATTCTGATCATGATTGAAGAGATCAACAGCATAACAATTGACTTTCCATGTGGTTATTTTTAATGCCTGAAATTTCTGCCCAATGAAAGTTGTTTAGTTGATCAGCATCTTTATATATTTTCCATGCCACAGGTTTTTGATGACTGACATGTTTGACTTTTTAACTCTCCTGTGAGGAACTTTAAGTTTGTGCCGATTCTGGTGCCCCCTGTGGACAATGTGGGAACTCCTTTTTATCTACAGATTTTGACCTGTAAATGCAGAAAACATGTTTTTAATGGAAAAAAAACTCATCCTGCTTCATCTGACTTTTAAATACGTTAGTCATTGTAAATCTTTGTCATGTAGAAATTAAACAAAGGCCATTGTTGGAACTTCCAGCCAATCACTCTTACCCTTTATGATATAGAAGTGTGTTATCTTAACGTGGACGGTCTTCATTGCATTTTTTAGGCAAAAGGAGACACCAGCATTAATTTTAGTCTACATCATAACAACCTTAAAACTTATCATATGACTGAGATAATTTATAACATCTAAGTGTCTCAAAGGCACCATCCAACCACTGTTTTCAAGTTTAAACTCAATATGAAATGTCACGTGGAACACCAATATTATATCATTGTGAGATCAGAAAGTACACAGTGATGATAGCAGAGTTGTTTTATAAAACTCTTTTTTGACAAGAGCTAAAGAAATTAATAGCAATATTTTGTCAACAGGGAGCGCCAAAGTTAAAGTTACCCAAAGGAGCCGCAGCAACAAGTGCATTAAAACTGGTACCACTGCAGTCTCTTGGCCAAGATAGAGATGAAGTGATGTGATTCAACTCTTCTCTCTTGCCACCTCTGGCTTCTAGACTTTCTTTGCTTGGTTGCTTCATTCACTTCTTTTTCATTGCATTAGCCAGGACGCTGCTGAAGCTTGCAATAACACTGTGTTAAAAAAATGCAAAATCACATTGACAACTAGTTAAATGAGGATATAATGAGGAATTATGAAAAAGAAAACGGTGGAAAATGTTGTGATTGTTAGTTTTAATTGCAGAGCTTTCAGGTGGTTTAGATTCATGGTTTATTCTGCAGAAACAAAGACTTAAGTCTGGCCTCATTAGCATCATTATCTGCCAAAGAGCTGAAGGAGCGTTCCACACAATTAAATCCATCAGTCTTGTTTATGGATCGCTGTTCAAAGTGCTGTCTTCTGAGATTTGGTAAAGCCAGAGCTGAAAGAGAGCTGTGGTCAGCTGAAAAGAGACTGTTGTGCAAAATTCTGTGAAAAATGACAATTTTGCACGCGTTGAAGTAAACACGATGGACTCACAGTCATGTGAACTTGTGTCACACTGGGCCGTGCATAAGTTTAGATTCAGATTTTTAAAGGAGTAGTCTGATGCATGTGGCTTACCCAATAAAATAAAATAAAATAAAATGCAGAATGTTTTGATTTTTAGTGTCTCGCAGCTGCTTGAAAGTGAAAGGAAGAAACACACACAGTTAGCTGAACTGCTGAAAAAGCAAAAGAAGAAAAGGGGGACTTTGGGCTTTCTTGCTGGATGATTAAATATGCTGCTCCTCTGTCCCCGGGGGAACACCGAGACCAGCCGCCCGACACACAAACACATGCACACACAGCAAAATCAAATAAACCTCATAGTACAGTGTTTGAATGAATGAGCCCTACATAGCAGTGCATATATACTGTACCACATAGGTCCACATGATGATGCATGGGTCTACAGAAGAATGGATTGAAGGGGGAGGGGAAGGTGGAAGAAGGAGGAGATGGGAAAGAAGGAGAAAGAGAAGCAGGAGGGCCGACCAGGGAAAGAGAGATAGTAAACCAATTACCATAGGACTGAAAAAAGCCTTTCATCCCCAAACTGTCACCACACAGGCAAATATACACACACTTCTATCTTTCCTCTTCTGCCTCCCTCCTGCATACAAATACAGTATCTGCACACACTCTCATGGTCGGACATCTCTCTTTATCAGTCACTCGCACACATATTCCAAGCTCTCTTCAAACAAATGCACTCTTGATTAAATATTGAGGAGTGCCTGTGGCAAAGTGAGCGGAGATACAATTCCTCTCCCCTCTCTCTCTCTCTCTCTCTCTCTTTCTCTTATGGAGCTCCCAGTCTTTGGAAGAAATGGGAAAAAAGGAAGGGGGAGAGAGGAAGAAGAAGAGGAGGAGAAGGCAAGGACACAGTGGCCTAAGAAGAAGGCACAGAGAGGAAAATAAAGAAGAGAGGAGAGAGTGAAGTAAGGGAGGAGAGGGGTGAAAAACCAGCTGGACAATGATGAAAAGACAGTGAAGGAGAAACTGACAGCAAACACAAACACAGAGCAAAATCAGAAGGGTAAGAGAAATGAGGGAAGGACAGACATATTTTAGTGTGTTTGAAACTGTAACACAGTCTGACAGATGAGGTCAGGTTTTAAAGAACAAAAGCAAAGCTCACGAAATGAAAAGCTGATACTGTCCTGCAACAAGAACACCTTTTACTTCTCTACAAAGTCCAATCATGCATGGTCCCCTGATGACTATTTTTAATCTATTGGCTTTTCTTTTCTCACTGCGTGGTTAAAATTCTAATCTTCACATCCAT